CACTTATCATTGTCAAACAAAAAGAAGCAGCAATCAGCAACATAAAGGGGTTACTGGTCTCTTCTGAGCGAGTTCCCAACTTGTGGCGGAGAGGCTCAGTACCTGTGGCTTCGTGAACATCGTGGGGGTTTTAGTCGGTGCGAGCATGGCATAAACCGTTCTTGCAAATTCCCTGCCACGCACAACATGGCAAAAAATTTTGTGAAAAACGCACAGTGGTAGACTGAAAAACGATGGTATTTGTCAGTTTGTGATAGATGCGACAGAAAAAAACTAACTTTTGCTGATACAATTTTTAAAGAATATTAAGTAAATTTATTTGCTTTTTGTTATTAATAATTCTTACAAATAGATATATTTAAACATTATCGTGTTTCATTTTGTGGTTTCTTAGGAGTCTATGATTGTGTGAAAGACAGGTGTTGTACACCACTTCTTGGTCGTAAAATATTATTATAAGTAACGTTTAAGTTTAAATTTAATGACGTACTTAACACGTTCAAGTTAACCTTTGAATTACAAACAAAACAGTCACTTTCGACCACCCGGCGTGTTTGTCTATAAACAATGCAACACAAAAACGTGCGTATAAATATTTCCAACTGGCGATCCATTCCCGAAATACCAATTAGGGGGAGTTTATTTTCCTTGACGCCTGTCAACTGCCCCATATGTGCGGTGGCCATAAAATACGAAAGTCAAATGGAAGATGGCTGATGAAAACAATTAAAAAGAACAAAGAAATTTGTTACTGAGGGTTAGGTTAGGCAAATCGCCGAATATGGACTTCGAAAAAGCTTAAAGGGTTGCAGAAGTAGTCACCCTTTAAAAAAGTAGGACCTGCTTACCTCAACAAAAAAAAAAACTATTCTGGTCTTTTGTGATATCGTGGTAATTTCCCCTAAAGAGCCTGCCTATACGTGCAATAGCAGAAGCTACTGCGTGGCCCTTCCGCAGAAAATGAAAGGTTGAGCGATATTTATATCGTTCACAAGCCACTGACATCATAATCACACACTACTTGCTACACTTTTGCTGTGCTGGATATCGACTACAGGGTCGCATGTCACGGGTCAAGTATTTTTAAGAACCCGCGAATATTTCCTCCAGTTCTAGATGTTTTTTCTCATGGAGGATTCACATCAAGTGACTCCGCTTAGACGGCCGCTTAGGCCGTTCGTAAAAACCTAGCCAATAATATAACAACTTAGGGATTAGGTCAAGAGGATGGTGATCAACACATTATTTTATCTGTGTGAGAGCCATGAAATAGCTTCTGCAGCGCAATGAAGTACCAGAGACAGCAAACTGTCGTTAAGTAGCAGCATTACAATTTTATCTGGTGAGTGAGGTGTACTCTTAATGGTTGTTTTCGCAACCATATCACCTTGAGTAGCGGATTTGCACGAAAAAACTCACTCAGACTATCTTATGCTGCCACGGTCTACATAGTAATAACAATCCGAGGAAAAACTCATACAATATCCGAGAGAATCACGCAATATGGCCAACAGAACTATGCGTGAATATAAATTTAGCCATGCAATGAGCAACCTGTTTCCAGATAAGGGATTACGGACGTTATCACTGTCCCAATAAGAGCCAGTGTCACTTGAGGGATCTCGCGAGCGTACATACGGGGTATTGAAATGTATCTTATTTTAGAGAACTATGTCAACTCACTTTCGAAGAGCGGCCAATAATGTTCTAATACTTTATACGCGGTGTACAATTTGTCCGAATCAACACATTTACACAAGTTTTTTTAAACTTCTAGAGCACTGGCTCTACCCAATGAACCGACGCAGTTTCTAAGCTGGCCTTTGGTGTCGTCGTTCCCGAGTTTGATTCTTGTCCAGACAAACATGTGTGTGAGGTACAAATTATTATTAGTTAAGGACGTTGTTTATGTGTAATAAATAAAACAGAGTAAAGTAATCCTTCTGAGTTAATTTTAATATCTAGAAATGGAAATTCATTGCTGCATGCATCACTTGTTTTAAATGTTATAAATTTAAATAAAAAGTATATCGATCACTTTGCAAATATGTTTTGTTTCTAATTGTGTTTATTTGATTATTATTAAAAAAATGTTTACCAAAACATTCTTCAATGTCACAGACTGAGCACACAAACGCGTGATAAGACATCGTTAACCTCTGTTACTATTTTTGACGAGTGGACAATTTAGATGGAGACTAAACTGGTGCGTAGTGTTCACCGATGCTAATTACTTGTAATTGGATAGCGACATTTAATAGAATTGATCTAGTCTAATCTCAATGGACGATGACTGTGTAGCGCAGTTGCTAAGGTATTGGCTTTGACGTTGGGGTCGTGGGTTCGATTACAACAACAAGAAACAACTAGTGACCCACAGATAATTGTTTCGGATCTGAGTGTCGTGGTCTTACACTCAGATCCGTTTACGTTCAATCAAAATTTACGTTCGTAAAAACTTTACAGCAAAGGATAATTACTGTAGGTAACGGGAAATGTTTTCGAAAGGAAGATTAGAATTTATGACAGCAATGATCATTGCAAGTTGCAAGGGTTTACTGAGGGTTTGCGAGGCATTAAAAATCAATGCAGTTAATGAAAATTGAATGTCATGGCTCATCCCATCGCAATGTACCAGGACATTGACAAGTAGCAAGATATCTAACATTCAGGATGGCAATTAGATATAAAAAATATCGACGGGAATTACAATGAAATTAAATAACTGTTATAGGTTCATGCAACAATATGCACTTTTGCACGAATGAGCAGGTCCGTCCGGGTAAGTACCACGACCACACAGAAGCCCGGCGTAAAGCAGAATTGTTACACTTCTGCGTTTCGTCTGGTGAGTGAGGTGGCCGGGGCCAAGTTTATTTAAAGGTGACAACGCATCTGCCACCCTACGGGTGTCTCAAATGTCCTTGGGCGGCGGTTACAAATTAACATCGGGTGAACAGCCAGCTCGTTTGCCACTTTCTCATATAAAGAAAAAACACACAAATTACAACGCTACATAGTAAAAAGCGAACGCTCAGTTGCAAATAAATAATTTTCAACGGTGGTAGGGCCACGCAGCAGCCTCGGCTATTGCACGAATGGGCAGGCCCGTCCGGGTAAGTACCACGACCTCACAGAAGACCAGCGTAAAGTTGAAGAAGAACAAATACGTTCGCGTTTCGTATGGTGAGTGAGGTCGGCTACCCAATTTTAACCCAATTTTCAAAACCTTGTCAGCGCACCTGTAACCTTCGGTGTAGCAGATGTCTATGGGCGGCGGTATTCACTTAAATCGTCTGCTCGTTTGGTAACTTTTCACATTAAAAAAAAATCATCTCAGAACCGAATCTAGTACCGGGTAGTTCGGGTACCGCCGCCGATTTGTGCCGATATTGAAACCGTTGATGTAACACTCGCAGACGTCGCGCCAGGAAAATGGCGACAGGGCGGCAATGTGTCACTTGCATAGGTGCGGGCAGGCGGGGGTTTATTTTTAACCAGTCGCATTTCGCGGCATCCAACAGGTGCATCGCGCGGCGCTAGTTTAACAAATCGTTGGGTTATTCGTTCGATCATAACGCGTGCACGCATTCCACGAAACGTCCTCCATCGGAATAATGACGTAAACTAGTAAAACGCAGCTGTGTGACGTCTAGTCGAGACAATACTAGAATCGCCGCATATGGGCCATTGGTTTTAGCTTTGTGGGTAATAGCTTTGATAGTAATAATTATTAGTGACAACGTAAAAACTCAAAGTTACTTACGTCAAGTTTTATCAAGAACCGAGCTCGTAGGTGTGAGTCCGTATTGAATTGGTATTTAAAAATACGCGTCATTTATTTTTTAATCTGCGATGGATTTAAATACCGAATAGAGTTCAAGAAGCCTCATAAAACTTCTGTACCAACATTCATTATTAATTACTTTTTCTGATGGTTATGTAATAATTTGTTAAATATAGAATTCAGGGCAATATACTTTTGTATGAAACCAGCAATATGTTCCATTATGTTAATTAAGTATAAGGTATGGGATAGTAAACCAAAAAAGATTTATGAAATAAAAATGTATACAATAGATGCGGTATAGTAAAAGGGCCAATGTGAATATATAGAACTATTTTATGTGTAACCTAAGGTATAAAAACTCTTTCTATTTTTGCATCAAAATGTAGTAAGTTTTTTTTTATCCATTTTTAAATGGTTACATTGAAAAACAGACAAACAGAAGAGCATGCTGCAAAATAGAAGACAGAAGAGCATAATCAAAGAACAGTAGCGATAATAGATATTTAACTATTTTTACCTCATCAGAATTAATTATTAGTTCTTATAATTCCGATTTTATTATTGTAACATTTTAAAACAATAAAAAAATCATCACTTGCATAGTCATCATATTGGCCCATTTACAATGCCCCATTTTTATGTGTAACAATTCAATGTTATCAGTTGGATAACACAATCTGATTGCCATTATGATATCAGTATACCAAATCAATTATAACAACTAGCACGCAAACTGTAGGGCTTTACAACAGCATTTAAAAGAAATTAAGCACTAATAGGCATATGTGGTTCAGTGTTTACTACCATCAATTATCAACCAATTAGTTTTCAGCATCTTTTTGAAGAGTTAACAGGTAACATTATTGAAAGCATAAAGTCCAATACATGGTACATTAATAACTTTACCTATACCTTAATGTGTAAAATTGTCATTTATAATTTTAATTACCAGTGTTAAAGTATCATTTATTTTATTTTTCGACTTATTCATTAGAGTTGATGTAAGTCCCTCCCTTAAATAGTTTAACTTAAACCCACCTTAAGTTATCAACTAACCCTATATAATAATAAAAATGTGACGGACATCATGATATGCAATCTAATATGTTTCAAGTTATTTATAATAATAGTTTATGCTCTAACCTCTCTTGCAATCTGATCAAGTGCCTGTTCCTCCGCTGTGGCCTTTGTCTGGGTGCGTTGCCGCCTAGACGGATCCATCTTGAATGTCACTGTGCTGTCTGCAAATAATAATGGTGAGTTAAAAAATGACCAGAAACACCTTTATGAGAATACTTCAGGTAAAGTAATGAAATTAAGAAACAGCCTGTCCTTTATTGTACACCACTGCTCCACCACACCTTGGTACAGAAGGTATTGTAGCTAATATTTTTTTTATTTATCACATTTATGTACAAATAATATTGCAGTATATATAGGTTAGATAAAGTAAAAATATTTTAGCAAATACATTTAGATAGATAAAGTATTTTAATAAGTAGCAAATAATTTATATTAATTGCTTACAATATAAATAACAGATTTACATATTAACAGTTTGGAAGCAAGGTAACTAAAATACAAAATGTAATCACATGGTCTAATATGCCTTAGAATATATCCTCAGAAAGTGTTATAAAATATGAAAGATGTATGAAGTATATAAGCTAACAGCAGCTTTTAAGTTAACTGTCCAATAAAATTCTGGTTAATTTGTAAAACCTTCTTGATTGATGTTCTAGCCAGTTCAGTGTCTGAAAGCAGTTGCCTACTAATTGTAAAAATATTATTAAAGTAAAAAAGTAACTAATTGAAATATTAAGGTATACAAAATTAATTTCTATGAAAATTAACCAATATACAAACATGTTTGTACCAGTTGTTAATACTCTGTTTTTCTCAATTCTGAAACATATTATTCAAAAATAAAAAACAAACAAGCATGTTCATGTTGCAAAGGCTTGTAAAAGGCAAGAAAATCATATAGCGTACAAAGGGCAGATGTTTAAACAAGAAATTATTTAACACTAACATCCAAAGTTAAAGGACAATGTGTACATTAACTAATGTATCCTTTACACAACATAATGTTGACATTTTCCCATGCAGTGTTTAATCTTAATAAATTTTCAATACAGCAAAAGTTAAAGTAAGAAATTTTATAATCATTATTAAAAAACAACCTCGCTGATCCTGAGATCCTCTTCATAACACAACCAAGACCAAAACTTACTAGTGAATGCATTTGCATGTTTGAATGAAAAAAAAAATGTATTATTAACAAATGGGCCAAATAATTGTGTCATTGATGAGCCAAGTGTTTACATAAAATAATGATGACAAACCAAACTATTTATTCTACAAATACTATTGTTAAGTACTGCTCTATATCTTAATTATCCTAAGTAGGTACCCAGTACCTGACGACAGTACAAGAAAGAATGGAATTAGAATTATCAGATACAGACTAATGTATTTATTATCACTGCAGGGTACTTAAGTGCTAGGTTGATCATAATAGTTTTGATGCAACATCAAAACTATTATGATCAACATTGCACTTTAGTCACATATTTTTCAAAAATATATAGAAAGTTTAGTAGACCCTTAACTAATTGTTTTTACAATAAACTTCAAGCTGTAGTGTGTTTTTTAACTGGCATGAAATTTACCAAAAAAATTTAAGGTATAATTTACTTTGCTATATCTTTGCATGTTAATATCATTATTCAATACTAACATACCTATGTTATTAAGAGAGATATAACATCATCACAGAAGAAATTAAGCACAGACCGTTTTGTGTAATTTTCAACTTAATGAGGTGAACAAGAGGTAAAATAATTGAAAACAGTAATAACTATAACCTATACGTTTTTGTTTTCCACTTTACCGCGTGTTTCTACATATCTGTTTTCGAAATATAACATTAATAGGAAAACGGGTGGGCACAAAGCCAACATATTTTTAATGGCAGTCACAGTTAATGACATCATACTCACGGAGACAGTTTAAAGATGTAAACACATCTCACTATTCACTATGACATTCACCACCACGATATATTAACCGTATGTTACGTCAAGAATTCACTTTTTATCAGTCTTACTTGACCCTTTACTGCAAAACATCGAGTATTAGCAAATATTTAATAATACGGAACACTGAATCACGACCTACACGAATCACATAAATTATATCATAAATTCACATTAACAACAAATATAACCGGTTCATTGGCACTAATTTTAATTTTCTGTATAATGTTAACTATATTTTTATCAAAAAACAACATTTAAAGCATTTATTCTAAAAATTACAGTAAATGACATGCATGCCATTTTTTTCTTACTATTCAAATCCGTTGCGTTCAACAAGCGTAGACTGGAATTGTCATATATATAAATACTGCCGCTGCGTTCAAATCAATTGATCAAATAATTTTTGTAATTTTTAAAATAAAACATGAGATAAATTAATATATCTATCTATAACATTTTCTGCGAAATAAGTATCATGAGGTAAAATAGATAGCACCTGGGATATTATAGATAGCTCAATACTCATCAACAGATAAACCGCCATTTTTGATATGTGCTATCTGGCTGTTAGCCTCGAAGCTATGATAGGTTTTTTGGATGAAGTCTGCGCGTAAAAGACCTGCGGTGGAAGGAGAGAGTTAGGAAGTAGAAATTGCACAAGGACAGTACGATCACCTCGTCCGTCATGCAACTTCGCGCCCCCTGTAGGCGGGAGATGGAAAATCGACTAAGAAAGAAGAACGCATATCAAGATCTTTGTGACAACAAAGGTATAAGCAGAGGAGTTTAAGTTCGAAACTCAACTTGGCCTAAAATCAGTAGTGAAAATTAGCAGCAGAATAATATAAAAATGAAATTAACGTCTAACTAAGATCTCGGAAACATCATAAAAATTTAAGTTTTTTATCCCCGATTTAAGAAATTGGTATTGACGAAATAAAGACTATCCAACTTTCTGGACATCTCATTGTTAACATTTACGTACAAGATATAAATGTTTTCAAAATAGTTAGAGCTTTGCAAAGCGGTATCAAGTTTTCTATAATTTTATTTGACTATTTCGTACACATACATGTTTGTTCATCCTAGCAGGATGGATGGATTACTAAATTAGCGATAATCTGCTATCTGCAATAATTGCAATCAATGACAAAGGAGTTGCATTGCTTAAATACAGTAAGACAAATGAGCCCTAATAATAATTGACTAAAAATACTTAAAGAAAAAAAAATAATTTTCATAAATTTAATGTATTTATTCACATTCATACAAAAATGTGGCAAACAATATTACACAGACAAAGAAATGTAAAGTCTATTTTATTACAGTAACTAAAATTTTACTCCCATCACTCACTCTTAGATTTAGGAGTATCTTCCTTGTAATAAAGAAAAACAAAGGAGAATAGGAACACCCCAATCATCATGGAGAAAGCACTAACATAATATGGATAGGCACTAGGAATGAAACGCTCATACTGTGTGTGCTGCAAGGGGCGCACTGATACCTGTAACAAAAAGCATTTCTTCTTAATCATAAAACAATCTTTAGGAGCATAGTAACATAGTATTCATTTAAATAAATCAACATCATTTCCATTGCTGAACCTAGGCATCTCCCTCAGAGAATCCTGAGCCACATGCACCCTCTACACACACCCCTCCGCCATATATCATTTCCACTAACTGCATCATTAAAAAGTAAAATAATATTACCTGTGTTGTATGATAAAGTCTCGTATAGCCAGTTCTATCATAGTCTACTTTGAACTGGTATACTCCCCAAACATCAGGTACCTTGAAGATACTTTCATAGACACCATTACCCTTATTCCTAAGGGTTGTACGGATGAAGGGGTCAATGCGGACAAACTCTAGTTGCACGTCATTAGCCTCAAATGGTTGCCATTTGCCATTTTTGAGCTCCTCTATTTCAATTTTGTATACCTGAAAAGAAATTAAATATGCACGAAACATTATAATTTATGGTAAAGTTATACTAAACTTTTATGTTTTTAAAATTTAAAAGAGACTTCATAACTGAAATAAGGTGAAGATAACTTAAATTCTTACGTTGCCAAGAACTTAAACAATTCTACCTTCTACCAAGAACTTAATTTAATTCATGAATGAAAAATTTGTTCACATAAACTTACAACAGTGTCAGTAATTGTGTATGTGTTGGACGATTCTTTTTCTCCCTGTCTGTGGTGATGTACGCGTCTAACACGAAGTTGGCCACGTTCTCCAAAAGCCCATTCACTAAGATGCACCGCAAGGGCTTTATTACCAGACAAATCTGACTTCACCTTGTCACCCTACAAGTTTTATTATGGTACAATTACATAAGATTACAGTATTTAAACAGTATATGCCTAAGGATATACTTATGAAAATTCATCAACAAATCAGAACACAAAAGGTTTTATTATATGGAAGTTACAGACATGAGAAGAAACTGTTTATAATTTTGAACTCGCAGCACCAAGGTATATTTTTATAATCAACAATGATTTTTCAAAACTGACCTGTACTTTAGCAACTGGTGAGTTAAAGGCTTCATCAGAGAAAAAGAATAATGATCCACTATAGATAATTCGTGCATTATTTCTTGCCTGCAGAGCAGCAATCAGAACTGTTTTCTTACCTACAGCATGAGGATACTCTTTAACCTGAGAAAAAAAAATTACACCAATTTCTAAGTTCAAGGCTAGCGCAAATGATATTCTGGTATTTATGGTTATAGAAAATAATAAAAACTCTTATAAATACTATATACTGATTTTTATTTTCCTTTAAATTTAATGTATCATAAGTCTTACTTCTAAAGTGTAATTTGAAATACAATTGTTTCAACAATATTATCACTTTTAATATTTTACAATATAATTAGATAATGGTTAAAAATGTTAAACAATTACCTGACTTTTAGGATTATAGCTGTATGCTGTACTATCAGCTGTCAAAATTGGAAGCACCAAGCTGTTTTCTTTGTCTAAAATTATTCCCGTGCCTTCAAACAGTATTGGTTGAGTATTGTGCATACCAACAATAGTAGGTGCATTAATTAGATTCTTTGGAGAGACAACAATTCTAGTGTGGTCTCCATCATCTAATATATCATAATTGAAGTGATCAATAACAGCTGCAGATTCTTCATCCATCTATAAAAAAATCATAATTTTAATATATGAATTACTTTTATAACTATGTTCTTTTGTAGAGCAATGTTGTTAGCTGAGGGGATTGGCTCCTTCTTTTAATTTGGTATCCTCAATCAAATAAGTTTTAATTCTGTTGCTGGATATAATACTTAAATACTCTAATGACTTAAAGCAAAACATTGATTCAATAAACATAAAGCCAACATTTTTTTAATTACAATTTTAAGTATCAATAAGTTATCATTTACTTAGTTTGGAAGGAAAACTTTGTGGGGAAGTAAAACAATATTATGTGAGTTGTGTTAATACATAGCAGGGTAATGTGGCAAGTGTCATTTGCCTTGCAATGGCAAATACATTTATGAAACATAAGCAGTTAGTTTACTCTACTTTCCGAAAAAGTTAAAACTAGTTATATTATGTTTCTTGTTACTTCGTGTATTTATGTAAATATTGATATTTGAGGTGCTCAATTTTTAAGATGATAAATGTTTCCGTTTCTACACACATTTTGGAGTCTTAATACCATTTGACCTTGTCTTTATTATGGCAAAATCTCTATGTAAGTTCCAATCTATCTAATAAAATTTGATAATATTAAGTACCTACCTCAAAACCACACTCAGTGGCTATCTCCCTATACACATCGCCAGACGCAGCATTCCCAGCCACCAAAACGTTGCCGCCATCGTCGATGAATTTAGTTATGATCTCTGTATCAATTTGTCCTCCGAATTCCACGACAGACGGCGCAAAAATTATAAGATTCTTGTACAAATACTCGCCATACTTTGAAAGAAGTAGATTAGCATCATCGGCTAATTTGATGGTGAGGCTGTAACCACGGTCTAAAACCATAGAAAGTTACATTATTATCACCTTAAACGAGATTTATTACATCTTTTCTGACTAATAAAATGCCGGCAAAAAATGTCTGATTATTATACCTTGTAAAGACTTGAAAAATTGTGAATGAGTCTCCCTGATGTTTAAGTTGTCGACTAAAACTAAAGTTTCTTGATCAGCTAGGGCTACGGAAAAACATGTTGTTATTCCTAAAATAAGACTAAACTTCATTTTAATTAGAAATATTTAACCAATCTTATACGACGTGTCCTACCAGCCAACTTTTTCACTTCTTAATGTTGCCATTAGTAATTTGTATAAATTGTTTTATTTATACTTCATTACTTGGTACCAAAGAATACATTCATTATCTGAATATATATATTTTATATATCTACTTGGTATCTTATATATCTTTTATATATCTGCTTATTACCATGTCAATTGTCACTAACAATTCTCAATTTATAATTTTTAAATTGTTTATGTTAAGATTTTTACATACATTAACTTTACTTTAACTTGGAGTATAGATACATAGAAAACATAAAATTTTAACAATGAAAAAAAAAAAACAATAAACACAAAATATATTGTTAACAAAATTATTTTTGTGGTCGAAACAAAGTTTAGATGGGAAAATATAATATATCACTCGAGCAATTAAATACTATCTTAAATAAAGTAAAACGTTAAATTAATTTCTGAAACTATTTATTTTAATGTAATGAAAAAAAAAAAACGCTCGTTTGTACTGACCATTGCAAAGTGCAAGATTCTAATTAAAAAAGGTAAAATAATTGTGAAAGAAATCAGTTTTTTTACTATTTTATAAATCTATTACAACTTTAAATAACATTATTCAAAAGAAAATACCAAAAATATTTTTAAATGGAAGCTCCCGTGAAAATTATAAACTGTTTCTTTACAAGTCTGTGAAAAACGTATTTGATTGACATCTATCATTCACTACAATGTTTTATTTTTGTATCGAAGCTAATTATGCCCTTAGAACTAGTTATTATAGATAAACCGTTGTTACAGTATTTTTACAGTGTTACAAAATCTTTTCATAAAAATGATATCGCGGTCAAAACACCGCTCGACAGTTGAAGTTTGTTCGGATTGCGGGGCATCAGGTCAGGCTATGTTCTAGTTTCGTTTAACACTATAAATTAATTCTGTCTTAATTGATTGCGCTTGCGGTAACCTTGCGGTTTCAGATCCGACGTGGGCGTCAATTAATCGTGGCCTGTTACTGTGCGCCGAGTGCTGTAGTGTACACAGAAGTATGGGGCGACATATTTCTCATGTGAAATCTTTGCGGCAAGGTTCTTGGCCACCTTCACTCTTAGCTGTATGTATTTAAAGGCTATTGTTCTCTGAATTGGTAACTAAAGCCAATATAAACATTGTGTCATATATTAGCTGAAACATCAACCTGTATTGTAGATGGTGCAGTCACTCACAGCACAGAATGTGAATAGTATATGGGAACATTCATTATTGGACACTTCTGCTCCTAAGCATTTGCGGAAGAAACCACAACCTAAAGATCCACTTCAGTAAGACAAATGTTATTTTATTTTAAACTAATAACCAATAATAATTTGGGTAAATGTAAATAACTTTAACTCTGGAATTAACTCACTAAGGAATTAATCAACAAGCAGAATTCGGCTTTTCGGATTCGGATTTTTCTCTATCATTTAAAATTTATTTTAATTGAATTACGCCAGAGTTAAAGTTATTTACATTTGCCATAATTTGTTATAATTATAGGCAGATACACAGTATGTGTTTGTACTGTACACAAAAAGAAGGGACACATACATAAATAGTTAATATTAGAAGTTACTGTTTTGATATGATAAATTATTTTATCTCAAAAAAATTATTAAATTCATATGATAAAAGAGGTTGCAAATTCATCTGAATAATCTTACACATGCTGCTTATTTACATAGTGATAAGATTGTTAACATGATGAATTACTTGCAGAGACAATCTTTTTTGCTTATCTAGTTATCTCACTAGTGTGCCCATAACTGTTTTGAATTCAAAATACATAGTGAGTACTATATATATTATTTTGAATTCATTTCTTTCTGCTTAATTTGATTTCTATTCTTTCTTTTTAATCATGAAATAACTGAAATGTTTAATTTAGTTGTTAAAATTTAATTTCAGTCCAATAAAGTCAGAGTTCATACTGGCAAAGCATTTACGTCTGGCTTATGTATTAAGAGCCCGTCGTGATGAACCTCCAAGTGAGCTGGGAAGGCAATTGCACAGCGCTGTTCGGAGCTCTTCATTGGATACTGCAATGAGGCTGCTAGCACAAGGGGCCGATCCCAATTACTATAATCAGGTGGGTTTTGTACAACAAATATCATGGATTCAACATACATGCAAAGTTCACTAGGTCTATTTATATGTGTCTCAAAAAGACCCAACTGTTCCAAGGTACAAAAAAAAGAAAATTATTTATTCATAATAATTAATTAGCAAAGAAATAAATATTTTGTTTTTGAAAAATAATGTTGTTGAAGTAACATTCATTGCACTGACTACATTCCTCAAATCTCAGACCTAGGTTTTAAAAACTTTCTGAATGAAAAATCTGGAAATCTACACAATTTATTGTTTTTTTAAATTTTTTTAAATGAGAAGGTGGCAAATGATCTGTCTATTCACCTTATGTTAAGTTATAACTGCTGCAGATTGACATTTGCAACACCATTAGGGTTGCAGATGCTTTGCTACATTTTACTAAAGTGGGCCCGGCTACCTCACTCATCCAACAAAATATAGAAGTATAACACTACCACTTCACACCAGTCTTGTGTGAGGTTGTGGTTCTTACGGAGGGTCCTGTCTATTCGTGAAACAGCGAGGACTGTTGTATGACCCTACTAAAATATTAAGGAAAGGTATAAAAAAGTCGCAGAGAGTAAGATCTTGGCTTCTGGAGGGCTATGAAATGTCAGCCTTTCTTGACCTTGACTGACCTTTCATGAAGTGTTTCCATGGAGCTGTTAATTGTATATGACCTGGCTTCATCTTGCTGAAACCAAGTCAGTTGTAAGCTGAGGATGGAGGAAGTTGGGGATCAGTTTTACATAACGAGCTGAAGTTACAGTTATAGTTCTGCCTCTTTCGTGCTTCAGGTGTCCTTGTAAAAATAAGGCCTATGACGCGTTTTGCCTATGTAAATGTATTTGTTGAAGTGACTGGATTAGACTCACCGCAGAAATGGCAATTCTGTTGATTCGTATACCCATCTAGATGGTAATTGAAGTGACAAAGGGACACTTATATATCTTTCATAATTAAAATGTCTCTTCTCTTCATTCTGTTAGCGAAATCCAGTCTAACTCAATATTTTTGACGTTCTGGCAGATCCAGCACTTCCAGATGTTATGTGAATACAAAAAGCTTGTTGCTCTCCCATGTCCATCATTGTTGCATCTTATAATTCTTGAACCACTCTACCTAACGCCGCTCTCTCCTGCCCTTTTCGCGGTATCGTACCGTCTTGTTCCCGCTCGAAATAGTTCAGACTTTATGAGACACCTTTACATACTATTTGTTTCAACTATATTACACTATATCATAAAATAGTTCACTATCAAGTAGTGTCCATGTTAGGTTTAAACTCTCCAAATCATTAGTTTATTACATGTTAAAATACATGAAACTGTGTACAATTGATACACAGAATCATAAAGCTAAGATTAGTATTAATCTTAGTGCAGATGATGTTCTTAACAAATCAAACCAAAATGATGATAGGAAAAGTATGATAATTACTTTAATTTTTAATATTTCAGGAGAAGGGCACTGCATGTCTGCATGTAGCTTGCCGGGCGGGTCAGCCTGCTCAAGCAGAGCTCCTAGTTGCATGGGGTGCAGACCCCAATACTAGGGACAGCGCAGGCAACACACCTGCAGACTGTGCTAGGTATGTTTTTTCTATTATTTGTATTTCTAAAAACAGCCTATTTAAAACTGTAATTCACGACAATACCACAATTCTTACTATTTGGACTTTCTTAGGACAATTTATATCACTGATGTCTTATCACTAAAGAGCTTGTTACCTTAAAAGTTTGTGTAATTTCTTATAAATAAATATCTAATTCCATGCATGTCAAAAGACTTAGTGATAGTCAAATATCTTGGTAGATATTCAAATTTTTATTTTGCTAATCTCTGATTGTCAAACCGACGAAAATCTCAACGTCTTTTATCTACAATGATTTTTTTTAGCATTTGAAGCAATTCTTGGCGTATCCATAATTATTTATTTATTATAATTCGAACGAGAGATGTCACAATGGCTTTATGAAATTCAAATTTTTATTGTGTTTAAGATTAATCATTAAATCTCTGTGGTAATCAAACTCAGGTCTTCGGGATTCGCGCCCTGACGCTTTAGCTATTAAGCTAAACGGTTGATTGGGTGTATATCCAATGATTTAAATGACCTTGTTAATATCGTATCATCATTCCCCTGCCCTTATCCCACCTAGGTTTTGGATATGTTTTTTTCGACCGGCCGCCTGCGTGACGTCAACCTTCGTTGGGAAACAACCACCCAGATCGGGAACAATTATCTTTGGGTTACACAAATACTTGGTCCCGTAATCGAACCCACGACCCCCGACGCCGAAGCCAATAGCTTAGCAACGGTGCCACCGATTCATCCTTGTTAATATGTATTGTTTTTGAACGTGTTTCAGGCAGGGGGGTCACGCTGAGCTGGCGGAGCGCATCACGGAGCTGGTTTACGAGGCGACCGACCGTATGATAGTGTTCTTGACCGGCGAGAGGCCGATGCACTCCGCCGGCCGCCATTACCTGGTCCCCCGCGCCCACGACACCCACGAGATGACGGATGTCGCGAAGGCGGCGCGCGGCAAGCTGCAACTGGTCGGTGCTTGACTGTCGTTTGGATGGTTTCAATTGTTTGTGTCCCACCGCATGCATTCTACTGCAATGAAGATGTACAGCTCAACCCAACTGGGCAGCACGGCCATTGCTTGTAATGCGAAAGAATAATGAAGGTGAAATACATTGAGATTAGCGGTTAAAGCGTATGGGCGAATACCAAACACGTGGGTTCAATTCCCACAGCGGCGAAAGACTTTTCGTACTATTTTCTACAATTTTTAACATTCGGAAGACCTGTTTAAGTTTAAGTATTAAAAGATGGCAGTACACAATAGGCGTCGTGCCAATTACTTACCACCTACCACTATACACCAAATTACCCTTGCTCGTTTCTGCCACCTTTACCTAAATGTTGAATGCACTCATTGCACAACAATGCATAATGCTTGTATAAAAATTATGTCTTCAGGGAGTGCTGCAAAATATTCATAATTTGTTTAAATGCGAAAAATCCCATTCATTTACAGTATTAATATGTGAAAGAGATTTGAAACTAAAATGCAATGAACATGAAAGACCGCTAAAAAATTCAATTTTCAAAACTGAATTGTCGTATTATAAGAATTTCTTTTAACACTTTCGTTTCGATCCGTCAGCTACCGAATCACCTTTTCGAAGAGCTGGTGATGGACATCTACGATGAAATCGATCGCCGGGAGACAGAAGCTAGTGAGTTAACATTGAACTTTTAAAAAAAGAAGAAACCTTATTCTTAAGCCTTGATTTGAAATACCACCTAAATACTTACCACATCCCTTAGTGATCTCGTCAGAAATACACAGGAAGCTTTTCTAGCTTACTTGCCATACGAATTTATGTTTCGGTCATTAATAGCGTCTAAATAGTGAAGTACGTATGAAAAAGGTTTTTTTACGAATTGTTACTTTCGATTTATTATTTCGAAAATATGCAGGTTTCCCCACGGTGTTTTCGCGGTTCCACGGGTAATTCGGCACTCAAAATTAACTATTCGAAAGAGAATTAAAGGCGAGCGGCCGGACACTGAGCTAACACGGCTCTCGACGTAGGTTCTAGTGGCGTAGTCCCGTACTAATGGTGGCGTTTCGTGCGTGGCAGTTTGGCAGACGCAGGCCAGCGGGCTGGAGCGGTGCGGCGTGGCGTTCCTGCCGGTGAATCCGGCCCTGTCGGCGCCGCGCAACCAGGGCCGCCAGAAGCTGGCGCGCCTCTCCGCGCCCGAGCTGGCGGCGCTGCTGCGCGACGTGCTGCTCGACGCCACGCGCCGCCAGCGCCTCGCCTCGCTCCAGCCCAGAGGTGCGCCGGCCAGGCGAGGCTAACCGGCTAAACAGTGACTGTGTAGTGAATTTGTAATGAATAATCCCAGTCGCAATTGACGAGCTACTAGCGTACGTTCAAAATAAAATATCATTGATAGATGAAAACACATTATAAACAATATGTGTATCAGCGAAATGAGTAAATCAAAATACCTATTGATTGAGTCCTTGCCATCGGAGAGCGGAGAACATTGGGAAAAGGGAATAAAAAAGGAGAAAGAGACCTCAATGATATCAACAGTATTTTTAACAGATCCTGATATAGTTCCATTGTTTGTGGCGTGTGAGCTTGAAAAACTAACTCCGATTTTATTTGATCATCTCAATGCTAAAAGATCTCACTAAACTAAGCGCAGACGTTGTAGAAATTAAATATAAGTATGTGTCTACTCAACACTATGAAGAACTACAGGGTGATGTACTACAGGGTGACTGCGGAATACACGCAGAAGTGTAACGCTTTAACTTCACACCGGTCTTCTGTGAGTTCGTGATACGTACTCGAACAGACCTGCCACAGTTAAGTGTGGTACAGCCTGTCCTCTCTCAAAACTATTAGGCACGCTCATTTTTCCCTGTTTCCAACCTGACCAACTAGAGTCCACGTCACCACATTAGATGAATCGCGACTTAACGCTTCCGGCGAGACCCACCAGAGCATCTAACCAAAATGCCGACGACGAATACAAAAGAACGTGCCAATATCACGTGCTTATACCATATGACAACGGCTCTCACAAAAGTGCAGCACGTAATTCTATTATTTTATTTACATTATTTCCGTCCGTGCCGTGGTACTATTCTGGACGAGCCTGCCCATAAAATTATAATCTATCCAATTTAATATAAAATATATCTATGTGTATCTTTATAATAGTATATTCACGTAAATTTTCAGCACCGGGTGGCCCCCTGAATCCTTTGCTGTCGGCGAGCCATTTGAAGCACATGTCCCAAATGTCTGACGACGAGCCGCTCTACGACTCTGTTGCATCTGACGATGACTACGCGGCGCTGGCACCCATCGATCTCGACGTGAGTATGTATAGGGTGGAATCAAAATTGTATTCTAAACGTAAACCTTAGTTTTAATACATTTAAGGATTGGATTGTGATAGCATCGACTTGGTTTAAAGAATTTATTCTCATAAAAACACAAAGTTTACATAAAATGAGATACGTTACAAGATACAAAATATAGTTCATTTTAACCTCTTTAGCATTGTGGAAGACAAAAGCAGTAATATTATTTTGGGGGTAGATGAAAGTATAAAATATCAATAACCAAGTTGCGTTAAGGGTGAGGTCACATTAAATTAGTACATTATAATTTTATAAATTAGGTACATTACAAAACAACAAAAATAAAGAAGAAACGAAAGAAAGAAAATATATATCTATATATGTATATATGGTCTATGTACTGAAGTTTTCTTGCAAGTAGTTCTTAAGTTTCACTTTATAAATATTTATTTTTTCACACTCTTTTAATTCATTAGGTAAGTTATTGTAAAGCTGTACTCCCTCAAATAATACAGTTTTCCTTCCGTAAGTAGTTCTTACTCTTGGTAAGATTATTTTATGTTTATTTCTTAATCGTTGGGCGAATTCGTGTTTTTGTAGTTGTAAATTTGAATGAATGTCCTTAGTAGTAATTTTTTTAATTAAAATGCAAGTAAAATATATATATAACTGCCGCAGATTAAATAATTTAGTTTTTTTTTATACAGTTGTACTGTTGGTGTAAGGTAGTGATAGTTATATAATACTTTTATAATCTTATTTTGTGTACGTTGCAATGAGAGTAAATTAGTTTTAGCTGCCGATCCCCATATTTCGATTAAATATTCAAGGTGTGGTTTTACCAAAGAGTTGTATATAATAGTCCTTACGTGATTTGGGATACAATTCGTTATTCTGCGTAATGCTCCTAGTACCGATATAAGCTTTGTCCGGATATGCTCAATGTGTGGCCGCCAAGACAGCCTATCGTCAATCAACAGCCCAAGGTATTTTTATTGATTAGACTGCAATATGATCTCATTATTTATAGTAAGTGGGTTCATCTCTGGGATCCTTTTATTTTTAGCAGCAAATACCATAAATGATGTTTTTGAGGTATTGATTGTTAGCAAGCTATATTTTAGCCACTCATTGAGCATATCTAAATCTTTTTGGGCGTTAGTTATAATATTACTCATCGATTTATCGAAGTAAAATAGACATGTGTCGTCCGCGTACAGAGTTAGGTGTCCTGTAAGTCCTATTCTTTTAATACTATTTATGTATATCAAAAATAATGTAGGACCGAGGATTGAACCCTGCGGGATTCCAGATGTCACTATTTCAGCAGTACTAGTAAAATCATCAATTTTTACTATTTGACAACGATTTTGCAAGTATGATGAAAACATATCAAGAGCGGTGCCTACGATACCTATATTTTCTAGCTTCTGGAGTAGTTTTTGGTGACTTATTGTATCAAAGGCTTTTTTAATATCGATGAAGATGCCTAAAGCAAAATTTCTTTTATCAATGTGGGTTTTTATCTTTGTCACTAAATCAATAGCAGCCGTGAGTGTACTGGATCTAGAGCGAAAACCATACTGTTCATCAATCAAAACTTTTTTGGCGGTCAAATAATTGTTTAAGCGGATGTATATGACTCGTTCAAAAATTTTAGACAGTACTGGCAAGACTGAAACTGGTCTGTAATTACTCGGATCGTCTCTGGATCCCGATTTATATATAGGACTGACCTTAGCAACTTTGAGTTTGTCGGGGAAAACCCCGAGCTTTAAACACTTGTTAATACAGTTGGTTAGACTTTCAAGGATGTGTTATCCTTGAAAGTCTTTTAAGCATTTGATAGCTTTGGTGCTGATTCCATCCAAGCCTGTAGTAGTGTTGCTATCGAGACTATCGATAATTTTTGATATTTCACTATTAGTACATGGAATAAGTTCACTTAATGTTATGTCGTGTATATAATTTGAGTCGTACGTTAGTGTGTTACCTGTATTTAAGTGGTATCTGTGTGGTATTTGCTCTGCTAGAAAGGAACCTACTTGCGCAAAGAAAGTGTTAAACGTTTGACAGATCGCATTGCCTTCCGTTATGATAGTTGCATTGTATACTAATTTTGGAAGAGCAGCACTTTCCTTAATTTTATTTATCGCTAAGCTATTAATAACCTCCCACATTTTTTTCGGATTTCTGCGATTGTTGTAGAAAAGATTGTAGAAATAAATACTTTTGTATGTATTGATGAGCCCCTTAACTTTATTCTTCTCTTGAGCAAAGTTCTTATGAACTTTTTCATCTTTAGGGTTAAGTTTAGATTCCTTCCATAAGTAATTCCGTGTGTTTATTGCATTGATAATGGTTTTGTTTATCCAGTCCTTCTGGGGGGATTGAGAATTTTTGTTTTCTGTATTTTGCAAGTTTGTATGATTTCTGATATAAAGTTTTCAAAGTAGTCATAGCAGTTATGTTCATTTTTGTAATTAACTTTAAATATTTTGTTGGATGTATTATATAGGTTTTCGTAGTCAATTGCTGTGTAATAAACTTTTTTATTTATCTCCGGTTTCATTCTACCAATCTCTAGATATACTTGCTTATGATCAGAAAGTGATGAGTCAATAATCGATAGTTTAAATGAATGGTTGCTCACATTAGTACATATATGGTCTATTATTGTATTTGTTTTGCTGGTTTCCCGTGTACTATATAATATATTAATTTTGTTTAGTATTTCATAACCAGACTCTTCGATTTCTTTTACGTACTGCTTAACATGGTGGCAGTTTCTATTCAACAAATTAATATTGAAGTCACCAAAAACAACCGTTCTTTTACGTTGTTCCAACTGCTTTGTATAAAGCTCTAAAAAGCGGCTAATATTTGATTCTCCAGGTTTATATATTGCTCCTATATTTAATGATAATTTATTTATGTATATCCATAAGTAGTGATTCCCATTTTCGGTTAGTTCCTCAGTTACTTCGCATTTAAATCTATTATGTACATAAATAGATACTCCCCCACCCCTGCAGTCTTTCCTGTAGTTATAAATGTGTTTATAATTTGGCAGTTCGTATAGTTTGGCATCACTTTCTGAAGTGATCCACGTCTCAGAAAATATTAGCAAGTGAGTAGTTTTTGGTACAGCCCTTATAATGCATTTTATTTCATCCAGCTTATGAGCATTTCGTATACTGCGTAGATTAGCATAAAAAAATCTTAATGAGGATGGGTGTAAAGGAAGTTCTTCATATTTTTTAACTAAGTAATGATTTATTTTATTAAATCCATCAGTGTAAGTTGCATTTGGTATTGGTAATGTTAAAGGTTTTTTGGATTGTTATTGCTTACAATCTTTGGTTTACCTTTTATATATTTGATAATCAAGTCTTTCTCACCATTTAAAGTACGTCTCTGCATTTCCTCCTTTAGACATTGTAAATACCGTTTTTGTGCTGGTGTTTGATCAGAGTAGACTTGAATATTTTCAGGCAACTTCGCCTTATTACGTAGTAAATATCTGGGTACTTCAGTAGAATTGAAGAAGACTTTAATAGGCCTATTTTTATTTGGAACATATTTACCAAGTCTGATTGAACTCGTTGGCTTGGGACAGTCAGGATATATAATTTTTAAAAGTTTTGAAACTTCCTCGTCATCGTACAATCGCCTGGAGCTGAAGTTTTTATCAATTTTTTCTAAGATACCCACAATCACGATATTTCTCTCTCGATCACATCGGTCCTTTAACTCCATGATGAGATCTTCATGAATAGTAGAGGTCGTTATTAAACTATCTGCGTCTTGCACTTTTATACACTGCAACTCAACCTGTAACTGCTTAATCTTCTCTTCTACTAGGGTGTCACGAGATTTTAATTGTTGAATTTCTTTATTTATATTTTTAAATTGCTGGTCAAAATTTTCTATAGCTAATTTTATGACTTTAAGCTCATTTTTAACTTCTGTAATTTCATTTCGGATTAGCATTAAACTTTCGGTCTGGATTTTGCCAAAGTTTTCCAGCAATTTCATTACGTAACTACGGAAATCTGCTAATTCACTTTTGTATTCTTGCATCTCCGTGCGCTCCTTTCTTTTTCTCAAATAAGTGTTAATGTAAGAATCAGTATCACCGCAGGTTGAGAGATTAGGAGTCGACCCGCTTGCGCTTTCGCTTCCGCTTATCAGCGTAGCACCGGGCGGTGTTCTTTGGAGACTCATTGTGCAAGTTACGTAGTGTGTTTTACGTTGGTGCGAGCAAAGCAAAAAATCGCAGCCGCTCTCTTTACTCACGGTGAGGAGGGTTTGCTGCGTTCGCGTCGCGCGGTCGTATCGCGAGATTTGCACAGTAATAAAGTCTTATGCGCTTTTTTCTTTTGTATTTAAAAGTCTACTTTGAACACTGCACTTATAAGTCACTTTCGTATGTGTACTGTTTTTATTACGAGTATTATTTTTACGTTTTGTTAGATTTCGACGCACACGTTCGCTTCCGACAAGCACCAGAGGTATATGATTTCATTTAATGTCTAAAATCCGGCTCGAAGGACCAATTTAATCGTTTTCATACGGTATTCATACTTTAAAATCATTTACAAGCTGTTTAGATATTAGCTAATGTCGTGGTGTAAGCCTTCTATGCTGCCCCATCAAGCAAACCACAAAAATCTTAGAAACGTTTCAAGAAATTTATCTTAAATCCTACTTGTCGCGTGAGGAGACAAACCGGCACTATAATGATACACTGCACAGTTACAGATGACCAGCATTCTACCGCGGACCGCCGAGGCGGTATCCTCGGCGTACAACCCGTCGCTGCCGTCCGAGCGAGGTTTCGCAGAATCGAAGCGGGGCCAGTCGCCGATCGAAGGGGCGGGCCGCGAAGAGATCGAGGTGCTGAGGAGGGAGCTGGACAGCCGCGACTCCACCATCACCGAGCTGAAGAGCCAGTTGAGGGACCTGCAGAGCATAGTGGAGCAGCTGACGAAGGAGAACAGTGTCCTGAAGACCGCCAGCAGCGTGGACGACGATAACAGCGTGACGTCACAGGCCTCCATCAGTGATGCCACGGAGGCGAGACCCCCCGAGAGGGGCCGCAGCCTCGAGACGGACCAGCTGACTCTGGCCGACGAGGCGGAGGTCAGACAAACTGTGAAGGGCTCACAGAGACCGGTCAGTATGTATGAGACTAGGGAGGGCCCAAAGAATAACTGGCAGGTTACTAAACACCAGGTACTAATCTTGATTAATTATACTAATACTTAAATTAATTATTATTCATTTGTTGGAAGAGGATTTTGTGCAGTTAAGACAAGTAGTTTTGTATGAAAATGTTTTTGATTTTGTATGTTTAGTCATTATGTTAAAAACATATAAAAAAGTCTTCTTCCAATCTAATGTTACTGTAGAATCTAGTTATTGCAGTTAAAGAACTTTGATTTTCCTATTTATAATTTACTTACAACTTAACTTGTAGAAGTAGTGAGGTGTGAACGAATTTAAATTAAGACAAAAATTATGAGTTGAAAAAAAGTAGTTACACAATTAATACATAGTTTTTATATTAATGCATATTATTTTACGCTTTTATCCCTATATTACTAAAGGTAGAATTAATTCAAATATTACTTTTTCTTATAGGATGGAGGGTTAAAAATCATGTTTTATTTAAGAAGCATGTTTTTAAAGATGGTTAATTAATTATTGGTCCAAAAATATTAAGAAATTTCTAAATTGGCTTCAACTATTCATTTTTCCCCTAACTATTTCATAATTTTTATTAGTCTTATTTTTTTTTTTTTATGTGAAAAGTTGCCAAACGAGCAGACGGTTCACCTGATGGTAAGTGAATACCCTGGACATCTGCTACACCCGAGGGTTACAGATGCGTTGACAACCTTTTGAAAATTGGGCTCCGGCTACCTCACTCACCAGACGAAACGCATTTATTAACGCACGTATTTGTCATACTTCCACTTTACGCTGATCTTCTGCGAGGTCGTGGTACTTACCCGGACGGGCCTGCCCATTCGTGCCACATCCGAGGCTGTTGCGAGGCCCTACCACCGTTAAACCGTCTTATTATCAAGGAACTTTAGAACTAAGGAAAGTCCACATTAATATCTTATCATGGAACCTTTAATGAAGGCTGGCAGCACAATTGTGACTCATCCAATGTTGCAAGTGTCAATGGGCTGCGGTGATCGCTTACCGGGCCACGCGCTTACTGGGGGCCTGGATGTCTCCCGGATGATTTCCTTTTACCATTAAAAAAAACTTACAAGAAAAGCTACATCAATCTTTTTTGGCCTTTAAGCTGACAACTCTGCCTTAGAAAAACAGCTGCATCTATCTTGTGGCCTTTCAGCTGACAACCCTGCCCGGTCTGGAGAGGTCCCTGACTCAGAGCGCGCTGGACGGCGAGGAGTCGGGGGCGGGGCGGGCGGTGGGCGTGGCCGACGAGGCGGTGCAGAGGCGAGCAGAGGCGGTGACTCGCGCCATCCAGGACCTCTGGGCCGCAGCCCGCCTCCAGCAGCCCCACCTCTCGAGAGGGCGCAGCACATACGACGGGCCGTGCGCGCGCTCCTCGCACTTTTCCCCCAGGTGCGGACCTGCATTGCTTATGGGCCACCACTGTACTGCCACAATGCAATAATTAATATTTTTGAAATAAATAAATAAAATAATATATTCGGACACATTTTTACACAAAATTCCATAGTCCCAAACTAAGCAACGTTTATACTATGGGTACTAGAAAAAACATAACAGGTACTAGATAAATAAACACCCAGACATTGGAAAAGACTTACATTCATTACACAATATTTTTCCTGTAGTGTGGATTGAAGCCTCTTTCGATCAGAGACAAGTCTATACACAAAGCCAATCGCGTCATTAAAATACAGACACAATCCGTCGGTAAGAACCGAATCTCCGTGTCCGCAGACGGGTGCCGATGCGTCGCTGCAGGAGGTGCTGCTCAGCTTGCGGGCGGCCAGCGAGGAGGTGTCGGCCGCCTGCGCTCCCCCCGCCTCGCTGGACCGGGTGCGCGCCGCCGCCTACGAGCTGGCCCGCGCCACCAAGCTGCTGGTCACGCGCTCCCAGCCCTCCTAGCGACTGTCCCCCGCGCGCCTGCACGCCACCGTCTAGTGCCCGCGCGTGTAGAGTCATCCCTGCTACTCTCCATTCGCTCAAGAGTTGCCTTTGCCTGGGCCAGTAGCAAGAAAACAGTGAAGTGTCTAAGCAGTCTGTGCTGGTTCGCCTTGCTTGATAATGGTGCAGTGATGTGTTCGTGTTGGGAACGTGTCATTTCTAATATTACAAGCAATAGATTTAGATACGGGTGCAAAGTGCGTCAATGTAAGCGCTGGTTTCACTTCTGTTTGCTTTATCGTAACAGAACAGGTTAAGGGCTAAAATGTTTGTGTTATAATATTGAAAACGACTTGCGTTGGCGTTAAAGTTCGAGAGATTGAATTGCTTACAGAGAGCGGAGGCTCGATAAAACATAAGTTGTGTTAAGTAATAGTGTGTAGGATGAAATTTAAATATATGGTGGTATGCATGTGTTCAATAAGTGCTGTTCTATCTTATTTTATGATAATACAATGTTGAAATTTATAATGTTGTTAAGTATTAATCAATTACGAAGGTCACTTGTATTGTGGCTTGGTGATGTGAATAAAATAATGGAGGCTTTATATAGAGTACTTGTTTGTAGGCAAAGTTGAGTCAATGAAAGATAAATTTTTATTGTGTTCAAATTTTAAAGATTGTGATTCAGTCAATATGGCTTTTTAAAATGACTGTAAAGAAATTACCTTACTAAAGCCTTTTCAGGAACACTAGAAAGTGTGTTATTTTTAATAGTGGAGCATTTGGGGGAATTGACATGATTTTATATTTAATAACTTTCTTCCATAACTGTGAAATTGTAAATAATTGGACATAATGTTGTAATAGATATTGCTTAAAGATATACATATATAATATTAAAGCTTTTGTTATATCCTATCACTTACTGTTTAGATTTTAGGTGTTGCAGTTAATACAGAATTGAAGTATTTTATTTTACAAATGTTTAAGCTGAGATATATATAATAAACTATTGTCATTGATAGCATTATAGAAAGGCCATGTTTAATGTATAAACTTACCAACATTATTCAATATTGATTCTATCTTGAATTAATTAAATTATGAATATTTTAACAAAAACGATTACTTACGTAAAATAATAACTAGCTATCAACAACTTTTTTAGCGTGTTATGTTTCTTTTGAAGTTATTTTGGATGGTTTATATTTTTTTATTTTGTAAACATGAGAAGCAATAATGATATTTAATCTCAGTATAACTTTGATGAATTAATAAATTGAAATTACATTTCCAATTAATTTACGATGTGTGGAACTTGCATCAATAGATAGGTTTTGATATTAAAGAGCTTTTATTATAATATCAACATATTCCAGTTTGAATATTTCTATAAGAGACATTTGACATGAGATGGAATATTAAATTTATTTATATTTCAATAGGCTCTGATTTTTATAATCACATATGAAGATCATTCTTAGGAATGCAGAATTTATGCAAAGTAAAAATAGAATAACAGAAATAATTATTAAGAAATTACTTTGGAAAATAGAATAACAACAGTAATTTACAATAAACTTTCATTTATATATAATATGTTGCGATAAAGTTTTATGCATTTCAGGTAGATAGGTAAATATTATATAAAAGGAACTATTTTGGCTCTTTAAATATCTTTTTTTACTATTATATGATTAAAGGAAAGCTTAATTAAAATGTCTGTCAAATTCAAAAGATTGTAATTTATATGGTACAACTAAGGAAATAGAAATTTAATTGTGAAAACCATAAAAATAATTGATTACTTTGTTTACTTGTTAAATGCATTTATCCAAAATGTTTTACGTTCACTATAACTATTATGAAATTTAATATACGTACAATATGATTAATAAAATTAGATATTATGGAATCATTTAAGTTGGCCTTGGGGTTTTGTTATTGATTGTGAACCTATGATAGTTATGTATATTGCGAAGTACATTCTCATATAGTTATATTAATCTTCATTCCATTGTGTTCTTAAGTCCAAAGAGTATTATGATCTACAAAGAAAGGAACTATTTTACTTCTTTTTCATCAACCATAAAAAAACATGTTCAAACCCATTATCCAAGGCATTTGTTTGATGGTGATAAAATATTGCCTTTCTACAAAACTTTAAGAATCCTTTGGATACTGCTAAAGTCAATATTTTATAACCACAACATAAAATAACTTATTAGAAAAGGTTAAGATGATGTAGAAAATGTATACTAGAAATGAAATTACATAATAAGGGTTGTATAGGATTAAGACATTGTAATCTGCTTTAAACTAATGATTACCTTAGAATATCTATTACATACAATATTTGATTATCATATTTGTTTTGATTGTCATTGTTACAATCATCTTATATTCTCTTCTCCTTTACACAGTCACAAAAACAAATGGTTCAAATTTCAGATTTAACAGGAATCCAGTTACATTCAACCTCCAAATTAACTAGATAACTTAAGTGTACCTGTGGTTGTTATAATCTAAGTATTTATTTCACTTTGTTACATGTAACTAAAGCTGAAGATTTAAATGTAAGTAACTGTTTTACTTTTTAATTAGAATGAATGTTTCTGGAAACAACATTAGGTTTAAACACCAACACTCTATAAAGAAAATATTCCCTTTTGTGCTTTACCGTCTAGTTTTGAGTGCAATATTTTTCATATTTGTCCCAATCCCAATATCTAAATAGTTATAAAAAAATTCCTCAAAATTGATTATGTTCTATGAAGTGTAACATATACCATGCAAACAAAGATCTATTGTACAGAACATCAATACTATATATACACTGGATGTAAATTACATTTATTTTCCCAACATTGCATTAGTAAATTCCCATAATAGAATGGTGTAAGGTTTATAAATGTACTTTTATATGGTTGAAACGAAAGACGGAATTTGGTGAAATCTTCATTCTGAAAATTTATTTCACCGTGTGTTATGTCTATTATGTTGGTCCCGTAGATTGTTGATATCAAGAGGTTTCTTGAAACCTCAGTGTTTCACATTATATGTGTGTAGGTGCTTTGAAAGTTCCCAAAAGCCCAGTGAGTTGCCCGGATTTGATGAAATTGTGCCTCAAACTTATAGTATTCATATATTTGTTGGTCGAGGATAGTCGTAAAGACTTATTTGATGTAAATGTTCGTAGATTTTTATACGAGCATATATTATTGTTCTACTGTATGTTGATAAATACGTGTATGTATAGCGAGTTGATACGATGTGAATTTTAAAGTAGTTAATTCAATAATAATACTATTGCCGCGTTCAGTACTGCAAAAGGAATTCCGATGTTCGAATCTAGCAAAACCTGCGTACACAACTCCAATTATGTTATTAATACTGTATGCCATTAAATAAAAAGTTGTGAAATATCGCGGTATTATTTTTTTTGTATTAATAATTTTTAAAGTTCCGTAATAAAGTTTAGTTAGTTAATGTATTTTGATAATTTTAGTGTCTTTTCGTTTAATCAGTGACCGTGTGATGTTTAATATTTTCTTTTTAGTAAAAACATGTTGATTGAGCTTGCACGATGGCTGTGGAGCCATTTGGCTTCTTTTACACCAAGATGTTTATCTTCATAATATACGCATATAGTGATCCAACCGCGTTGTTTACCACCTTAAAATTTCTAATTTCCTTTGCAGCACTCGACGCAACGAACGCTTTTATAATGGATATATTAGTTAATAATTTATGTTAACGGTATTCAAAATGAGTATTATGTGATCACTATATTGTGCCAATATATATAAAAACGTAGTTTAGCGTAATTGGTATGTGGCTTTGTGGTGGATCCTGTTTCAGGGATAGGATGGGACAATAATAATGCCCCAGGTCTCGATCTGGATAATTTTCAACTATAATATACTTTTCTGGTATAACAGAAAGGGAAATTTGCTGTCTTCAGTTTTTTTGCTATTCTTTACAGATATGTCGTTTAAGTTGTTATAATATGGTGCGAAAAAGTTTTATAACAACAAATGTACGAAACAGGATTCACATTGGATTCGTACGGATTTTATTAAGATTTATAACATTTAAAATATTAAATTTTATTATTAATTTTGACAGAAACTGATGTTTTTTGTTTTATTTAACGAAAATCCTTTTACATAATGCTTACGTGTTTATCGTTCGAAATAGTACAAATTCTTTTTTTAATGGAATGAATGAATGAGTTATGAAATGAATACACGGCATTTTTGGCTAAATACAATTTGTAACGTATTTCAAAAAATATAATTAGAGAAAATGTAAGCGGTAAATGAATAAAAAGCATTGCTAACATTAGATAACAATCATTGCTAAATATACAAAAAAAAAAATGATTAGATAAGATGTCGGGGGTTGGGATATTGACCGCTTAGCTTAGTGCCTAGAGTGTCTGGAAGCGAAAATCTGAAGGTGCAAATTCGAATCCAGGCAGCGGCGAGAAATTTTGCGGTAGATTATATATACATTTCTAAATTTCATCTTAGAGGCAGAGACTAGCACCAAAAATTAAAATATTCTTTTAATTAAAGTGCGATGCCGTGATAGTTCAGTGACCGGACGCTCGCCTTTAATTCAATATACTCTAGCGACCTGAGTTTGATCCCCAGTGCCGGCACAAATGAAATTGTTAATTTTAAGTGCCGAATTATAATGTGCTCAGCGGTCAAGGAAAACATCGTGAGGAAACCTGCATATTTTCAAAAATATAAAAAAAATATTTCGAAGATATGTAAAGTCCGCCACTACACAGTGGGGCCGCGTGTTGGACTATGCCCTGCTGGATCCACCGCCGGTGGTCCCGCCGGATAACACTAAACCCACAGTTAGTGCAACAACAAACACACTAGTTCGCCCTCGCCTCCGAGCACGGCGAGACCAACACAACGCGTACACAAAGTACACCCGCGTTCCGGGGCGTTTCTCACCGCCCCCAGCCACCGATTAGCTAATTGTACAGTCGACGGCCATCGGAGTTTCGGTCCGAACCGCGACCTCGATGGCCCTTAGATGACACATACTTAAATGCACATATGAGCACATGCGTGGGCCTACCCACAGCGGAGGGCCCAAACTCGTGGGTTCTGGCTAGCCCACCGGTTCTGCGTCAGATGAAGCTTTAATAGTCTCGGGACTGAAAGCAAAAACATCAGTTAATACAAGATACTATGCCCTGATACCCTCTGTACAGAAGAAGGCCTCTTCTGTACTAGCTTCTGTGTTAGCCCTACTTTGCTGATACTTCACTTTTTTATTATCATCATCATCATCATTTCAGCCTGCTTGAGTCCACTGCTGAACATAGGCCTCCCCCATAGACTGCCATGAAGTACGATCCTGAGCCACCTGCATCCATCGACTTCCCGCACATTTGCACAGGTCGGCACTCCATCTAGCGGGGGGTCGTCCTACACTGCGATGGCCAGTACGAGGCTGCCACTCGAGAACCTTTCTTCCCCAACGGTTATCGGCTATACGAGCTAAATGGCCGGCCCATCGCCACTTCAACTTGCTAATCCTCTGAGCTATTTCGGTTACTTTGGTTCTACTGTGGATGTCTTCGGTACGAACTCTATCACGCAGAGGAATACCGAGCATGGCCCGCTCCATAGCTAGCTGAGCGACTTTGAGCTTCCTCATACGGCCAGCAGTGAAGGACCACGATTTTATTTAAAGTACATACACTTTTATATTATTATTTATTTCTTCTTTATTGAAAATCGAACAAGGACAAAATTAATGTGTTTACGTTTCCTCTTACAATTAGATGATTCTAAGCAACAATGATAAAACAAAATACAAATTTGCATTTACTCATATGTGGTCTCATACAATGACATCTTGTAATTAATTATATCACGAGGTAGTTTCGTTGCCTTGCGCCTCTAACAATTTACATTTTCAAATAATACTAAAGTGAAAAAACTCAATCAAGACTTTTAATTAACCAGCGCCCCTCCGTAAAATTTAAAGAGAGAATGTCAGTATGCCGACACTAGGTGGCGCCAAAACGGGAAGTGATATTATGTTAAATCATTGTTCAGCTTATTTAATTTTCAGATAGAAGACGATCTGCAGACTTACATTGAATTTTCAGCAAACTGTGAGCAATATATGTAAAAATGTTGCGATATACATATTATATTTAGTAAAGAAAACTCACATGTTTATAAAATATGCCATGTACGTTCGACTTAGAGCGAACATCAGACTTTCCTTCTGTTATTGGGCTGGTGGATGGGAAATTTATTAAAGAAATACTTTATATAAAGGGTTATTATAATGTAAATGAAAACATTAATGACAATAACCTGGGAATAAGTTGATCGCTCTCAAACTATTTCTAAAAGAAAAAAAATCAGTTGTACTTATAATATTTTTTTTAAATATGACAAAAACACGATACCTACGGAGTTTCTTTCTCTTGATACTTCTTTGTTAGATGAACTTCATTACGAAACGGTGGTAGATTAAAATAATATCATTTCATTAAAATAATATCGATAGATGATACATAATATACTGATGAAATGTATGTTTCCTGTCGATGAATGATTTTGATTTTTGAAGTGTACATAAATAACGAATTTTTAATGAATTTCATCAGCGGCTCTGAAAATAGAGTTCCATCGAAGGCTTGTGATAGACTGACAGTAGATGGCTGCAGACTGCAGTGCAATGTAGTGTGTCTTAGTATTTCTTTATACAGACGATTCACATTAGTTATACCGCCTTTTTCCTTTATCCTGGCCTGGATCCATCATCGGGCCGCCAAAATAACAGGTCACTAAAAAAACTGTGATAGCTCTTTAAAGGAAACCACTAGTATCACCGGTTTGAGTCAGTAATATACATAAAGTAGATATAAATTATAAAACTTTTTTAAAAAGCATTTCAATAGCTTGATACGTGTATGTTGAATGAGTGAATAATGAATATTTATACACTTTATGGATATATATTTAGAAGTGATGGGTACTTTTCACCCTCTATTATAAAATACTTACTCAATTTACATGTCAACCGGTGCAAGCGTAGCTGGCAAGCTATTTGGAAAAAGTTTACTACGAAGGAGCTATCATTCGACGCTGCATTGAGAATTTATAACTCTCGTGATACAGCAGTGCCGCCATCATAATCTAACAATAATAGTTACGCTTCAGGGCTTGCAGTAGCCCGCAAAAGTAGTAATGTGGCTTGAAAAACAAATAAACGAACAAGACATTTCAATGTTAATTTATTTCATAAGTCTTTCACAATAGTATTAATTTTATTTTAGATTTAGTATACTACAATATACCTATGTATTTGTAACTTAAGCGGTAATTTTGAGGATGGCTTACGTGTGTAACCTTAACGAGTCTTAAAAATAAAACAACGGAATAATAGTAAATTCGCCAAAAAAATAGAAGACAATGTTATTCCAATCGTCAGTTCACAATGAAGACATTATGTTTTCCATCAGTTTAAGGACAGACGGACGAACTGAAACAATTTGGCATAACAAATCCTACGTTTCAACATAATTTGTAAGCCTTAGACAGATGGCCTTAGCATAAGAATAATGATTGTGGTCCACAAATAACTCGATAATAACGTAAGCTTTAAATAAATAGACACGAGAATATGTTGCGTATTTACAACAATATTGCCTTTTACATAAACTTTAGAAAACAAAATAGACATTTTTTTTATTTTGTGTGTTATAAACACAACATTATATTTGTTATAGGTATTCAATACAGAACACCAACAACTTTCCCCCTCGATCGCGTAAATCGATCGAAAGGGTGAGGGTTGAGTGCAAATCTAGATAGGGTGCTGTTATATGCTCACACTTATAGATTATGTGTACTTTCGAATACCTACTGGCATCAACCACTCGCTTATGCGCGAATCGTGATTTTTAAATTTAATTTTTGTACTTTTCATCCTCGATTACAATACAAAAAGCGTTCCATAAAGAATATTATAGATTACCAGCGGACCCGACAGCCGTTGTTCTGTCTGTACATACAGCAACAACTGTAATGATAGTTGTGAGTTGATGTATAAAATAAATAAATAAATAAATAAATAAAAACTTATAAATAAAAAAATAAAAAAAAATGATAGTGGACCGAATTGTGAATCAAAACCATTCTGGAATTGATTAATCACATAATTTAATTTCCTTTATTATATCTTAAACTCTTTAAACTCTTCATGTTCGAAAGTCCAAGAACATTTTGTTCACACAACTTTTCTATTTAGTTCTTTTGATTTATTTGTTTTAAATTTTAAGCTTGCCGTGTTTGCGTCTGCATGTACATTGATCTGTAATATTAATTCATGTTTTAAATAATATGATTTTAATATAACAACCTAATAATTAATTAATTCATAAAAAAAAATATATTATTTTCATTTACATTTACAGGGAAAAGTCCAGAAACTAAATATAGTAATTGATAAATCTAGAATTTTTCATATCACCAGTAAAAATTTACGTAATTATTTCATATAAAAAAGATAAAAAAAATCAATACGCAAAAGTTCTATAGTAACAACCACCAACGATAGGCATTAGGGCAAAAATTGGGTCCCCTTTATTAAACTGTAATGAAACCCTATTCTTTGATTTGTGGAGAGCGACTTTATTTCTATAGGTATCCAGATATATAAAGCAAAAGATTAAGAAAAAGCTTAAATAAATATATTAAATTGAAAAAAGAAAATTAGTAATTTAATAAATTTATTGAGTTTTGCCAACATTTATCAATAGTTACAGTCTCATCACCGTAACCGTTTAGAAGTTTTGATTAATTTATACATATTGGGACGGAAACAGGTTGAAATTGTAAATTGTTATTTAAAAAAAATCTTTACTGTCCTATTATTTTGTATGATAAATATTGAATCAAAATTATTTTGTTCAGATATTCACACAGTTAATCGACGCTTGTTAATCTAGGCAAATAAATGTCTAACCTTGTAGAAAGACCTATCTACTAAGAAAAGTGAAGTTTGTAGGTGTATTAAAAATATATGAAGTTATAAAGCGAAAAAATATTTTAGAATATAATCTTAAAAATTAACTTCCTTTGTTAAATATCTAATACTACTTACATGAAGTATTTTAAGCATTTCTAACGTGTGGATTTTCAGTACAATATAACATGCATAATTAATTATTTTTAACTTCATGTTATAACAGTTGCAGCTTTAGTAAACTTGTACTATGTTATAACAATGTTAATGACGTTTATATTATTGGTGTATAAAATAATATTATTGGTTCATTACAATCCTTTCAGTTTTATTTACATGGATCACACGACATTGTACATAATTACAAAATGACATTCCATAAAATAGTGCAGTCAGTAAAAACGAGCATTATACGGCAGTATGTCGCGAAACTACTGTTTTATAACACTACGAAGTCGCCGAACTGAGTTACGGTGCCACGCGGCAGATGCGGTCAAGTTGTGGGCCTCTTTAAGAGCACTTCCATATGCAGACCGCCTGGTTGCCGCCGAAGTACATGTAGCAGATGTTGGCGCACTCGTAAGTGATCTCGAAGCCGTAGCTCTCGCCGACCACCACGTGGAACGCGGGCCCGAACTTCTTGTCCATCGACTCCTTCACCATGCGCGCGGCCAGCTCGTTGTTCTGGGAGAACTTCTCGCACGCCGTCACGGACAGCTCCATCGCCTCCGTTCGCATCTCCTCCGACATGTCAGAGTGCTGTAATCGTTTTATTAGCGGGGGTTTTAGTAGGCGGATAAACTCCTAGACCGTAAATAATACATTTGTTTTTTGTTTTATATTTTGTGTCTCGTTTATAGGTACTCTACTCTACTTTTTATGTATTCCGCCGTATACAAAGTCCCTTTTTTATGCGAAAAATCCGAAAGCGAGCAGAGGAGAGCGCTTCACCAGTGTCGTTATTATCTCCGCACATTGACATCTATAATACCTGCATTGCCAACCATTTAAAAACTGGGCCCCGGTCACCCCACTTCGAAACCAGTCACCTCACCCAGTCGAAACACTAAGACTTTCAATTTTATGCCGGCCTTCTGTGAGGTCGTGGTACGTGGGACGATCAGGGCCCATTCGTGCAATAGCACAAGTTATTACGTGCCACTACTGCACGAAAAAAACTGTACCTAACATTAAGAATTAAGGGATTTTGTTACATTGTCAGATTCTACTATACTTCATCGGTCATAAGACCAGCGAAAATGCCAACGTTAACTTCGGTGGTCGTCGCTGGGAGACATTTGAACCGGCCCGTCACGTAGGTGTACCTAGAGTACGCTACCACACCCTAAGTGTAAAGTAGAGCAAGAGTATTGTTCTATATAATATACTAGCGACACATAAACCTTCCTCTTGAATCACTCTATCAAGTAAAAAATAATTACAAAATGACAAATATATTGACAATTGTGTTGTCGTCCCAGAACCCCTCCACTAACACTTAAACTTTATGGTATACTATACATAAAGTTCAAATTGACTTTTAAGTATTATTATGAATCTTTTGTATGGGAATACCTAAAAGTGTTGTTTTTAGAGTATTCCAGGCAATTTTTTTAATTTTTCTAACTGAACTAACACTAACACCCGTTTCGGTGGTAGAGGTTTCGGCATCTGCCACCCTACGGTTGTCTCAAATGTCCATGGGCGGCGGTTACAAATTAACATTTTGTGAACAGCCAGCTCGTTTGCCACTTTCTCATATAAAGAAAAAACACACAAATTACAACGCTACATAGTAAAAAGCGAACGCTCAGTTGCAAATAAATAATTTTCAACGGTGGTAGGGCCACGCAGCAGCCTCGCTTGTTGCACGAATGGGCAGGCTCGTCCGGGTAAGTACCACGACCTCACAGAAGACCGGCATCAAGTGGAAGTATAATACGTTCGCGTTTCGTCTGGTGAGTGGGGTAGCCGGAGCCCAATTTTCAAAAGGTTGTTAACGCATCTGGAACCTTCGGGTGTAGCAGATGTCCATGGACGGCGGTATTCACTTAACATCAGGTGAACCGTCTGCTCGTTTGGCAACTTTTTACATAAAAAAAAAGAAAAACCCGAATTCATAATTTCTTAATGTTCTTAGTTGTGATGATTGTAAGTACTCTGCAACAGTTGCATTTAATAATAATGAGTCCAAAACAGAATAAGTTGTGCAATATTCATTAAAAATTGTATGTCGAAAATAGAGAAAAAAAAATGTTGCATGCCAATTACAATCACAAGTACTATTGTATGTACAAGGAAAGTGTACGTACAATAAATTATCAAAGTGTACTGATTAAGGTTTATCCAAATGGCATCGCTGAGTATCAAACCCAGACATAAATAGCTGTTAATAGTCTATCAATAGCATAAACCTTCGTGTATAATAAAGCATTCAGCTGTTAAAATAATAAGCAATTTAGATTTTTGAGGAGTGAAGAAAAAAAAGGCAATTTATGTAATGCACGTTGTGCAAAGACCTCAGAGTAATTACTGTATTAAACACTAAAACTTAATTAAGGGGTTAATTATTTAACAGCTGGCAGCTTAATAGATTTGAACAACCTTCCCTAACATAGGTGTAACTAAAACTAATTAGGTAAAATAGCAGTCAAGTAACATAATTAGACGAAATATAAAACGTCTCTACTTCCCAAGCTTAACATTTTTGGATTATTGCGTTGAAGCGGTCAGTTTGCTTTTCAATGTCTCACGTTCACACGTTTTTTATGATTAGCTTGTATTGTTATGATTTTTGTGCTATTCACCATAACTTAAATAATTATATGGTTTCCTGAATATACTAGCAATATTTTTATCCATTATAAGAATAATATGTACTATGTGAGTATTTTGTAAACGAAAGCAACTGATGTAAAGTTTAACGACTTGATTTCTGTTAAAGTTGAATATTTCTTTTGGAATATTTTATATTAAGGTAACAGTCTAAAATATTTTATCATACACCCAACGGTGCTAAGATTTATAAGAAAACTAACGGACCCGAAAGACGTTGTTCTATAGACACGACTTAATTCCGACAACAACTTATAAACAAAAAAAAACACAACGCGTACACAAGGTACACCCGCGTTCCGGGGCGGTTCTCACCGCTCCCAGCCACCGATTAGCTAATTGCACAGTCGACGGCCATCAGGGTTTCGGTCCGAACCACGACCTCGATGGCCCTTAGATGACACACCATAGTTAAACGCACGCATGAGCACATGCGTGGCCCTACCCACAGCGGAGGGCCTAAACCCGTGAGTTCTGGCTAGCCCACCGGTTCTGCGTCAGATGAATCTTTAATAGTCTCGGGACTGAAAGAAAAAACCAAGATACAAGAAGATAAACAAAAAAAATTGTAGTGGACTGAATTGTGAATCTAAACTATTCTTGAATCGACCTGAGGATACACGAAAAATTTCATTTAAATCGGTCCAACCATTTAAAACAGTTCAGTCAGTGACATATACACGCACAGAAGAATTATATATAAAATTCTTGTTTTAGTGTTTATACACCTCCGAAACGGCTTGACCGATTTTGATGAAATTTTATATGTATATTCAGTAGGTATGAGAATAGGTTTATAACTAATTTTTTATACCCTATGTGATAAGGGTGGTCCACCCCGAACATTTTTTTCTACCCTACAAACAATTTATATGGCAAAACAACCTTTGCCGGGTCAGCTTGTTGTTTTCGGATTTCAGTCGTACTCACAGGACAACGTCTGTCGGGTCCGCTAGTATAAATATAAAAATCTAGAAAGTTTCTGTTTAAAATGGATGTTTTAATAACATCCATAGTAATGAAATAAACAAATCAGTGCTATTGTTTACTCAAGGTTTCGATTGACGGTTGGCGGGAACAAACTTAGGACTGAGTGACGGCAGAGTAGTGGCGGCTGACGTAGAATTAGAAGCCAATGTCCGGTTAGAGACACCTGTCAAAATAAAAGGCGGATCCTCTGCTAGGTTGCTCGTGCTTCAGAAAGATTTTTATTTAAAATCGGACATGATATTAATGTCGAGTAAGCGATATCAACAAGCTATAAAAATATACAGGGCAAAATAAATAATTAATATATATTTTTAAATGCTTCGTGTTATTTGGTGCAACGATACACTTGTATACCGGTAGGTATACCTACAGATTTTAAACAAAACATATTTTGAAATTTAACTTACATTTCGCGAAAAAGCAAGCGATAACTACACCTTTTTTAATCATACAATCGAGGCGTCAAACCATTCAAGACCTTTAAAAAATCAATCAATCAACCATTCAGACACTAGTCCAAACAAATCGGTTAAATGGATTGACGTGTTTATCGCTTGGCGCGTAATTTATTTGCACCAGGTGGTGCATGGTAGTTTTTTAATGCATTGCTCTGTAGCTATACTAGAACACGAAGCGGAGGGCCCAAACCCGTGGGTTCTGGCTAGCCCACCGGTTCTGCGTCAGATGAAGCTTTAATAGTCTCGGGAATGAAAGCACAAACATCAGTTAATACAAGATACAAGAACACGTAAACTTTGCTATTGTGCGATCCCGTAAGCGTCTTCTTATTTATTCAGTAACGCAAGTCTCAGAATGGAGAAGACATACGACTTACTAGCGCTACCAGTACGTTAGTAGACTATTAAACTCTTAAAGTATTAATATATAATAATTGTGGTAAGAGCCACGTATTGTCGTAAGATCCAAATCCCAATTAATAATTTTAATTATAATTTTCTTTCGATAGATGTATTATCTCTTTTTATTTTCATTTTCTACAAGAATCGCTAAAACTATTGCTTACTATAGGCAATACAAACATTATGTATTAAATCGAGAACCAATTAAATTTAGATTAAATTTAGAATATTTTCCGTTTCGCACATTACGTTTATGTTGATCAAACCTCATCGCTAGATAGATATACAAAATATCATCAATAGAACGAATTATGCGATAACTAAAACCAGATAGTATACAGCGAGTCTTTACAATCGCGACAATAAATAAACACGCATATAGGGGATAACTTTTTAAAATTGTATTAAACATTTACATTCTTTAAACATCAATATTTACAGAGTTATTAAATTTTCCAAAATAAAGAATTTTAGAACACCCTTACGTATAAAACTGTAACGTAAAGTTCATTTGTAAAGGTCACAAAGCATATGAATGGGTTGAATGAATTTAAAAGAGACAAAACATCATAAAAAATATTAACGTTAAAAATACGTAATTAAACTTTTTTTTTTCAAACAAACTAATTAAGTAAAAAATTAAGAAAATTTGTAACATCCTATACATTTACAACTGACTGATTCATTTTTTAAAAAATTTTCCATTCGTTGCCACAGCGTCGTATGTTTGGTTTCTTAAATTCATTCAACCCATTCATATGATTTGTGACGTTTACAAATGAACTTTACGTTACAGTTTTATACGTAGGGATGTTCTAAAATTCTTTGATTTGGAAAATTCAATAACTCGGTAAATATTGATGTTAAAAGAATGTGAATTTTTAATACAATTTTAAAAAGTTTTCCGTGTGTTCATATATGTGTGTATTCTTATGTGTGTTCATTTATTGTGCTATTGTAAAGACACGCTGTATAAAGATTAAAGGCAAAAAACTCGACTGTAAACAAGTAACTGTTATTACAGCAGTCATTTTTTAATAAACTTTGTATATAAGTAAGTTTTGATATATATAATTATAAAATGGAATATAAACATCTTGAGATATTCTGAGTACTATGACAAGTTTTAGTGACAATAGTTTTGTTCAAAGTTTAAGTTAACATTAGATTTCAACTTTCTCTCAAAGTTGAAAATAGAATTATTTAAGATAAGTTATATGCGTTTTATTTGATATTTGGACATCGATGCTTACACCTTAAGATAGGTATGTATCTCAGCTAGGATTTGACTTAAGTCACTAAATATAAATAAAGTCAACTCAGATAATCGACTAATTGTAAGACCTTACATAATTACTACACTCGTAGATCCGTTAATTTCAATGTTATATGTGTTTTTTTTATTAAGAAAAAGAGATAACTAAAAACACTAAGAAAAAAGTCGAAAAAATAATTAAAATAGGTACAAAGTTGTAATTGTAATGTATTTGTAATCCATACTTAATATTATAAATGCGAATTTAAATCTGTCTGTCTGTCTCACTTTCACGCCAAAACTACTGAGTTAAACGAAATTTGTTACACAGATAGTCTAGAGCCTGAGACAGGTCATAGGCTATTTTTTAATTGTAAATAAGCGTTGTAAAACTTTGAAAGGTTAAAGAAAGACATTTATTTAAGGGCTTTAACGCGAGCGAAGCCGCGGGCGAAAAGCTAGTTTGGTGATAAATCCGCGCAGCCCCGTACAAAGCGGTGAGACGAAGTCTATGGGTTTCAATATCGACATTTTTTAAAATTTATTACAGACAAGTCATAAATCGAACACATCAAATTTATTAAATTGAATATATCATTCAGAAAGTCGATGTCCACCCTCTGCACACCCCGTCAGGAGTTAAAAGCTTGCAAACATGGTATATGACAATATATGTAATGTGACACTATATAAAGTGTCCGTTATATAACCTAATTAAATACTATTTGTACATTTCTCCTTTTCAAAAAGCGAATTCGAACGGATTGAGCAAATGTAACCCGAGAAGTCACGGTGTACGGTGATCAGTGATGCGCAAGAGTAGAGCTTCGCTTCACCGTTTGCGTCTTCAGACCTTGACTTAAGGAAAACCATATTTAGTTTAATATTTATTTCATTTACAGATGTACTACAATCAAGAATATTAATCGTGTAATTAAATTATACGCGCGAAAATCAGCGACACAAACTTTTTTATTCCTGCCTTTTGGAAAAACTATAATTTTTGGGCCTTTAAAAATGTCTTTTATCCCTGGTAATTAAAATATTAAGTAAAATAAAAGATAGGTATATAAAATTAAAACTTTAGAGAAGTGTATTTATTCGAAAAAATTCACTTCTCTAAAGTTTTAATTTCCATAAATATGTGTAACTAAAACTTAAGTGAAAAGATAAATTATTTTAGTATTTCATATCATTATTTACATGATTTTTATTAGTTTTAATAATTGAAAAATTTACCCTAATAAGTGGATATGTGTGAATAACTTTTTCCTCAGTAACTCCGGGAGCAGCTCCACCCTCTTCAGCCATCGTCCATCAAAATTAAAACTTCACAAAACAATAGAAATCTCAATACAGCATTAAAACACGAAGTGGAAAATCAAAGTAAAAACGTGCGACTCTCAGCGCGACGTCTCCCCACTGTTTACTCGTCGCCTTGGAAACCGACAGAGGCTACCCGAACCGAAAGATGCGATTGATTTTTCTCATCATGTAAATCTAGTAGGTATGTATGCCAGATATAAACAAAGAGTATTCGTCAAGGTTAAACGTGGGAGAGCATTTGAATACTTAATTATTATCTTAAGAAATGTTAGTATGATGTTAATTAGATACATTATTATGTTTATTATGAAAACATTTAAGTTCCAGTTAACCAAAATTATTATATAAATGGTTATTTCCATTTCATTCCATAAAATTTTAAATTTGAAGTATGGCTTTTCTTGATGTTAAGTTTTATCATACAGTAGATAGTTATTAATCTACATAATAATAAAAAAGGATAATAAGCGTTGAGTAATTGTGTGTGTGTGAGTATTGTGTAGATCGTGATATAACCCTTAATGAAGTGTACTGTAAATAGGTAATATTTAGCAATGATTTTGAAACAGTTACAACACTATTATCAAAAATACCTTTTTTTCTTGTTTAAGCAAACCTAATAAAATCTATTTAACTGAAAATACTTACAAAAATGATATTTTCGGTAGGTACCGTACCGTAATGGTAGAAAAAATTAAAACATGTTTCCCTATAAAAATAAGCCAAATTACGATTTTTGTAAATATCGCTTTTAACTTTATGTAATCATATTTTCCGACTAAAGGACTCTGTATCCATGGTCATGAAATAAATTAAAAAAATAATTAAATAAAAATATGTCAAAGCCAGCTGAGTTTTGACGTTTAGTGTATATCTAATTCATCATTTATCCAACAATTTCCAACATTTCATGTTTTAATACTTATTCCTATGACAATCATAAAGAAAATATATTTAGTATAAAATGGCTTCGAGATTCAGTGGTGTATTACAACTAACAGACCTTGACGATTTCATAACACCGTCACAGGTTAGTGCTATAACCTTATTTATTTTATGTTAGTAATTCATAATCACAGAAATATTTTTTTATAATTATTAACTTGGTTTTAATTCTGATAAATTATCATCCCTGAAGCTGCGCATAAAGCTTATATTATTTCATTGTTTGTATGTGAAATTATTTAGATTTTTGTTTTAGGAATGTATAAAGCCAGTGACAATAGAAAAGACAAAAACAAAAACTGGCGCAAAGATCAAAATCGGTGACGATGGCTACTTCGATGTTTCGAGTGGTAGAGAACAGAAACTAAAGAAAGTTGAGATTACATTGGCGGATTGCCTAGCATGTAGTGGATGTATCACTTCTGCTGAGAGTGTGCTAGTGACACGACAGAGTCAAGAAGAGTTACTAAGGTAGTATATTGTATATATGTATAATATTTTAACCTACTCTGGTAATAGAACCTTGAAAGACTGGTTATAATGGTAAGTGTACATGATAACAATATGTTTTCTTTCTCTATTTTTTAATAACATAATTTAATTGTCTTGATCAATTCCCTCATACTTGTTTGATCCACAAAAAATTGTTTTACAGGGTTTTAACAGACCGAAAGTATACAGACTCCAGAGGTGTGACAAATGATGTAAGTCTAGTAGTAGTGTCATTGTCACCACAGCCAGTACTGTCCCTTGCTGTGCGCTACAAATTAAGCCCTGATGATGCAACAAAGAAGCTAGTTGGTAAGACTAGTCTAAATATTTTAAATTAATCATTAATGCTGAATTCATACATCGTATACTCTCCTATTGCTGCATTTTCAATTTAAGGGTAAACCATATTGAAATAAGTAACAGTTTATATAGTTAAATTATTGTAGCACTTCTGACAAAAAGAGTGAGTTTCCGATAATATTTTGGCAGAATGGCCCAAAATTTAAATAATTTTTTTACCAATATTTTGAGTTTCATTATGCATTATTGAATTGTATTATGATAATTAAAAACAGACTTTTAAGTACTTCATAGTTAATTAGTTAGCAGATACTTGTACTTTGTTCCTTATGTTATAGGCACATATTTTTAGCAATAGTTAATGATGATAAAAAACTACACATATATTCAAGCAATAAAAAAATTGATTCATCTAACAAACATATATCCATGTATGTGAGTTCAGGACATGTAGGTGTTAATGAATACACATTGCAGGCTACTTCAAGAGCCTTGGTGCTGATTTGGTTCTGGACATGACAATAGCGGAGGACTTGTGTCTGTTAGAGGCGCAGCAGGAGTTTCTCCAGCGTTACCGGGAGCAGCAAACAGACCCTAAATCCCAACACTTGCCCATGCTCTCCAGCTCTTGTCCAGGTACTATATATATATAACTATCAATATTATAATTACATAAATGTTACAAAATTTACCCCTCATTTTAAATCTTTTTAAATTTTTGGAAACAGTCATTCAGCCAGGTCAGCAGCCAAAAATTTTGTTAAAAAGGGTTCCAAAATGCATTGAGTTGGTTTTATGTTCAATTTTGCTTAAAATAAATCTTCATTTCTTTAAAGGGTTGATATATGATTATTTAACCTCAACAATATCTATGTGAAAGTATTGTAAAATTGCTCACTAGATGGCGCCAAGTATTACTAAAATGTTAAAAGTGATAACCAGATAGATGTGGAGATTTTTGCACCACAAGGATATTGGGTGCTTAGATTAGGTGGGTAATTCTATTTTATAGGTCTCGTGTGCCGTGGCACTTTTGAAGACTCTGGCGCAGTAGCTAGGAGGCGCCGCCAGTCTTGTTTCGATTCCCGATTCCCACACGAGACAACTATTTGTTTGTTTGACGCAGATAATTGTTTCGTGATTTGGGTGTTTGTCCATTATAAAACCATCTGGGTCTCAGTGGCCATTTAGTTTTGCTACCCAATCCCTTCCGCACAGGCTGGGTGTGCTACGCGGAGAAGACCCACGGCGACACCATCCTGCCGTACATCTCCAGCACCAGGTCCGCGCAGCAGATAATGGGCGCGCTGGTGAAGAGGCTGCTGAGCGAGGGGCGGCAACTGGCCCCGGCCAGCCTGTACCACGTCACGCTGATGCCCTGCTACGACAAGAAGCTGGAGGCCTCCAGGGAGGACTTCTACAGCGAACTGCTCAATTGCCAGGACGTAGACTGCGTGGTGACCGCAAGTGAGTTTGTTCTCGACTCGCTTTTTTTTCCAATTGGCCCAAACGGTGTCCATTTTAATCCGAAATTGTATGTGTGGTGAACGCAAGTGAGTTTACTCTAACTCGACTCGCTTTCTTTTTGTCAGTTGGCCGCAACGGTGTCCGTTTTAAATCCGAGATTATAAAACTAAGCATTAATTTGTAAAGCGATATTTGCTTGTGATGATTCAAGGGGATTTTTTTGTTTGGTTCACCTGATGTTAAGTGAATACCGCGAAAGTATTATTCGCAGTATTTTTCGCGAAGGATATTTAAGTATTAAAGTTATTACTTCCACTTTACGCTGTTGCGGTGTTCTGTGAAGTCGTGGTAATTACCCGGGCGAGCCTGCCCATTCGTGCAACAGCCGAGGCTGCTGCGTGGTCCTACCACAGTTAAATGGTGGATTTTACGATATTATTACCACTTGACAAAAAATATGTTTCGACTGTCAAATACTGTTAACAAATTTATCCCGGTTCTTCTCTTCGTTACCGAACTGGTAGTAGTAAAATTTTGACAATCAATAAGTAAGTTAGAAGCTATAATACTAAATAAAGATATTTGAATTTGAAAAAAAGTGTATTTTTATGTGCGAAGGTGGCAAACGAGCTGGCGGTTCACTTGCTGTTAAGTGATAACCGCCACCAACCATTGACATTTGCAACACCCGTAGGGATGCAGATGCGTTGCCACCTTTTAATAAACTCAGTCCCAGCTACCCCGCTCACCAGACGAAACGTGGAAGTATAAAACTTCCACTTCACTCCGGTCTTCTGTGAGGTCATGGTACTTACCCGAACGGTCCTGCGACTACCCGAACGGTCCTGCCCAGTCGTGCAACAGAGAAGACTGTTGTGTGTGTTATTAAATAAATGAATTAAAATTAAAATTTTTATAGTGCTCAAGATTGTGCACATAACATTAAACATTAAAGTTTGTAAACATTAAAAAAGTGCGAAAAGTTTTTCGCCGCTGTGGGAATCGAACCCGCCTTTTCGGGATTCGCTCCATGGCGCTTTAGCGACTGAGCTAAACAGCCGATCGCCTCACGTGGGCTCTATTCCCACATAACTTTTTTTCTGCTAATTTTAATAAATAAATAAAGTTGAGCATCGGAATGCTGTTTCCACAGTCGAGGTGGAACAGATGTTGGAGGGGAGCGGCAGGTCGCTGGGCGAAGTGGGGGGCGCAGAGCTGGACGCGGTGTGGGGCGAAGCGCCAGCGGGGCTGCGCGGCCACGCGGGCTCCGGCTCGGGGGGCTTCGCACACCACGTGTTCGTGCACGCCGCGGAACAGCTCTTCGGCCTCACAGACCCGCCGATGGTGTACAGGAACCTGAGGTGAGTCGGATAGCGGCAGGCCGTACGAGGCCGCTCGGTAGATCAGAAAACTATGGAGTCGCTATTACTGCGCGATGTGTTTTTGAAGTTGTACTTCTTGGAACTTAGTCGCTCAGAAAACTATGCAGTCGGTATTACTCTTTTTTTCAAGTTATACTTCATCCGGCGTGTGTGGGCAAAATGATACAAGTGAATTTTTACGTAGCTTGACACCTAATAGAGTCACCGACTTCACGGTGATACCATGGTGATCGAAAACAACGTTTTGATTTACCTGTAAATAACCATTATCAATTGAATGTAATGTGTTTTCACTAACATAGAGTACTGGCACACGGCATAGTTCTTATGTTAAGCTAAAACAGTATAATGTAACATATATATATCATACGTTTTTTTTTTTTTATTTATTTATTTCATTTAAAAACTACCATTACAGACATACCAACTAGAGAAAAATATACATAAATATGTAAAAAAAAAGTAAAGTATCAGCCTATACATGTCTCACTGCTGGCCAAAGGCCTCCTCTGTACAGAGGGTATCAGGGCATAGTCCACCACGCGGCCCCACTGCGGATTGGCGGACTTCACATAATCTTCGAAAAATATTTTTTTTGTTATTATTTTAGAAAATATGACAGATTTCTTCACGATGTTTTCCTTCACCGCGGAGCACGTGATAAGTCAGCACTTAAAGTTAAAAAATTCATTGGTGCCGGCACCGGAGATCGAACTCAGGTTGCTCGAGTTCATTGAATTAAAGGCGAGCGCCCGGACCAGTGTCGGGGCGCTCGGTAGCTATAGCTCAGTAGCTATCACGGCTCTTACACTGAGTTATCACGGCTCTTATACTAAATATAGATACATAAATATGTATCTATATTTTTTTAAGAAAAATTTACATATTTATGCAATAACGACCACAGATCGCAGATACACAAATCCGTAACTCACCCTACAATGTTCTTTAACATTCGTATAATGAAGACACGCCGTCAATTAATAATAATAATAAATAGATCTTTATTGATAATGTAGGTACAAGTAATTTAAAATACAATTATATTGATCAGATTATAGAATAAAAGGTCTGGAGTTCAGGTTTGTTACACATATTGTGCACAACATTGATATTCTACCCCAGCCTGACATTAACTAACGGAACACTTTAGAATTTTAATAATTGGAAACAAAAAAGACGTAGGGAAGTGACGACCCCATCGCCCACCGGCGTAACAGTTCAAGTGACAGAACTGTTGCGCCGGCGCAATCAGTCAGCGCCTTGCCTATAGGTGTTTGCACCGTGCCTCGGCATAAGTGAGGGTGCATAGGCCCGTCTGTGCGAACGCTTTCTACTACAGAAAGAATGATGAATGAATCTGGGGGCGTCTTCCGTTAAACGACGCCCTAAAAATGGTTAATGGAAAAAAAGGAAGGAAAGTGCATAGGGCCGCTGCCTGGGGGCAGCCAGGGCGCGTCTGGAGCTGGCGCTGGACGTGGCAGCATGCGGGACGCTAGCCGAGCGCGGGGTACTGCACGACCACCAAGCAGTACCTCGCATCCATCATCCCCACCAGTTGGGTTGGTGTCGGCAGGGTCCTCTCGGATCCAGCAATCGGCACCCGCCGCTGGTGGAATACGCCGCTTGCGCTGGACGACGGAGATGAATAAGAACGCAATGCGGGCGTATCTTAGGGCGAAAGGGAGTGAAACTGGAGGGTTTGCGTATCGGACAAGGATGCATCGCTTTTTTGCTGAGCTGGAGCCGTCTGTAACCGTCACCGAGCAAAACCTCGCAGACCGAGTTCGGTACATCAAGCGTTCGAAAATATGTGATGATACCGAACTCGAACGACTTCGACGTGAGGCTGTTCCTTCATCGGACGAAAATGCAGTAGCTGGAAATGGGACCCCGCAAGCTGCGGATCCCGCGGGGTTACAAGCGGAAGCGGAGGCCGCGTTTTACCCCCCGGCTCCTGTAGATTCGTTCGATGATGGAATAGTCACACAAGATATAGAGCAGATGAGAAGCCTATTGGAGGAGGCAATTCTGGAGGTGCGCGCAATGCCTCTCGAGAATCGACCACGTCTCCCTCGCATACCCCTGAGTAAGCGGAGTCGGTCTGTCGTGAGGTCTCTTAACCCGATACTGGCAACATATTTGGAAGCTAGCCGGGACCTTTGCGATACGGACTCAATTCTCTTTGGCGCTGCACTGGCCGGATGTATGCCGGATCGTTGGCGCCAAACTTCCAAAGACTGGACGTGCTACTAGACCAGGTAGCACTATCCCAGTATGGAGAGGAAGAATTGAGGACCGTATCGCAAAGGTAAGGGCCATCATAGGCAGGCTGATAAGCTTCAGGTCAGGCAATAATAGGCCGAGAATTGTGCGCACCGTTAGGATGGCGTTCGCTGGGACAAACATCAACTCGTCCCAGCCGGATATTACGCCAAAACTAACGGAGAGCATAGATGTCCTGAAGCAGAGGATCGTTGCTTGGGGGAAGCGGATTCGGAGATATACTGAGAGGACGGCGCGGTTTAGCCAGAATCGCCTCTTCCAGAGTGACCAAAAGAGGCTCTACAAATCTTTGGAGCGACCAATGAGCTGTGGAACGGGCCAAGGACCAGACCAGGCCGACACTGTCGCCTTCTGGCGCAGCCTGTGGTCAGAGCCCGTAGACCACAGCGAGGGCCCTTGGACGCAAGTCGTGGCGGCTCGCAGATATCACACCCATGGACCCCGTCGTCATAACACCCGACGACGTATCTGAGGCAGTCCGTAGAGCCCCGAACTGGAAAAGTCCGGGACTCGACGGGCTGCATCACTACTGGCTGAATGGGTTCGTGGTGTGTCATGCTGTGCTCGCTCGACAGTTCCAAGAGGCTCTCGATCAGAGGTCGCTCCCGAACCTCTTTACTACTGGGGTCACTCACTTGGTTCCGAAAGATCAGTTTACCACAGACCCGAATAAGTACCGCCCCATTTCGTGTCTACCCACCATCTATAAGACACTGACATCTGTTCTGAGCATGAGAATCACCCGACATATTAATATGAATCGGATTATATTTCCTGCTCAGAATGGATGTCGGGGCGGCGGTCGTGGAACCAAGGAACCGCTTCTCATCGACGCGGTCATTGGCAAAATGGTAAAACGCAACCGTCGGAACTTCTCCGCCGCCTGGATAGACTACAAAGAGGCATTCGACTCTGTGCCCCATACATGGCTAAAGAGGGTCCTCGAACTGTACAAAGTAGACTGTACACTAAGAGACTTCCTCGAGCACTGTATGGGGCTATGGAGTACGATCCTTTGTCATCTAGGCGAGCGGATGACGGCTGCGGAATACCGGATAAGGATACGACGGGGTATTTTCCAAAGCGACTGTTTGAGTCCAATATGGTTTTGCCTCTCCCTGAATCCTCTCAGCGTGTTACTTACTGGAGGGCTCGGGGGGAGGATTTCAGCTTCGAAGAGGAGGGACAAAAGTGACCCACCTTTTCTACATGGATGACCTCAAATTATTCGCATCCAATCGCTCCCATTTGATGGAATTGCTTAAAGTCACTTGTGATTTCAGCAATTCTATCAAAATGGAGCTCGGGACGGATAAGTGTGCGGTCCTTCATGTCGAAAGGGGTAAGGTCACTAACACGGAGGGCATAGACTTATCTATGCCCGTTAACATAAGGACCCTCTCTGAGGCTGAAACATACCGATACCTGGGTATGTCACAAAACATGTGTATCGAAGAGGCTGGCATGAAACAGTCAGTTCTTGATGTGTATTTGCACGCCTGACAAAGGTGTTTAACAGCCATTTGTTAGGCGTGAACAAGGCACGCGCATTTAACGGCTGGGTCATGCCAGTCCTCATGTATACCTTTGGCATACTCAGGTGGACTCAAACTGAGCTCAATGCCCTGGACCGAAAAGTCCGCACAACTATGACGTCCCACAGGATGCATCATCCGAGATCGTCAGTGATGAGGCTGTACCTGCCGCAGAAGCATGGCGGGAGGGGCTTTTTGTGCGCCCTTACCATGCACAATCGCTAGGTGTGCAGCCTCCGCAACTACTTCCCGGCGAGATCGGATGAGTCAATCTACACGGACGTCATTAGTTGTGATAAAGGACTTACCCCTCTATCCTTAGCCAACGAGCAATGGCAGGACCCGGGAGTGCTGAGCGTTTCCGACCGGGAGGCCGTGTGGAAGGAGAAAGAGTTCCACGGGAGGTTTTTGGTATCGGGGGGGAAATCTTCAAAAGATACCCTGTCACTTTACATGACAGGGTTATGTGGGGTTCTTACCCACTAAAACCCCCTCGGTGGCCACCTTCTGTACATTTGGAGGGACTCCGGGATCTCCCATGGAACGCACTGGTGACCCTCGGTACTACGCCTGAGCACGCCTCGGAGAAGGATAAACCTTCTCCACTCCCCTCATCCTCTTACAGCAACACGAGACCACTTCGTGCTGCTGCCCATCCGTGTCCCCTTTTAGTCGCCTTTTACGACAGGCAGGGGATACCTTAGCCCTATTCTATGAGCCCGGGACTACAGGGCTGACGGAGCGGCTCGTCCGTTTCTACCACCCGCGCGCCTTCATCTCCGAGCGGGGTCGGCCCTCTCCCGTTCCCGCTCAGCGATCTCCTTCTGGAGCATGACTGCTTCGCAGAAGGAGACCAGTGCCGTCCAAGCAGATTTCTCCATCAGTGCAGCCGCCACTGCAACTGGTGGAGAAAGGTCCTGCCCGATCTTTTGGACCAGGATCCGACGTTCTGACTCCCAAGCGGGGCACTCTGCAAGAGTGTGTTGCGCGGAGTCCCGGTCCCCACCACAATGGTGGCATTTCGTTTCGTCCAATTCTATTTAGGTACTCACCAAAGCATCCGTGCCCGGTGAGCACCTGCGTCAACAGGAAGGTGACGTGCGCGAATCCCCTCGCACTTAGCCAGGCTTCGAATCCCTCAACTGGCTACGTTTCGGTGACCTCTTTGGGGAAACCGAAGGTTTTGTCTGTGCAATACAGGATCAGGTTATTAAGACGAACAACTATCGGAAATACATCCTAAAGGATGGCACCGTCGACATCTGTCGAGCTTGTCGCCATCCCGGGGAGTCGCTTCGGCATGTTATTTCCGGTTGTTCCATGCTTTCTCACTCTGAGTATCTGCATAGACACAAACTAGTAGCCAGAATCCTACACCCGGAGCTCGCTCTGAAATACGGCCTCGTGGATCGGAAACTGCCGTACGTATAAGTACTCTCCGGAGGCCGTGCTCGAAAATGACCGCGCCAGGCTCTATTGGGACCGGCCCATCATTACGGACAGGACGATTGTCGCAAACAAACCTGACATCGTGGTGATGGACCGGGCACAGTCGCTTGTATTTTTGTTCGACATTACTATTCTATATGACGAGAACCTCGTGAAAGCCGAAACAGATAAGAAAACGAAGTATCTGGACCTGGCTCACGAGGTGACCGACATGTGGGGTGGTGTGCCGACCGAAATTATCCCGATAGTCGTGTCTGCGAATGGGTTAATCCCAGTCAGCCTCTCCAAACATCTGAGGCGACTGGGACTCCGGGACGGATCGCTCCAAGCCCAAATGCAGAAGGCGGTGATCCTCGATACCGGCCGCATCGTCCGCCGGTTTCTCTCCCTATCGCCCTAACCCTCGGCCGTTTGATCTCCCCTGCCGAGGGCTTCCGTCTGGTTGGGTCCTATTTATATATGTATTATATACAATATTTTTATCTATATGTTTATTTTTATTCATAATATTTATTTTATATATGCAATATTTATCTATATGTTTAATTTTTATCTATAAACCCAACCAGGCGAAAAAACAAATAAATATCCCCAAATAATACTTAAAAACTTCACCATGAAATTAAAACATGGCATTAACTCATTATAATGATAAATGTCATCTGCAATGTCATCATGTGGTACCAGAGAGCTGTTGTTGCATCAGAATCCATTTTTTATATTTTGTTTTGAAATGATATACTGACCGCAGCCCACGAATAGTTTGTGGTAAATCATTCCAGCATTTTTAATTACTGTATTTGTTAACATTTTTGTCTTTAAAACGCACTGGTTGTAAAAACACAGTATCAATTTGACTTTTTAAATTCGATTCAGTTGTTAAAATGGTCACTTTTGTTAAGATTATTGAGAAAGAAAGACGAAGTTTATTATTTGTTTAATTACGATTCGCTTTGAGATGCCTAAGCGCGGAAGTCTGATGCTATTGGCACGCAACACGGCCGCAACGCGGGGTCACTGTATGTCACCTTTCGCAAGCAGCTGTTTAATTCAATTGTTTAATTCAATGCCTTACAAACGTCCACGTCTTTATTTTGTTTGACCTTAACGGGCTAGCACAGAGAATTGAGAAAACGGAGCACCGATCGAGTGAAAAACAAAAATTGTAAAAAATTGCATTAAAAGGATTCGATTCCCACAGCAGCAAAAATCTTTTCGTAATTTTTCTACAAATTTCTAATGTACTATAGCATATAAAAAAGAATTAAAATTAAAAATAAACGCGATAAATCCGTAAAATTAGTTTCATTTATAATGTGTAATCGCGTAAATACAAGAAATTATTACTATAAAAAAATTTAATTTCTAAACTGACAACAATATTTTTTGTTTTTTCAGAACATAATTTTTAAAACCATTTTGCCCTCACTTTAGGATAACATTATCCTGTGTTGTAAAAATGTTTTACAAACATGAATTTCTCGTGGACAACCATCCAAATATATGTATGCTCTATAAATGTGCGGGAAGTCGATGTATACAGGTGAGGATCGTACTTCGTGGCAGTCTATGGGGGAGGCCTTTGTTCAGCAGTGGGCTCACACAGGCTGAAATGATGTTCCTGATATAGTATATGCTCACAGCTGGTTTCATTTATGCATAAGAAAAATCATCCACGTCTGTTCTACATAGATAGATACAACTGATCTATATAATTATGTACCATATTAAAAAAATATTTCTTGCATTATCATTAAATACAAAAAAATTAAGATATGACGAAATTATATGTACATTTTTTTATTTTATTTTAAATATCAAAATGAAATAATTATGCAAGAAATCGTTGTGTCTTTAAATTTTCTGTGACACTTTATATCCTATGTTCCATTTATCTGCCTTTTTATTATTTTTAAGTATTTATGACCTTACTAGGAATCCTGACTTTAAGGAGTTGACGCTGGAGAAGGACGGCGAGGTGGTGCTGAGGTTCGCAATCGCCAACGGCTTCAGAAACATCCAGAACCTGGTGACGAAGCTCAAACGCGGGAAGTCCCCCTATCACTATGTGGAGGTCATGGCTTGTCCCTCAGGTAAGACTGCTTGCATCGCTCAATGTGGTCTCTGTTAATCGAGAGTACTCATAATGTGTGTTCATAACGTGAAACGTTTATTGTTTTTTTTTTAAACATTGCCCTTACTTTAGGATAGCACTATCCTGTGTTGCAAGAGCGTTTTACATACATAAATTTCACGCGGACAAACACTCAGATGCGAAACAACTATCTGTGGGTCGCACAAACAGTTGTCCCGTGTGGGAATCGAACCCACGACCCCCGACGCCGAAGCCGATACCTTGGCGACTGCCTGAGCCCACTTTACTTAATGGCCGACAACGCATCTGCAACCCGTAAGGTGTTTTGGGTGTCCGCAAGGGTGATCCGTGATAGCTCAGTGTCCGGGCGCTCGCCTTTATTTCAATATACTCGAGCAACCTTGATTCGATCCCCGGTGCCAGCACCAATGAAATTGTCAATTTTAAGTGCTGAATTATCACGTGCTCAGCGGTGAAGGAAAACATCGTGAGGAAACCTGCATAATTTCGAAATAATAACAAAAAAAATATTTCGAAGATATGTTAAGTCCGCCAATCCGCAGTGGGGCCGCGTGGTGGACTGATACCCTCTGTACAGAGGAGGCCTATGCCCAGCAGTGGGACATTTATAGGCTGATACGTTACTTTACAAGGGTGATGATCGTGTCGGTATCAGGCGAACCGCCTGCGCGTTTTCCAACTTTTCACACAAAAAAACGTTCAGGATGCCTGAACGGAGGCGCCCAGGTGCGGCCGGCTGTGGGCGAGAGCGGGCGCGAGCTGACGAGCGCGCTGGAGGCGCTGTACGGGCGGCTGCCGGCGGCGGAGCCCCACCGGGGCGAAGCGCCGCGCCTGCTCGCCCGCCGGCTGGGGGGCGCCCACTCGGAGCAGGCCTCCGCCCTCCTGCGCACCGCCTACAGGGCGGTGCCCAAGACGGACATCGCGCTCAACATCAAGTGGTGACCATGTGTATGGTCACTTCCATGTTCACCCGAACACTACGACACACTGCTTAATCAAACTATTACATGTTACCGGATTTATTCGCGTTCGTTTTTAATTTTACCTATTATTTAGTTTGAGGTTTAATCTGTGTAATCATTGTTTTTATTTTGCAGGTGCACTCGCGATGAAGGTAAACATCGTGAGGAAACCTGCATATGTTTGAAATAATTATAAAAGAAATATTTCTACGGTATGCGGAGTCCGCCTTTACTTAGCAGTGGAACATATAGATGCTGTAAATTTACTTACTATTTTATTGTATAACCGAACATGTTATATTGAAACATTCTCTAATATGAGTAGAATGTAACGATATAAATAGTAATTAAAACCCCATCATACTGCACCGATATTTCGCAATAAAATATTCTTATTAAGATTTTAATTACCGACATTTCGAATACCGTACTTTGGAACATAAAATTACAGTCTTCGTTGTTTAATAAAAATATTTATAGTTAATGTTTCTAGATTTTAACAGGCTAAATTTGATAAAATAGTTTTATTTACCAATGTGTTGTGTTCTTGTTAACACAGGAAATCATTACAATAGATCACGTCAGTTTGAACTTGCAATATAATCACTGATTATATCACTAATAATCACTGATATTTGCTACGAAAGCTTTCTGTCGTAAGCAATATATAAATTTAAATCACTTCATCCGTCTCCTTAATTACACGTGATCAATTGCTATCAACGCTAGCTAGATAGAAAGTCTAATAGTCAATAGAAACTTCGATTTAAGAAAACAAAAAAATATTGTATTTTATTTTAATTTAATGTCTTAGACTTAACATCAATGGTTCATTTAATCTGGAGATAGTAAATGTATATGATACATAGAGAATACCAGAAAAGTCTTTTTATAATAAAGTGTGTACCCGGGTAAGGTTTACAGTTGTTTATAAAAATGATAATGTAAATAAAGTATCTAAGGTAAAATTGTTTTCGACTATATAAAGGTTAATATATAAGCTTAATATGTATAAAGGCTAAAATTAAATATGAATTTAAAAATTTACCTAGCTATACAATTTAAATAATAACGTAGGGACTACACGTTTAAAATTTATTATCAAAGGATGTTTTGCACAAAAAAGATGTTATTTTGAATGACTTTAATATTATAAGGGAATTGTTGCATACTTAGTTTTAATCAGCTGTAAATAGTTATAGGTCGAGGAAAATTAAACATTATATCTAATGGATTAAATTGCATTTTTCAATAACGCGCCCCCGCCTAATGAATATTGAACACTTTCTTCGCAGTACAAAATTTGTACGCAGCGACATTGTGACTGTCACACGAGTACGGTTGTATTTTAAGTAACTTTATGTACATTTATATTCAAGTCCGCATTTATAAACGACGCTTCGGTGACGGAGACGGTAAATTAAGAATTCGAAAATACAGAAATGTCTTTAACACGGTTTTTCAGACGGATACTGTTTTTGTCCTTTCCGATAGATGGCATGATTACCTAATTAGGTAAGTAGCTGTTTTAGCCCGCAAAATTGATCTATTAATAGATTTTTCCAAAGTGCAAGAACAAAATTCGCCTTTTGTAATCCTCACAAGCAGTTTTGAAATAAATAATCCCCGAAAAACGAACATATCATGATAAACAGTAAAATTACACGGCTATGATGACATACAAGCAATAGGCCGAATATCTACTCCGAAATGAAAATGGAAAATCGTAATCTCATCTAAGCATGACTCTGCCATTAGTTAAGACATTTGGAAAACGTAGAACCTTTTTATATGACGTTCAAATAGTTTGTAATAATTATTTCACCCGTCACTACTGAATTTCAAACTTTCGAGTTTATTAAATACCATTATACTGTAGTCATAACTGTTGATAATCGATACTGTTTATTACGTCACATTGGTTGAGAGTAAACAATAACCCGCAACAACGTTACCGCTCATACTGTAACAACAACGTTTAACTTGAATTAGCTAACGTTACACTATCCGAAATCATGGTAACCAGTCAGCACATTAATATAATAATAACTAATGTAATATTTTGAGTTCCATAATCATGACAGTGGACATGTCATTGCAAATAAAATGGCCCTCTAAAATTCTAAAAATATATGTAAATAACATCAACGTAATTAAATTGTCTATCGTATCATAAAACGACAAATTTATTTAATTTACTTTAATGTAACAATATATTATACTTTCTCTAATAAAGTCAATCAGTTTTGAAAAGTCTACCAAAATTAAAAGGTTTTCTTTTTTATCCTGTTTATACAAAATAATAGAGGTGCATGAAAACATCGAGAAACAACCTGTATTACATATATTATTGCATTGAAATTTAAAAGTTAATTGTCATAGATAAATGGACAAAAAGTTTCGGCGCTGCGGTATTCGAACCTGCATCGAATACGCAGGATATTTTATATTTGTCGTTACTATTGGTCATTAATAATATAGCAGGTAAAGTAATAGTTAAAAGCCAATGAGGCACCTTATACGGCCGTAAATGATTCCTCGCACGAGATCACGTGTCGTTGGACAGTCGTCGGTTATAAAGCAAATCGAGTAGCTGTAGGACTAGACGTAATTCTGCGAGGCGCCCGCTCGGGTCAGTGCAAAGTGCGTTGACGGTAGCTTAGGCGTTTCGCGCCCGAATATTACTGTTTACAAACCACTCGGCCTGAGGCTGGGCGATGGGCGACATCCGCCTGTCCACCCCCACCAGCGCGTGCTTGGTGCTCCTCGCCGCTGTAGCCAGGGAGGTATTCGCCACCGGACTCGGGAGGTGCCCCATTTACCCGCAGTTGCCTAACTTTGACATTACACGGGTGAGCCGATTTCTTTCGTGTTAATTATGTTATTACACTAGAAGATTTTGTTACGAGTCGTAAACAATGATTTGATAGTTTTGGCCGTTTTTACACGACGATTCTTTTTAGAACGCCTTTCCAGCGTTTTTCGAATTGAAAGTAGTCGGCGTGGAAAAATATTTGTTCTCGTCTCGGCCGTGGATGTATGTAGAGGTTGAATAGTTTCCTTTCCTAAAACAAGAATCTTCCAATTACTTTAGAAGGTTCCGTAGTAAAGTAACGCGGCAGTATTTGCTGTAGTATCAGGCTGGTTCATCGTGAAACGTAGCCCAGCCGGACTGTTCCAATAGTTGTACCACTTCTATTAGTTCTTCAATTCGCACAGTCTAATGCTGGGGAACTATTCTTATAGAAGAATGGCCCAAATTAGAAATGGTTATACTTTTATACTTATGAGTTTTATTTCGTCTGGAGAACGGGTTTCGAGAGTTGCCGGTCTCATTGGAATTTATACCATTGTTCTGTACTTCGTTACTGCGTACCATACACTGTTGAAAAAATCTATAAGTATACTACCTACTAGTACGCATAAATTATTTTTCAGTTAGATGATATCTTTATATTAATATATTTATTTTTTACATAATAATAAAATACTGTTTTTAAAAATTCTAATAATTAATATTATAAACCTTGAAAAACAGTATGAAGATACATACGAATTAAGTGGTTACTGACATCTATGATCATCGACGCCTGTGTACCCACACAGCTTTCAGTATCTCAAAAGTTAAGAATGCATCTGCATTTGCAAGAATGCACAGCTACCTCGCGAACAAGAAAAAAATCAAAAGAAAAAACCGGCCAAGTGAGAGTCGGACTCGCACATCTATCATAAATACATATCTGAAGGAAATATGTTAATATTTCTATTTCAGATTTTAAGTTTTGTCACACAGGTCCAAATGATATTAAAAATTTTAAAAATTTAAATAAAACTGAAACAAAAGACCGATGGGGCTTATCAATTTGGGCAATTGATCTTATAATCTATGACATTGCTTGCATATTAGCACAAATACGTATTTAATACCTATTGTTTAGGCAGTACCAAAATCCAACGTTAATGAAATATAATAAGTTCTGCCAGTATATAAATCAGGTTCAAGAGATACTGCCTCTAATTATCATCCCATCTCTATGTTGCCAGCCTTAAGCAAAGTGTTTTAGAAAATAATGCTGGATCAAATGATAGTTCATTTTAATAAATATAAAATTTGAAACTAGTACCATTTTGGAGTTACTAAAGGTAGATCTACAACTGATGAAGGGATAGAATTAGTTTCACATCCTGCAGTCCTGGGATACCTTTCACGACACCATTGGTGTGTTCTATGACCTGTCCAAGGCATTTGACTATGTAGGTCATACAATTCTTATCAGGTAATTGGAATATTATGGTATTAAGTAATGGTAATAAAGTGTTGTTTTTAGACTTTTTCAGGCAATTTTATAATTTTTTCTCTCCGTAAGAACCATCCTCGTACTTCAAGGCATATTATAAAAAAAGAACTAGCGAAATCTCGAACACATTCAGCGATTCATTTTTATACAGGGTGGCTTTTCTAAGTGTATCCATTTTTTTAATTAAATTCTAGACATACCTAAATAATGTTATATAAAAAATGATAAATATTTAAAATCACTCGTAATTAATTGATTACATTCATTTGAAATTATCTCAAAAAGTGCGTGATTTATACGCAATTCATTTATTTTACGCGCGATCATTCATAACTTACACGCACACAAGTTCGTGCACAGTAAAATTGTCAACACGTTCTGTTTTTTAGGGAATACAATGACATTTTTTAGAAAAAAGAACTTTCTTTTTTATTTCAATAAACGATTATACTACCGAGTCTGAACCCCCTGTGTAAATTTGGGCACTTCTCAAAAAATCTCCCTGTATATAGAGATTAGTAATGACTATTTTTTTAACTCGATTAAAAGTCCCGTCTTTGTATTCTTGGAATGTGTCTCGAAGTCTCGATATGTTAGATTATGTGAATAAAGTATTAAGCAATTTAAATGAAACATAGAAGTCTCAAAGACGCATTCAGAAATAGCGTTTCGATACTTACAATAACTGTATTAAACGTAGGAAAAAGACTAAAGTTAATATACATTCGTATATAGAGGAAAGTCACCAAATATGGAATAGTATCCTAATATGGAATAAAGCAATTTCTCTAAGAATATAAGTATGAAACGAAACACATGACCATCTTCTGTTTCATTCGGTCTATTTACTACCTCACTCACACCATCGTGTTAGTTGCGCGAACGCTACAAGTGTGGCTGGTGTTTTTTGTTTTGTTATCACGCAGAAAATTTTAAAGGTAAGTAATAATTGAGTATTACCAGTTATTACGTATGTATACATAGGTGTTTTACTATTTAGTATATCGATATTATGTTTATTTCAACGTTTTGTGATATTCTGTCATTAAAATATTGTGATTTGAAAAAATATTTAGATGATTTTAAACAAGTATAAAAATCCAAATATGGACAGTCGTCGGTGTCTAATTATGAAATATTCCATAATTAGGTCTTTTATATTTCACATGTTAGGTACTTGCTATTATTTCTTTAAAAAAAATTATGTTATGTTTGTTTTTAGAATGTCTGCTTCACAATCAACCAAAGAAACGAAAAACCTGGGATGAAGCAAAAATGGCAGAAGCTATAAAATTCGTCCGGGGAAATAAAATGGGATATTTGAAAGCAGTACAGCATTTTGAAAGAAAAGCTGCTATAGCAACAGTCATAACATCTTCACCCTACAAAAATTATTTAGTAAATAAAAATATGAAGAGACAAGAAAAAGAAAGTAAGACAAAGAATAAGAAGAAAACTGCGAAGAGAAACAAACAAACGAAGAAAAATAGAAATGATCGTGAAGAAGAAGACTCTGAGGAACGGGACGTCACCCAGTTTGATGAAGACAGTGAAGATGATGAGTTGATGGACCATGTATCTCCTGACTCTGCTGATGCAGAATGTATGTTCTGTTCAAACCTTTTCTCCATGGATAAAAGTGGAGAAAGCTGGATTAAATGCTTGATGTGTGGACTCTGGGCACATTATGATTGTGCTGGTCCAGAGTTTGATACTTGGATCTGTGACTTTTGCAAGTGAATTTAGTAACTTCGTTCGTTTATAACAATATGTTATTTTAATTTATTTGATCTCATAGATATTTATGTCTATTTTTGTTATTGAAATGATGATTTATGCTTATATTCCATATATGGGTACCTATTCCATATTTGGTTACTCATTTGTGATTTTGGTTTTGTGTTAGATTTTAATTTGGTAACTAATATATTTGATTAAAGGCTGTTAATTACTAAATATAAATGTCTGACTGATTAGTAATTACATTAAACTGTTTTAGTTTCTATGAAGTTTTTTTTTTATATCCCTGAAACAAAATGGTATTCCATATTGGGTGACTTTCCTCTATCTATAATAATATAACTCGTACCGGTCATCGCAGTGTAGTACGACCCCCCACTAGATGGACGTCCTGTGCAAATGTGGGAAGTGATGGATGCAGGTGGCTCGGGATCGTAAATGTCTGTAATGATGATGATGATTAATATACATATTTTATTGCAATTGAACCCACTATTGATCACTCGTACAATACTTTATACTGCGGGAAAAATAGGTATAATATGATTTTTATCATTTGCAAATGTCCCAGTAGACTAGTCTCGAATCGAGATTGGTTCATTTCTAAGATGGTAATTTGAGGACCGCAGCTTTTTATAAATAAATTTGTAGAGGCCTGGACAGTACGAATATCGAATTATTATTAATTTAATAAATGTTATATGAATGAATTACGAACTTGTAAAGAACATAAAATGCTCCATCATGATTTATTTAGTTTTAATCGAGTGTCAACGTGCATTGTTTAAATTATTCTACTAACAACACTGTGACCTGGTCGGGGAAATGTTTTGAAAGTAGAAAGTGTTTTGCTTCTACGCAGCGCAACAGTCACATCGAATTCGAATGTTTACGAGTTTTTGTATGAAAAAAACACATAATAATGAGCATTTTATGAGTTTTACGCAAAGTCTTTCACTATATACACAATTAAAAAAAGTAATAAAGATTTTGTCATTGGCAAAAATAAGCTTTGTGGATTTTCCAATGCAATGAGTAATGAATTTCAACCAAGGTACGATGAAAAAAACGCTATATTGTAGTCTACGTATACCCACCCACGCGGGGGCAAGGGCGGGCTATATCGGACTTGCACCGACTAAAACATCCACGATGTCCACGACGTATATAAACACCAGCTATCGACCGTGCCCAAACTATTGATCCATTATTTTGACGACGTTTAATGCATTAACAGCCAATGTCTTCCTGAACGAAATGCGAAACAATTTACAAAGCGCGCTCCGCTTCCGTCGCAAACAAGGGTCAGGGACGTCTACGTCACAGCGACACACCTCCAGCACCCGCTTATGAGTCAATTATGATAAACACTAACAGTTAAACTGGTCATCACTATATCAGTTAAACTTCAACTACATTTAATTAAATATAGTTGAAATTTAACTGATAAATTCGCCGTTGAGTGCAAATTGACGATAACTGAGTTATAATTCGCAATGAGAAAATTGCATGGGTATCACGTTTATATTTCTTTATATGACGTTTTTTTTGTAATTGTTGTTATTTAGTTCAGTGACTTTATTCATCGCTTAGTACCTAAGAATGGCCTTAAACTATCTGAGGTCGCAATTAGCAAGTTCTGACCACCAAACGAATACACAAAACTCTTTTGGGTTAGTACCACGACCTCACAGAAGACCGGCTTGAAGTAGAAGTGTTACACTTCTACATTTCGTCTGGTGAGTGAGGTAGCCGGCGCCCACATTATTTATAGATGGCAACGCTGTTGCAACTTATCTCTTAACATCAGGTGAACCGCCAGTCATTTGCCACTTTCTCTCATTGAAAAAAAAATAAAAAAATTCTGTCCTACAGTCACAGTTTCGTTTTGTGGTTCACATTTATGCTATACTACTCTTCTTGGCTTCTGCTTTTTATGTGCTAGTATTTTTAAACAATTTGTAGAATAAAGAAAATTATTATAACAAACACTGCCTTGCCGATATGTCTCTATACTATCAATGAACCGGTTCTACATTCAAAAATTTATATTTATTTTAAGCTTAAAACAAGACCAAATTCTTTTCACTTTATCTTTCTGTCAAAATTTATGGAAAAAATGGACATTTCACCGTTGTGGGAACCGGGCCCACGTCTTCCGGATCCGCGACCCGACGCTTTAACGCTAAACGGCTGATTGCTACACCAACGAAAATAACAATGTATTTTATTTACATTGTTGTTTCACATTTTAAGCAACGCTTAGTGCATCTATTGTTATGTGTATCCGTTACATTACTTTATCTTGCTGAGCAAGATAGAGGGACAGTCTTCATCCATCTATTTAGAATTTGGGTCTGTTCAAGCACGATGGCAACGTAGATCGGGCTAATTGGCTGTATCTGAAACGGGTCTTTTATACTCGTACTCGCTCTTTTATAGACGTTAAGTACGTTTAAATTCGTACATTTATCAAGTAGAGTCTTTTTCACAAGTCTTTAAGACTGAACTGGTTGAAATAGCAGTGATGCGTTGACAACCTTTAAAATAGTGGTTATTTCACTCAGTAGACGAAATTCAAAATAATACTTGCACCTAATTGACGTCGGTCTTCTGTGAGATCGTGGGACTTCCGCCAGTTTAGTGGTAATTGGGTTCTCTGAGTGCGATCGTTAAACACACACTAACCTATTGTTTTTGTTTTATTCCCAACCTGATATATTAATATATGTGCCTATTTATTTTTCCAGGCTGCTACATGGCTCTACCGTAGTATTGCATATTTCGTCGGTGTGGTCATTGAGGTCTCTGAGTGCGACCTTAAAACATCAGTAATTGTTTTATCCCCAACCTAATATATTAATATATTGCTTTTTCAGATGACCGGTACGTGGTACGAAGTAGAGAGATCGTTCTACCTGATGGAAATGTCAGCCAGCTGCACGCAACTCGACGTGGGCATTAACGAGCGCGGCCACCTGCTCATCACGATAAACACCATAAACAGATGGTAAGCTCCGCGAGGGTGTTTTCCACGCAACTAAAAGTATATAAAATGTGGTTGTATATTATTTAAAACATGGTAGAGCCACGCATCGAGCAGTCTTTGGAAAGGTTCGTCCGGGGAAGTACCACGAATTCACTGAACTCAGAAGACTGGCGCGATGTGGATGTATTATACGTCAGCGTTTGGTCTGGTGTGTGACGTACCGGGGCCTAACTCTTTAAAAAGTTTCAACGCATCTGCAACCTTACGGGTGTTGCAGATATCCATGGCCGGCAGTTATAACTGAACATCAAGTGAACTGCCAGCTCACCTGATTTTCTGAAGGTCGCCCCGAACTGCGATACGAGGCTACAATTGGATCATTCTTCTTCATTAGTTATCTACAAGCTTTGTGGCCGACCCATTGCCATTTCTGCTTACTAATAGCTATGTCTGCTACCTTAGTTCTGCTTCAAATATCAAAATCTCGTTCAGCGAATTCGATCTACCTCTTATGGCCAGGTGAAATGGATGGTTTGTTGAAATGTAACTAACATCGTTGGCGTTAAAAATGCCAATGTAATGGATATAAAATTAGATCCAGATCCAGATCTAGCCACTGAAAACGCTCGCAGAGTTGCTTTAGACCGTAGCGGAATGTCGTCGATACTCAATAGCCATGAATTTGAATCTAATTGTGCTTCAACAGGACAGGAGCACCGGCAACAACGTACGGACTAGGTATACTGAGCCACACGGGCGCATCGTCGTTCCGTTACCGGCTGAACAACCGGATGCCATACTTGATTGGACGACTGTTGCCTGGCGCAGGCCAGTACAACATTCTCGCCACAGACTATGACCAGTTCGCGCTCGTTTGGTCGTGCACCAGCCTCAGCATCGCTCATTCCGGTAAGTTGTTTGTCATGAAGTAATTTGGAAGGTACCTCTTCGAGTTTTTTCAATGACGTTTGCGTGTCCAGTTGTGGGGAGTTTGTAAAGTTAACGTTTGTTAGTTAAACCACCACACGATAAGTGTAAATTTTAGCAACAAAATATTGTTGTTACCCGGACGGACCTGCCCATTCGTGCAACAGCGAATACTGTTGCGTGATCTTACCACCGTAGAGTACGTCTGTTTCGACAAAAACTTCTTAGATCATTTTCTAATTTATAGCTTCTTTTCGGTCAACCCTATTAAAAAACTCCACCCTGAATAGAAGATTATTTGCTTAATTTACAGCTGAAATTGACGAAAAAGTTTGGTGAACAAAAAGTATGCACTTTAACTTAACGGTGTATCTTCCACAGACCGCATGTGGGTGTTCGGGCGAAGGCGGGAGATAGACGCGCACGTCCGCGCACAGATCTACGCAGTGCTCCAGGATCTTGATCTAGACCCCGACCGGCTGATCCTCTCCAAGAACAACAACTGCACGGAGGCATACAATAATACTATTTTATAGATAAATTCATGCTCGTTTTATTCACGTTTACTAATTCATTTCAAATAAGATCTCAAAAGCCTTCGTTTATTTTGGTCCTCCGTTGAGAGGGGCTCCGGCAATCCTACGCTATGCGCCGGTGCTTATGCGTTGCTTTGCTTACCAACACTAAAGTAGTGATCCACTAAAGTGGTTCCTTTCATAAATAGCTTCTCTTTGAAGAATTCTGCCACAAAAGGATTCTTTAAGTCGCTTTTGTCTTTTAATGCAAACTAAGAAAACCTTAACATTTTGAGGCCTCTAAGGTCTTAGTCAAGAGTCACTACGATCGTAATCATTTTAAAACATAAGATCATTACCACATGAAACAACTGTCGGTAGAAGAGTGTTGTCGTTAATATTTGATTACATAGCTAATTCGTTTATGCATGCTTCTTATTTGATATGGTATCACTACATAGTATAAAATAAAGTCGTCCCGCTGTCTGTGTGACCCTATGTATGTTTAGAACTTTAAAACTACGCAACGGATCTTGATGCGGTTTTTTTTTACTAGATAGTGATTCAAGAGGAAAGTTTATATGTATAATACATTGCACCCGTGCGTAGCCGGGGCGGGTCGCTAGTATTATCTATTATTACCTTGGGCGCAATTCAGCCTGATAACCACGCAACCTACACTAGAATCGAACGGAAAGACTGACGACGGCAGTCTATTCCATTCCTTCGGGGTACGTTTATTTTGGAGTTACATCAAATGAAATAAAATACTCTGTCACACTTTCTATTTTTTGAAAAAATAGTAGTCTATTTACAAAAAAATGTACAATCAATATACACGACTTAAAAGTAAAACGTCGCTTCAACATAGAAAATACTATATTATATCATTGCCAATACAATACTAAGGCAGAGTTCATACAACGTGAAAATTTCGAATCCGGGTATATTCATACAGTACATAACTATATACATTGATAAAAGTAACCAACGGACAGTCCTATTTAATATATAAAATTACGATATTACAAATAAAAAAATCATTTTTAGTGAGAAGATAAAAACACTTTCATATTTACTTAGTAATTGATATTATATAGATAATGTAAGCTCCCCAGAACCAATACATGTCCAGAAGGTCGATTTTATTCAATTACTTAGAGATAAGGTAAATTTACTATTCAAAGGTTCATATTAAACAACACTTAGTACTTTTTAACCTGGTATACACAATACACAAGATAATATTTTCACAGGGCTTACAAATAATTCATGCTACTGCATTGCACCAGTAACTCATATCTATATTGATGTTATAATACAATAGATTAAATTATCAACCAACAATACTTTTAAAACAAAAAAAAAGATTGTAAAAAAACAACGGGAGATTTAATGAAGCACTACCTGGAGGACCGGTTTGTTTTTTTTGGTAAATCGTGTATTTTGGCAATTATATTTATATACAAATTACTGAGAATGAAATATGCATAATATTTTTCGATCTTACCCACGTAATAATAAGAAAATATGAACTGGTGTTATTCACGAAAGAAAGAACTTTAAAAAAAAAAAGGAAAAAAGAACAAAATCATCTGGATCGACAAAAAATAAAAAATAAAGAAAGCAATGATTCCGATTATATATATACAAGAATTGCTCGTTTAAAGGATAAGATGAATTAATATTTCTGAAATATTTGATACGCCTATGAAGCAATTTAAATCATATGTGTAGTAAACAGCATTAAACAATTCACAATATTTAAAAATAATAAAACAAAAGGAAAAAAGAACAAAATCATCTGGATCGACAAAAAATAAAAAATAAAGAAAGCAATGATTCCGATTATATATATACAAGAATTGCTCGTTTAAAGGATAAGATGAATTAATATTTCTGAAATATTTGATACGCCTATGAAGCAATTTAAATCATATGTGTAGTAAACAGCATTAAACAATTCACAATATTTAAAAATAATAAAACAATTTGCAATTGTGCATATAAAAGAAACTATGATGACTATGAAAAACTTATGGTCTTCTAATTTGCACATGCATCTCCTACATAATATATGTGCTTGGCGTCTTTTAACTATTATTGTATGAAAACTCCCACACAAATTAAAATGGCATGGGAGTTACGAATGCATTGCTAAGCATATTTAATTTTATGAACTAACTTATGGCCTGTTTGGTTATTCTATTTGGCGTTGTATGTAGTTATTATCTATACCCATATGTATATCTCAAGCACCTGTTTGAAATAAATATCGTAAATGCTTGATTTTTACTTATTAATACACTGCTTTATATTAAAACTGGATTAAAAACATGCCCAAACGTATATTACAGAAATGCACTACTATTTAAGGATTTTGCACCTGAACATTACAAATAGAGACATAATTATTCAATATATAAAAATTAAATGCATTCGATATTATAACTGAAATACTTGTGAGATTACAGACTAAGTAAAAACAAAAAATATAAGAATGTTTTAGTTCATCTAATTTTTTAATGGCCATCATTTTTTCAATAAAGTATGTATACTAAACAATATATTATAAAATAATTAATCTTATTTAAAAATGTTATGTAACCAACACCATTAAAATTATTATTAAGGATAGAAATATAATCCTAAAAAATGTAAATACATGACCACAGTTCTCTTTCTTTACACAAGAAAATATTCCAGTTAGTCAATGTACCATTGTGTCATTCTATAATTAAGAAGATCTAATACCATTCTAACAGTCTTATCACTTACATGAAAGTATATTATGGTGACCCAACAGGAAAAACTACAATTTTGTAGTACGCTAAACACTTATTTAGGCCACAGAGCACAATTCATATATGTGTTATCTCCCCACAATTAAAAGGTTTAATTTGATTTATAACATAAAATGACCAGTAAACAATTCCTTTTTTAACCCTTCACATACCACAAATTAAGGATACGAGTAACAATCCACTTGTTGTTATTTACAACTCAATTGTAACTTTAAATGCAGCATCATTTAAAATCTACAATGTTAACTAAAAATAGAAAATATTAACAAGTGTAACAAATTTAAAAATGCTGAATTTGAATAAAACATTAGTTACAAAATGTTTATAAATTCTAAATTAATTAAGTACATGACAGGAATATAAAACATCATTATTTTTTTTCCAAGCCAATTGAACCATACCATAAATACTGATGTGCATGACTGTAATTTCATTGACATTACAATACAAAAAACAGAAAAAAATAACCTTTATATTTAATATATATAGTTGGCATTGTATGTTAATACATAGGTACATCCATTAATATTTAAATGCCAATTCTCATTAATATTACCAAAAACCAAAAGAATTTTTTTGCTGAAAATTATTAGTTACAGTTATATATTAAAATGTAAGCGCTAATTTATACTCTTTTAAAAAGAAAAACTGACTAAGGTCAAATAATATTGTTTGCTAAAAATTTATAAATAAATACCATTTAACAAATAAAATATTTCCAAATATTTTCTTGACACAAAAATTAAGAACTTGAGATTTGTTAATGATGTAAAAGCAAATTTTCATTGGCTACTATTATACATACATAGATATTACTATAATTTCCATTTTAGATCTTTTTTTAAATTAACTTGAAGAAGAAATAAATATCGTAAAAGAATTGTAAAATTTATCTCAAAATAGAAATTTAAATCATAGGTTCACCACTTTTTAAATTTTATATGGCTATAATGTTGTTAAATTTGATTATACAATAACAGTTCTAACTGTAAGTTTTCCGAAAATATATGAGAATAAGTAAAAATATCAAAATAAAATATTTAGCTCTTAATTAACATGAGCACAAGTATATAGTACCAAGGAAGAATGTTCCACTTAAATATTGTTTTCTATGCTTGCAGCACCGTTCGTCACTTCCGTAACTTTTATACACTCTGCATCACGATTCCTAAAGTCATTGGAGGATATACTGTCAGGGGTACTGTCGCAGTAGTTTTGGTGAACACTGTCCATGTGGTTTGGATCCTGAAGTCGATAATTTTGGGATGTGTATTGATGCATCCAAAGTTGTTTCTCCTCAACTTCTTTGCTCACTACCACAAATAATTCTTTGTCCTTGCATTCAAGTTGCTCCTTTAAATATGTTATCAGGTCTGTACTCTGAAATATGAACTATGCACTTGAGATTGATGATAAAAATTATTTTTAGGTTTAATAAAGCTATCCAAAAACCTAAATGTTATTTTAAAAACAGTTCAAGTACAATATTTGAACAAGAAGACTTACTCTTCCAATTAAAACAGGTGCATCAAGTTTTGAATCAAGGTTATAAAAATTGCCTTGTATTTGTCTGATAGTAATCCAATGACGACGCCGTAATGGTAGCATTACAAACCCTAACTTGTAATCTGATGGCACATTGAGGATAAAGCCACAAATATTTGACAAGTCCAAGCAACCCGGATCTCTGTTGACAATTTAAATCAAATTTTAATAAAGTTTGTAAATTTGAAGCATTTAACGTGGGTGGGTGCCTTTCTTCGATAGAGCCAAACATCATCCCAACACTCTGGTGGTAAGCGCAGCAAATTACCAACCCGACACAAACGCAAACGTCAACAAGCGTCGCCCGCGAAACGTCCTAATCGACCCGGTCGAGGAAGGGGACTTAGATACGCCGGACCCACCGCCGGGGGTGCCGCCGGACAACACTACACCCACAGTTAGTGCAACAACAAACACACTAGTTCGCCCTCCGAGCACGGCGAGACCAACACAACGCGTACACAAGGTACACCCGCGTTCCGGGGCGGTTCTCACCGCTCCCAGCCAGCGATTAGCTAATTGCACAGTCGACGGCCATCGGGGTTTCGGTCCGAACCGCGACCTCGATGGCCCTTAGATGACACACCATAGTTAAACGCACGCATGAGCACATGCGTGGCCCTACCCACAGCGGAGGGCCCAAACCCGTGGGTTCTGGCTAGCCCACCGGTTCTGCGTCAGATGAGGCTTTAATAGTCTCGGGACTGAAAGCAAAAACATCAGTTAATACAAGATACAAGAAGGGTGGGTGCCAAGCCAAATCTCACCCAATGTCATCCATCATCCACTAATTGTTTTCTAGTGTCAAACTGTGAGGAAACTAGGTAAAATATTGTATCATACAATACTCAATGTATGTAAACTATCACACATTGTTCAACTAGACTTGAGGTCATGTCTTATAGATTGTTTTTTGTTTCTGTAAATGTAGATTTTACAAATGTACAGAAAACTAGCAAAAAAATCAGTTATAAAGAAATTAATAACAGGAGTACAATCATGGAAAGTGAAAGTACCTATGTGCCTTCCATTGCCATTTTGCATTTTAATTGTCCTAAATCATTTCTTTCTTGTTTATTTTTAACCTTCAGTGTGTGAGGTATGAGATGCCATATGGTACCACAGTAATTGAAAAGTTATAAATTAAACATAAAAAAAAAATTAAGGAAATAATAAAGGTGTATTAAAGGGGGGTTGAAACCAAGGTTTATAAGCAATCAGTGTTGATTGCTTATAAACCTTGGTTCAGAGAAGCCGTTAAAATGGAAACACAAAGTGGTGTTGTGTTGCCGCAAAAGTGATTTGGGAATAAGGGAAAGTTTAATCTTCCTAGAAGCGTATGTAGTGCGATAGTCGCTGATGTGTTCCATAGGAGATCACGGAGCCCTGTCCAATCTATAGAGGATTTTTGTTGTAGTACCTTATATACCTATCTTCTTCTTTCCTTTATGGCGCTTTTATGGATTCGCCAATGACATGTGAAAGATGTTTTATCAGTTTAAAGCTTAGTTGAATATTTTAGAGAAGAAAATTTACTTTGCGAAAAGAGAGGAGATTGTGATATTTTAGGCACGAAATAGAAATAAATTTTGATAATACTACTCTGTTGAATTACCTAAAACAAAAGACAAACAATTATGTTAAAACAAATATAATTAGTGTGTTAATATTGACAGACACTTATAGCTTAATGTTATTAGCGTTAATAAAATCACACAGAATATAAACAAAAGAGGTGTTTGTATAGGATAATAGGGAGTTGAAGTCTATAGGACGCGGGATATAAGGGGGGAGGAGGTCATAGAGGGAATTGGATAACTTAGGACAGTCGAAGAAAATATGATTTGTATTTCCCTCGTCTAAACCGCATTCGCATAGTGAATTATCCCTAATCCTGATCTTGGCGAGATGGACGTATGTACATGCATGACCTAACCTTAAGCGACAGACAATTGAGGTTGAGCGCTTGCTAGCTTTATTAAATTTAGAAAACCAGGGTTTACTTGGGATAATACTTTGTATGGAGGCATAATGTTTACCCTTTGAAATTTGTGAAACTTCCCACAAGCCCTTCCACTTATTAACTAGCAATTTCCTAGCGAGTGATACTAAATCATGAGAATAAGTCATGGCTAATGGAATACCATTAGATATTGCATCCTTAGCACATGTGTCAGCTGTTTCATTTCCATGAATCCCAGTATGGCCAGGTATCCATGCCAAAGTGACATGGATTCCTTTCGTAAAACATCTAAAAAGAACATTTTTAATTTTTAAAATTAAGGGGATTTTAAATTTACTATGAAATTGGTTAGATAGAATAGCCTGTAAACAACTTTTGGAATCAGTGAGAATAATAGTCTTGTGAAGGTTATGTGACTCTATATATGTTAATGCTTCATAAATAGCTGTTGCCTCACCAGTGAAAATGGAACATAAAGGGGGACAACTATATTTTAAAATGATTTTAAACTTGGGTATCCAGACTGATGCACCTATACAGAGATCATCTGAAATTTTGGAAGCATCAGTATAGACTACAAGCCAATCTAGCCATGATTGATCTAATAACCTTTTCAATTTTAAATTTGCCATAGGATCATTTTTTTCAATGTTGAGGTCCAAGTGGACATCAGGTTGATGAATAACAGCTTCATAAGGAGTATCAAATAAGGGGTTGACTTTGCAAGAAAAAATATCACCAGGAATTTGAAGAACTGAAACAAAACTCTTAAACAAACATGGCAAATCTTTGTGGACCCAGTAATCACTTGTAGACACAAATTCCGATAGGATGTGCAATTTGGGGATAAGTGGATGGCATGAAAGCTGATATAGTTTAAAGAGGAATCTATCAGAAAGGTACTGTCTCCTTAAGTAGAGTGGTGGTTCAACACACTCCACTTGAAGGGCATTAATTGGAGAAGTTTTCATTGCTCCTGTGATGATACGGAGGCATTTGTACTGAATCTTATCTAAAATTTTGAGGGATGATTTACTGCATGGCTCCATGAGGAAAGAACCGTAATCTATATAGCTACGGATAAGAGCATTATATAATAATCTCTGGGAATATGGATGGGAACCCCACCATACACCAGAAAGGGATCGAATGATATTAATATTTTTCTCACATTTTTTAGAGATGTAATCTATATGATGAGTAAAAGGATAACTTTCTATCCAAAACTATGCCTAAAAATTTCACCTTGTCTCTATTGGGGATAGGGTGGCCATCATAAGTGATTAAGATATCAGGTACTCTCTTATGGCGGCAAAAGATTACTATACTGCTCTTTAAGGCAGACAAACATAGACCATGGTCAGTTAGCCACTCTTGAAGATATAGCATGGAAGAATTTAGAAGGGTACAGGCTTTAGAAAGGTTATCTATTGGTAGGTACATGGCTAGGTCATCTGCATATTGGAGGACATTACAAAATGAATTAACAGATAGTTCTAAATCATAGGTGTAAATAGTATAGAGGAGAGGGCTGAGGACTGATCCTTGGGGAAGACCTTTCCAAATATGTCTAGGCGACAACATAGAATTTTTAATATTTATATGGATTAATCTAGAAGAGAGAAAATTACAAACAAAATTTACAATCCTCACAGGAATACTCAGCTTTAGCATTTTCTGCCTGAGCACTGGAAGAAGTACATTATCATACGCAGATGAAATATCAAGGAATATACCTACAAGATAGTTATGTTTAGAGAGAGCTATTCTGATGTCTGTAATTAATGTACTGAGGCTGTCCATAGTACTAAGGCCTTTTCTGAATCCAAATTGACTTCTTGGTAAAACATCTTTGCTTTCTAGAAACCATTCTAAGCGATTTTTAATCAGGTGTTCCAAGATCTTTGCCATGGTACATGACAGAGCAATAGGTCTATATGCTGATGGATCATGACTAGGTTTTCCTGGTTTAAGAATGGGTAAAATGATTTGCTCTTTCCATTCTTTAGGTGGGACACTTGAAATAAATATGTTATTTAAAATATTAAGGAAAAGGGTTTTAGTATTTTCACTACTGTTAACAATAAAGGAGTAAGGGATACCATCAATCCCTGGAGAAGAGTCTTTAAGGCCCTGGAGTACAGTAGCTAATTCCTGGTAAGAAAAGGGAAGGTCAAATTTATCATGGAATTGAATGGAAGAGGAATGATATGTGATACACTCTTCATATGAAGGAGCTGATAGAGGAGCAAGTTTATGGGAAAATTCTTCAGCCCAAAGTGAATGGTCATTAGAAGTTATATTATGATCATCTGACATAGCACATTTGAATTTTCTTATACTTTTCCATACAAGAGAGAGAGGTGTGCAAGGTGATAGTGAAGAACAAAATCTATACCATCCTGACCGCTTCTTTTCAGATAATAGTTTTACAGTTTGAGCAGCTGTTTTCTTATATGAAATATAGTTTTCCCTTGTCATTGAGGATGAATATTGTTGTTCAGCTTCCTTTCTTTTTTTACATGCTGCAGAACAGTCCTGGTCCCACCAAGGGGGAGATGGCAGATTTTTTGTTCTAGGTTTTTTAATAGGAATAGTCAGGTCAGCAGAAGATAGAATAGCATTTCGAAATTTATTGTAGACTAGAAGGACATTCTCAATATGTAGTTGAGGGAAATTTAATATCTTTTGGTCCAGTACAGAGCATATTCCGGCCAGTTTGCCTTAGATATGTTATATTTTAATCTGGGATTAAATTGATTTTGAACTCTTGTAGGTACAGAGGAAGAGATTATGATAGGGAAGTGATCACTACCATGAGAAAAGGGAAGTACAGTCCATGACAGAGAGGAAACTAGATCAGGAGAGCAGAGAGATAAATCCACAGCACTCTTTATATTTTGGGATGGGGGGACACGGCGAGTTGGTGAACCATCATTAAGGATGCAAAGATTAAAGTCATCGATGATTTCTAAAAACGGAGATGACAAAGAATCACAGAAATGGGAGCCCCACGCCGAATGGTGAATGTTAAAATCTCCCAGGATGACTATAGGTGGAGATAATAAAGTTATGAAATTAACAAGCTCAGACAAAATAGAAACATTAGGGTTAGGGATATAAATGGATAAAAACGAAATATTGAGAGCCTTGATTGCAACAGCGTTAATGCTATCACTATGGGGAGGTATAGGTATGGAAGAAAATGGGATTTCTCTAGAAATTAATATAGAAGTACCAGCGTGTCCGTCTCTTCTGTCATCCCGGAGACATGTATAACCCGAAACCCTAAAATGTGAATCAGGTCTTAGCCACATCTCCTGGACAGCCAGAATGAGAGGCTTAAACTTATTTATAAGATGGATGAGTTCATTTTTTTTATGGTTAATGCTGCGACAGTTCCACTGAAGAATTGTTGGGAATGTTATTAGTAGAGAGAAAAAAGCTCAGTAAGTTTTTTGTGTAAATTTGGGGGGAGTTCAGTATCAGTGAAGCGAGAGATCATATTCATTAGCATAGAAATAATGAGTTCTAAAAAAATTATCATTATGGGAAATGTTGCCATTTCCAGCAAGGGCAAAACCATCAGGAAGAGAGGAGGAGGGAGTTTGGATAATAGCTTCATGAGCTGCTCTATCGTAACCTTGATTTTGGTGTTGTCTAAAAGGATGACGAGGGATAGTTATTGTTTTTTTATAGGATGAAGTTACAGGTGAATGGGGAGATGGTAATAAAGGAATAGTGGTATTAGAATAAGGGGATTGGTGATTAGATTCCAAGGGCAGACTTCTTGCAGAATCTGCAAATGATCTTCTGACCTGAGGGAATCTGGCTGAAGCTTCTAGATAGGAAATACTCTCTTGTGACATTACAAGTTTTATTGACTTTTGCCTGGAATGCTCTGGACAAGACGAATCTTTTGCACAATGGGAGCCGGAGCAAAATAAACATGTTGGAGATTGTTTTGTACAGGAAATGCCTTCATGGTTTTGAGCACAAATGAAACAGCGCGGTGTCGACCTGCACTGTGAAGTTACATGGCCAAATCTACAACATTTCAGGCATTGAATTAATGGTAATATATAGGTTTCGACGGGTAATGATGTATAAAAAAAAACAATAAATGTGAGGAGGGAGTTTTTGGCCTGAAAATGTCAGAACCACAGTTTGAGTGGGGACCCAGTTAGGACTATTATTTTCATTCTGAGTTCTTCTATTTAATCTTCTAGCTTTAATAATAGGGCCATAGCCTTGAGGAACCTTAATGCAAGAGATAAGGTCTTCTAGAGTCCATTCTATTGGGACTTGCCGAACTATACCCATTCTGGTCACATTATATGAAGGGATAACTGCTTCATATTTAGCTGCAGGAAGGGCTGGATGATCAATAAAAATGTTAGCTGCAGCAGCAGATTTAAATTCGACGGAGATTCTATTGCGTCCAACTCGCTTTACTCCATCGCAAACTATGTTTTTGATATTATTGTGGAATAGGAAATGTCCGAATTTTATTGGTTTTAGAGCTGTTCCTGATGTTAATTCATTAGTAACTTTACTTACATGGACAAGGAACGGAGCAGTATCTTCGTCGCTATATTTGTTTTTTTTATTTACAAAATCGGGATGTATAAAAGATGACTGAATGGAGGGAAAGGGTTGAAGAGGATTAGCATTATTTATTTTTCTGCGGATGTATAGGATTTATTGTTTTTGGGCGTTTTCGACTACTTTGTGTAATACTCGTTTCCATAAAAGACGGAGATGATGAAGGGATCTGAGTGACATCCCCATCAGGATCGGGAGGATCCTCCTCCATCGTACTTACATTTAAGACGGCACAACTAACTAACACTTACTACTGATAAATTGATTAAATCACCACCAAAACGTTAATTATTTTACAAAGTAAATCAACAGCACTTTACAAGTTTAAATAATGGAATAATGAAAATGAAATAAACAGCACATATATCACTCACTTAACCTCTCTCTAGTAATCATATACCTATCTGCCATCCATGAGAGAGGATATCTTGTGAAGACTTTTTCCCCAATACCAAAAAGAAGCAGATAATAAACACAAGAAGATGAGGAAGAGAAAGAAGATGAAGAAACCTTTCAGTTAATTTCAGTCTATTTTATTGTTTTTTGCCTAACCAAACGAGTATACCTTGGTGTATTTTAAAACTATAATGTCTTATTTCTTGTGTATAGTAAATAAATTTCAAAAAAAATATGGACCAAATTATTAATAATTCAAATTATTAGAATGTGGGCACTTACTTCCTCTTGTCGAACCATACAGCTTCGCAACCTTTCTTTTGTAGGGCTGCCATAATAACATTAATGTCATAGTTTCCAAGACCCAGCATCGATCTATGGGGATTGATCCAAACATTTGGTGATAATCGACTGCATATGCTATCTAGTTCCGACTTTGAAAAGGTATTTCTCATCTGTAAATACCCAAATAAGATATTAGTAAACTACATTAATTCAGGTCATGAACATGCAGAAATAAATCATTTATACTTGTAAAGTCATAGAGTACCATTTACTGTTGCATAAATGGGTTTGTCTACTTTGATATACCACACAATCATAGAAGACAAGAATAATGTAAAAGTATTTATACATTTGCATTTAACCTTTTGAGAGAGGTTACCTTTGGTCACCATCCACACTAAGCACCAATTCATTTCCTACGAACAAAGTCAGCCCCATTGATATTCAGAGGCAGCCTTAATCATATAACATTAAGGTAAACTAGCCTGCTTATCTTTTGGTACCAACTAACATAACAAATATGGTACTTCTTATGATAGATAATGGATAGAATATACGAAATTCACACTGTGGTCACACTGCACAAAAAATTCGTGAAGAAAATAGTACTCTTTACTGATACTGATGAAGAAAATAGGGAAGTTATTTTATGTATAAAAGAAAAATTATATTGGTACCTATGATACTAAAAAGAGATACTGATACTAACAGTAATAAAGTACCAACTTTGTAAATTAAATAGAAACTATAAATATTCAACTTCATGTGTAAGGTAAACGTTAAAGTTAAAGTTATTAAAGACTCACCTGAAACAAATTATTAAGTGCGTGCAAGGCACATAATTCTTTAACCTGTTTTTCGTGATAAATCGGTGTTTTCGGATTCATCTCGTTTATGTTATATTTAACATATTATTTCAACATTAAAATACATATATATTCAAAGAAAACTGGGTGATTTTATTTGACTCCGGTTATATTGACATTAGTATTTAGAACAATTAATTTATTAAAGCGCATTAAAATAAGTATTTTAAGGCAAGCACTTGACAATTTTGTAAACTTGACATATGTGTCAGCTTGAAGTTGAATTTTAAGACCATCGCCACAGTGTAATAATTGTATATCCATATTTGCACAAATGATTAACTTCTACCTAAACTCGTTAAAGTCTATTTGCTTTACGCATTAATAACCTCACGAAGTTTTCTATTGAGAATACAAACATATTACACAATATGAATTACGAATATAATTTCAGATGTGGTTACGGTAATATTATTCTATTTCTATTCTTAGATTAGAAGAATGGCTGAAGGTCTTGCCCTTTTTGCCATAATATTTACGAAATAAAATCATAACAGACTTTTAATTTTTGATATTGATTTTTTGTAATTCAATTCATAGATTTAAGTAATTGCCGCTAATTTGACTGCCAATAATTAAACCCGAAGTTATTCTTAGAATCTTAGATATTTGAAACCATTTGTTTCTTTAACCTAATTGTGTCATTGGCGATATCATATAGGCCACCAACTCCCTTGCCTTATTAAAAGAAGAAGAAGACAACCAATTATAAAATACTCGAACTAAAATAAACTAAAGCTGAATAATACTCATGATATGTCATGGATAGTTCTCAAGAAAATTTTGAATTAAATATTAAAAATAAAATAACTTATTGTGAATATAACGACAACTCGTTTGTAAAAATAAAACTTTATCAGCAATCACTTCACTCGTGTGTTATACTGTTTTCTTTCTGAATTTTAATTTTTCGGCTCTCTTTTTCTTATCCTATTGATTTATTTTCATGTTTTTTTTAGTTCACCAAACTTAACATCCCGTGTCATTCTAAATGAAATATGGCAAAAGAATCACGAATCGCTAGATAGTAAAACCATAAATAAAATTTTAAAATCGGCACAATCTCTCATACATACTTCTGAAAATATCAAAACTTGGAAAAGCTCGCTGAGGTACATTTTTTTTCCTGTAATTAAGTTTATATATATTTCTTTATATTTTCTACTACAAATCTTAATATCTTGAATAAGAAATATTATAATATAGGCATAATATTTGAATAGTAAGCATGTCACAATCTTGGTAAACATTTTCATTCTGTATTCTACAGATTTGAATATTGTCTTAATTAAATATTTATTTACAATTTTCCCTAATGTTTATTTTCAGTGAGGTAGATTCAACCACTATTTTTGAAAAGTCAATAGCATGTTGCAAGAGATGCAATTTAAATGAAGCTTACATAGGTTTTGATCAGTTTATTAATAATAAATGCAAATGTGCAAACTGTCTATTATGCGAATCAAAAAGCAACAGGACAACAAACAATGAAACTAAATCCATTCCCCAAAAGGAAAATTCCAGTTCTTGTCAGCCAGTCATATTTCAAGATGAACAAAAACTATCATTTAAGCCAAAATTTAGGCCAAAGCACACTTTGAAAAAGGCTGTAAGTTCTCAATTGAATGTCAATAGTGATGTGGAAGATTTGAAGCAACATCAAAATACAGATTTATTTAACATTGGTACACATGTTGAAAGCTCAAATCCATCTTCACTGAGTTCTATAGATAGAGAGGAAAAAGAAAATAAGGCTCACAAAAGCAATGTCGCTAAAATTACATTTAAGACGGCAAAAGAGGCACTGCTCGCATCTAATCCTGGTGCTAGGAGAACTCTTGGGGCATCTAGGAAAGCACAAGGAAAATTTGTGTCGCCCATGATTGGTGTTCAGTAAGTTAATAAACTTAATTATATAAATCTTTAACCAGTTATATACAAGACATTTGTGCCATTTGATTTATTGTTTATGCATATTTAAATAAAGCATACCATTCCCATCTAATTCATGATATCAGATGAGAAAGTTATTTAACTTCAGAAGACAGTTTACCCTATACTTCTTTAAAACATAAAAACAACCATGTCAAGATATATATTTTCTTGACATTGTATTAATTTTTTTTATTATATATTTATATATTTATAACTTCAACTAATTCTAGAGAAAAGCAGGAAAGATGTGATCCAATCGTAACCGATGACAGGCTCAAACATATAGACCCAAAAATGATTGAACTTATTGAAAGTGAAATCATCGACAATGGAACTCCTGTAGGTGAGTTAATTTTTTTATGTAAGAATGTGGCAAGCAAGTTGACGGTTCACCTTATGTTAAGCGATAACCGCTGCCCATTAACTTATATAAGACCCTTTGATTTGAAGATGCATTGGAACCTATAAATTTTATTAATAGTTTGGTTATTAATATTAGTACCTGGAGGACCGAGCTTTGCTCAGTTTTTTTGGTAAATCATGTATTTTGGAAATAAAAAAAATAAAAAATAATCTGGTATAGAAAAAATAAAATAAAAAAATAAGTGTGTAAATAATCGTGATACGAACCGCGGCCGTCTGTTTTGGGGCCGCCCGATTACCGACCGAGCTATTATAACAATCATATTCGAATGATATTTTTCATTCCCTGAAAAGAGGTATAAAAGGACGTTTTCTAAAAATGAAACCTAGCTAGATCGATTTTTGCCCCCGAATCTACGCACATACTAAATTTCATGAAAATCGCTGGAGCTGTTTCTGTGAGTTTACCACAGCGTTCAGAGTCTACCACAGCATTTCTATGGATATCTCTAGGTTCGCCGCTGCCAGGATTTGGAACTGCGACTTTCGGCCCACACCTAGACCATGTAACCAATAAGCTAATGTTGATAACGGATAACGAATGCGAAAATCTCGACGTATTATTCACTTTGCTTTTATTCCATTTTTCCCAATGCTTGGACCTTTTACACTTCTACTTGCTTCCTTTACACTTCTTTAAATTATATTTTTACAATGAATATTAGAAGATTAAAGATGTTTAAAATTTAATGAAATAATTAAATTCCTTCTTTTATTGTCCCCTATATTGCTGAGATTTTATTGAATTTTTTATATTTATATGCTATCCAGGCTGGGATGATATCGCTGGTCTGGAAATGGCAAAGTCAGTGATACAGGAGGCTGTGGTGTGGCCGTTGCTGCGTCCTGACATATTTACCGGCCTGAGGCGGCCACCAAGGGGAATTCTACTGTTCGGGCCTCCAGGCACCGGAAAGACTCTCATTGGTATGGTTTTTCATAGCTTTGATATCGGTTCGAATTCTTATGTACGAATGCTTTCGATGGATGATGGCTCTAATCATTTTTATAAGACGGCTATTTAATGAATTTTATACCATATTGGCAAAGGTTTAAACTTTGAATTTACCTAAAGTTTACGTTCAACACGCCATGAAACGTAAGGATACACAAAAACCTCGATCTACACAGCCATCATAAGCTCGCGTCGTTAAGCGATCATCAATTTCAGAGATATAACATAACTTGGAGAGGGCGGAAAATCGTTTTAATCCCCTGATGGTAAACGCAGCTAATAACTATAATAGTTATCAATCCCAACGCGACCTTTCGCAAACATCGTCTGTTATACAGGGTGGTTTTTCCATAGGTGCCAAAATTCACACAGGAAGTTCAGACTCGGTAGCATAATATTTTATTGAAATAAAAACAATTTTTTTTTAAATTGCCATTCCTTTCCTTAGCAAACAGAACTTGTTGACAATGCGGTAGTCATTCATAAATGCGTCGTATACTTTTGAAACGAACTTTTGTGCGTGTTAGTTATGAACGATCGCGCGTAAAATAAATGAGTTGCCCATAAATCACGCACTTTATGGGATAAGTTCAAATTAATGTATTTAAATAATTACGAGTAATTTTAAATATTTATCATTTTTATATAACATTATTTATGTCTAGAATTCAATAAAAAAAAAATGGATACACTTAAAAAAGCCTCCCTGTATATTGCCACCGCGCTCGCACATACAATGACTGCCGTTGAAGGAGCGTGACGGCAATAATATTGCGCGGGAGCAACAGACAGGCGATGGCTGGTGAACGTACGAAATTCTTCCTGCTCCGCAGACTTTACACAGTGTAGTTCGCCTACGAGCTTGGCGGAACCAACGCACGTACACAAGGTACACCCGCGCTTAAGCAAGATTCTATCCGCACAAAGGCCGCGTTTTTTTTTTTAAATATATAAGCATTACAAAATAAGCAGCAGCTGGGGACTTGGCAAGTGCTGAGCAAGATTCGTTTCCTCACATACTTGTCCTAAGTAAGGATACTTATTGCTGTAACCCCCAAGATGCATCTAGCTCGTGGGGCCTGGTTAGCTCAGCTCTGTTTTCGTCTTAATAATCTATGGACTGAAAGTGAAAACATCAGTCGAAGTGAAATAAAATAAAAAAAGTTATGATTTTTAGATGAAAAGTAGCTACTTTTAGGTAAAATAAGTATTTTATGTGTTAAAACAAATGACGTTTTCTTATGTAGAGCCGAGGGCTTCGTGCGAGTGACGAAACGTTTGAAACTGTACTCAATTGGACATTCGTCCAAAGGTAAATGCGTGGCATGCGCAGTGCAACGCCACCTTCTTCAGCATCTCCGCATCTTCGCTCACCTCCAAGTGGCTCGGCGACGGCGAGAAGATGGTCCGCGCGCTGTTCGCCGTCGCCTCTTGCCACCAGCCGGCCGTAAGACAAACACACACACGCACGCACGCACACACGCACACACACTCAATTTTGTGTTAGTAACTTATCTGTGGTAGGGCCACGCAGCAGCTCCTTCTGTTTCACGAATGGGCAGGCCCGTCCGGGTGTCACGACCTGAAGTGAAGTGAAAGTATAATACTTTCGCGTTTCGTCTAGTGGGTGAGGTAGCAGAGACCATTTTAAAAGGTGTAAAAATCCTCGAGTGTAGCAGATGCAAATTGGTGGCGATATTTACTTAACATCACGTGAACCGCCTAATCGCTTGACAAATTTTGACATAACTAAAAGCCTCAAACGTTGAGCAGAGTCATAATGTTTCAAGCGATTTGATTATTGCGCCGAACTCGCCGTACTCAATCCGGTTTATAAATATTTTGATTTTCGCTGTAACACTATAACATGGAAAAATTAAAAGTGAACAAACAGTTATTGCCGCCTTTGTGAACTTAGTTCTCGTACTTACGTGCTGGAACCAGCGACCAAAATGGTTGATACCCTCTCTATAAACTTATCACAATGAATATAAAAAAGCCGTTCATGACTTTTGTTTTCAATCGCTAAAACATTTCAGGGATGTCTTCTCTTGAAGCGACCATCGAGATAAATACCTAGTTTCGTGCTTTGTAACTTTTTTTCAGGTGATATTCATCGACGAAATAGATTCCCTGCTAACGCAGAGGAGCGACAGCGAACACGAGGCCACGAGGAGGATCAAAACTGAGTTTCTGGTGCAGTTCGACGGGGCGGCAACTGGTAAATTATACGGGGATAAATTTACGTATAATACACTACTGGTGGAGTGTGTCCTAATTTCTTCTGTACAGCGGTGGCATTTGCCCATCAGTGGGACATTAGACTACAACTTTACGGACTAAAATCAAGAACATCAGTTAAAATATTATGTTACTTACAACGCCTCACTATATCGCCAATCTGGTGTATTGCATTGTCTATAGTCTTTCAAGCCCTTTTATGCCCTAGGCGAAGACGACCGTCTGCTGATCGTCGGAGCGACCAACCGGCCGCAGGAGCTGGACGAGGCGGCGAGACGTCGCCTAGTCAAGAGGCTGTACATACCCTTGCCCGATTCGCAGGTGAATGCTGTTATACTGATGATATTCACTGTGCTTGCAACAGTCTTCCAGCCATGTATTAAGATAGGTCTAATCACCATCTAATTTTCATGCTAATGAGCTTGGACAGTATGAGTTGATGCAGTGCTGCTGTGCATCTTAGGGCGTTTTATGTGCGGATATTTATTTCGTCCACTCTCTGGTTGGTCGCAGTAACGGTAGTGCCTAGGTATTTAAACGGGTTAACGCTTTTATAGGTGACCTGACCAACAACAACGTTATCCCGCTTTCCTCTGATGTTGTTTTAGTGTTTAATCTGTGTTGTCGGGTGGATTAATGTTGTTTAATAATATAGATAGCACTTGTCCATCCTGCGCGGCGTTTAAAAATTGTTCCGCATTATGTTATACGACATGTGTAAGTGAATATGACAAATGATATAGAACGTGTGATACGGAAAGAGATAGCAGTATATAGAATTGTATTGTAATTATACAAAAAATAAATAAAAAATATGTAAAAATCGTATGTGGTTGGAGGTTGTAAAATTAAAGGAAGATCGAGAAAGATTTGGATGGACTGTGTGAAGAATGACATGGCTGTGAAAGGTGGAAGTATCAAGATGACAGCTGATCGAGGAAAATGGGGGAAAGGACATGTTTTGCCGACCCCATCCAGCGTGCGATAAAGACAGGAGAAAGTAGAGAAGATAAATCTAAATAATATTCCGAGTCTAAGTGTACTCGGGTGTCCATAAATTCGTCTTTGTTGACACCTAGGGCAGGAGAAGTTAAGAAAAAGGAACAAGGAACTGGGAGAAATACGTAAAGTGATATTGCGAGTCATAATGACTGTTGCCTTCGTGAACATAGCGAAAAACTACACACTTTCCACACATTTCTTTTCATTCATAGCATTTCACATTATGTAACTCATTGTTTGCAAATTTATTATGTTAATAAAATGAAATGAATAATAAATTTAAAAAAGGGAATTGAATAAAAGTTAAAATCTCTTCGTTGCAGGCACGTGAACAGATAATAACCAACCTGCTCAGGAACGAGACGAATGAGCTCACACAAGCGGACATTCAGAGGGTTGCCGGCCTCACTGAGGGCTACTCGGGGGCCGATATGAAGTCGCTTTGCTCCGAGGCCGCCATGGGGCCCATACGGTCGGTCCCCTTGTCGCAGATTGTCAGCATAGGACGGGATCAGGTTTGGAAGTTTCAAAATAATAATACAAGCGTTCGTTTCGATAATCCTATGATAATGTAATCAATCAAATTTTTAAATAACTCCAAAATAATTTTGGTGTCATTATAAAAAGTTATTTTACGTCTATGTCAAGTTAAGACGTTCAGTTCAGTGGCTTAAAACGTCGCAGTGAAAACTCATCGTCCATTTCCCTACACACTTTTACATTTCTCATTAAGTGCCTAGAATAGCACTATAAAAATATATATCCTTTAAAAATTAGTGTCATTATTTTTAACAGAGAGGGAATGTCAGACTAGCGGGTCACATGATAGTAAGCGAGATTACTCGAGATATTAATGACGTTAGTGAGGTTGCAATTAAACTGCCAACCTTTAAGAAAATGGGCCCTGTTACCCCGCTCATCACACGAATTATAATTAATACCTCTACTATAAGGCGATCATTGATGATAACTGTAGTACTTTTTCGGCACGAGCTAATTCATGCTACATTTCGTGGCTCTACCGTAGTACAAAGTTACTTTCCGAAAGCATAATAGATTCTCAGATCCTCCAGATGCAAAAAGAAGTAGATACAGTTTCGTGCGCAACAAATGAAACAATAGAAGATTTTTGTCATGTTGATCTTAACATTTTAATGTAATTAAACCTTTTATTCCTACTAAACCTTGGTTCCTTAGATATAGATGTTATCACGAAAAGACTACATCTATTATCATCAGACTAGGCCGTGTATGTTCACCTGTGTTTCTGGCTAAACTGCATATCCGAAATACGTCTTTGTGTAAATGCGGGTTGGAAGAGAGTAGTCTTGATCATTTATTCTTTAGCTGTCTTATGTTATCAGTCCCTTTGTATGACCTACTCCCACCCACTATTGCACATCCTGTGGATGTTAGTTGTTTGTTAACTCTTATCTATGCCTCGTTCATTAAAACTCTAGTTAAGTTCATAGAAATTAACAATATACGGCTTTAAGCTGAATTATAAGATTTTTGTTTTTCGCCTTTTGGTTCGTGTTATTTTTTCTCTTTTTATTTGTGTATGGCTGACGTCTCGTTACTAATGACCGTGTTACTAATTACTAATGAGGTGTTTTGTTCCACTATTTACAGGTACGCAACTGAAAATGACTTAATACAGTAGGTTATTATTGTCATGTCCTCAGCCTAGTCGATCTCCAAGTACCAAGTCATTGGCAAAATCACTGACGTATCAGTGGAGCCATAGTAAAAAGTGGGGGGGAAAAAAAAAACATTTTAATGTTTTTGATCTGAAATTTTTATATTAGCGCATGGCAGTAAAATCGGCTAGTTTGTTTTTTGTAGGTCTGATCCATCATGCCCTCCATGCCGTATAAACTGCGCACCATTTTTATCGTATAACACATATACTGCTCGTATAAACGTATTGTATTTTCTTTCTTAAGACCAAATATTATTGCGTAATGAAAAAAATAGAATCAGTAATCTTTATTATATACATATAATTCTTCTGTAAGTGTGTATGTCACCGAACTCATCCTAATCGGCTAGACCGATTTTAATAAAATTTTTGTGTGTCTTCAAGTCAATTCGAGAATTCATGAGATTTAATTCGAGAATGGTTTAGTTTAGATTCACAATTGGGGACACTACAACTTTTTTTATTTATAAGTCGTCGGATTTAATCATAAAATACAAATTATAAATCTATAAATCTATTTATTATTATAATAGGTAATTAAAATAATAAGAAAGATATATTTATTTAATTAAATATAATTTTGTCTATTCTTTTTAATTAATTATAAGTTCTTAAATTAACTCGAATGTTTCACATATTTGCAGGTCCGTCCCGTGAACGCTCAAGACTTTATTAATGCGTTGCAAAGAGTGAAACCCAGCGTATCGCAAGACGACCTCGGCCAATACGTCAAATGGAATAAAACTTATGGCCAAGGGTTTTGATTTTCTTAAATAAACAATTTATATTCATATCAGTCCATTGTATCATTTATTAGTCAACTAATGTTATGTATATGGTTAAAAAAAAGTTTTTAGTTGACAGACATTATCAATGTCATAAGACTAATACAAATATGAATTACAAAAACTAGATCATCATAGAAATCATTTATTTATTTACTCATATTATCATTTCATAAAAAAATTATATTGACATTATGACATATTTTTTTTAACTATACCATAACCGTCATTAATTTATTGACCGTATTTATTGAAGAAATACAACAAAAAAAATATTCCTGCGTTTATAATTAAAAAAAAAGGATTTAACCAATTTCATCTCTATAATTTTTTTTAATTACCGACGTTCTAATTTTAAAATACTTCTTATATAATGCCTTATCTAAAATTTATATTTTTTTTAATTATAAGAATCAAAACTGATAATTATAGTTTTTCAATTCATTAATAATTAAATTTATACATAATATACTAAATTTATCTGATAACCTAATTTAGGTTTAAACTTTTTGATGTATGGATTTATTCCCGACAGTTCTGAAAGTCTTTCAGTATATTATATGTATCAATATCATCTATGATAAGATCTATATATAGATGATACATAAATATTGTAAAAGCCGGTGGACTCTTTAATCGAAACGGACTGACGGCTCCCAGAAGAACAGTAGCACCAATCTCCAGTTAGCACGTTGACAATGATATGCGATTATTTCTATTGAACGTCGCGAATGCCTTGGACAGTCTGTCATATCGGTTTAATTTATAAGCTACACTTGCTATGAAAGCCAGATAGACTCGTTGAAATCTTACCAGACTACGGGCGAAACATAGATTTTAATTTTTGCATCGTACCTTTACCTTTCCTAAAGTGAGTAGGTGTTTGAGGAATTAGAGATTTCGTAGTCCGGCACGGAGTTTCGCGAGGTACCAAATATTGAAACCACTATAGGAGCTAAAGAATTATTTCTTACAATCTATTGAACATGGAAGGACAGTAATTGTAAGCCTCAATTTCTACGGATAGAAAGCCACTGTAATTGTTGTGCTCTGTAATTAGTCACGTGATAAAATTTATGTAGGCCAAAAACAAATTGAATGCACTAATTTTGAAGACTAGCTTGTCCAGTAATTCTTTCAAGAAATATACATCAACATAGTCAATAAGAGACAGAAGAAGTGCATGAGCTAAAGTCATTTTTATTTTAATAGAAAGAAAATACCGAAGGCCAAGACAGGTTTTTGCCAATAAAAATAAAGTGCGTCTATCAAAGATAAAACCTCAGTTTTTGTCAGTATATGTATATGGAATGTTGGTGATGTCATATAATATAACAAGTAGTTTTGGTCGGCCTAGAGTGAGATTATTACTAAGTGAGATTCCAATTATAAGCGCTGAGATTGACGAGTAAACTAACAGCTTGCCCACATGTTTATAGCACTCAAATCAATGCTTCAAAGTGATGTACAATTGCAAATCATCAGCGTAACGGTGATAGTGAGAAATTGAGTTAGTGAGAAGTAAAGTAGTAAGAAAGTTAATGAACATCAGAGGATTCTTCCTCAAGGCGTATAAACTGTGAGCGTTCTCTAAGGAAGGAATCAAAACAGGCGATTACAGAGCTTGAGAATTCCTAGAAGTATGTCATAATTGACTGGATTAAATGCGCTGAAGTCCAAGAGTATTACGACAAAGAGTTAGTTATTATCCATAGCACAGCGAATATCATCTGATACTTTTTATTAAAGCACTTACTGTGCTTTGGCCTAGACGAAAGAAACAGATTGAGAGGGACTCAACAGGCCTTGAGAAGTTAAGAAATGGGAAATTGCTTTTAATCCAGGATTTTGGACCTGACTGGAAAAATCAAGATGGGGCGGAATTGTGACAGGAATGTGAGCGTGGAGATTTTTGGAAGGGAAATATTTTCAGGATATATTTATACACGACTTTATCTAGTCCCAAAATAAGCAAAGCTTGTACTAAGAATACTAGATAACTAATAAACATACATAAACGTACTTTACTTTTATAAATAAATACATATTACACATATAAACACCCAGACACTAGAAAAACACAATGTTCATAACACAATATTTTTCCAGTTGTGGGGATCAAACTCACACCCTCTGCGCAAGAAACACTATCCACTACGGCATTTGCGTCGTCATTACTGGTAGACTTGGTTCGAGTAGTTGGTAGAAGAAAATGGTCTGGACTCTGGTATCTAGAATTTTATTTTTCTTTGAAGTTTTCACCTACATCCTACTGGAACAAATTACATAACTGTCAAATGGCATCGAGTCAAGTTGCAACATGTCAAATTGTCAACAAAATGAATGAATCTGCCCCAACGAAAATATCCCACTGGAAGTAAACCTACAAAAACAGTGGGATGTTCCTTTGGTGCGGAGAGTACAGAGAGATACGTTTCATTCTTTAGAAAGTAATTTAGAGCGTGCCCGTTTCCTAGGCGTCTCATCTAAAGAATCGAGTTATTGGCTTCACGCTTTACCATCAAGTAACTTGGGCACATTACTTGACGATGAAAGCTTACGCATTGCTGTAGGAATCCGTCTGAGGGCACCGATTTGTCAACCACACCAATGCCCTTGTGGTGTTAGTGTAGACAAATTTGGTCTCCACGGGCTTTCTTGTCAAAAAAGTGCAGGCCGTTTTTCCCGCCACGGTTCCCTGAACGACATCATCCGTAGGGCTCTTGTTTCCATCAATGTTCCATCTATTTTAGAGCCCTGTGGCATTTTTCGCGACGATGGTAAGAGACCAGATGGTTTTACATTGATCCCTTGGGAGAGAGGCAAGCATTTGCTGTTGAAACGTTAGGTCCGTGGGGTCCCCGCACATCAAATTTTTTTAAAAGTTTATGTCCTAGGCTTAAAGCCGCGGCTGGTGACAAGAGAGCTGGTTCTTTTCTCGCTCAAAGGTTAAGCATAACTATTCAGCGAGGAAATGCAGCTAGCGTTCTTGGCACCATGCCGCGTGGATTAGGTTGATTAGATAATATGTAATTTTAGATAGATTTAATCTTGTAAATATTAGATCAATAAAGATTTTTGAACATTTAAAAAAAAAAAAAAAAGAAAAAATGAACAAATATAACGATATTTATATATATATATATATATTGTGTTTATCCCCGTTGTTCTCACTCTATGCCGCATTCGAATTGGAAAAAATATCGGTTTTTGATACAATTTCGATATTTAATATTTTGTTTCGATATATCCATATTTTTTCGACGTCCCTAAAGTGTCGTATCAAATGTGTCAAATGTAAATAATAATAATAAATAAACATCAGAACAGAATGAGCGGGAAAGTATAATGGAATTTAAATATAATTATAATAAAATGTACATAATTTAAAAGTATTATCTTAAATGAAGTAAATGAAATTTGTATCATATTAATCAATTAATACGACAAACATGAATCACGAAAATCGTATTGTAGTATTAATTGATATGGATTGCTTTTATTGCCAAGTGGAAGAAAAGTTAAACCCTGACTTAAAAGGAAAACCCATTGCCGTTGTTCAGTATAATCCATGGAAAGGTGGCGGGTAAATATTAAGTCAAATTTCATCGTATTTGGTACTAGTTTGTTGACTTCTTTAACACTTTTGATATGTCATAACATGAAGCAAACATCATTAGTTGCCTATATTTAAATTGTGTTAATTACATTGCTTTTTGCCCATCGTTTATATTTCCAACTCTATAGATAAATACTGTATATAATAAAACCAAAAAATAGATGTAATAAAGCTATTTATAAAAAAATTTAATCATATATTTAATTTGACATTTCAAGGGCCTACTGACTTGAAACAAGGCAAGCATTTTAAACATATGTCCCTTTAAAACATATCTTTTAAGGTTTATCTTAGGCATTTGTTGTTGCAACCAAACAAACCAATTGATGGCCGAAGTCTATGTTTTAAATTCAATCATCTATTCTGCATTTGTCAACACTTGCAGGATTATTGCAGTGAACTATGTTGCAAGAGCTATGGGCGTTACTAGACACATGAGAGGGGATGAAGCTAAGGAGAAATGTCCTGAGATCCAGTTACCATCAGTACCATGTGTAAGAGGAAAAGCAGACATTACAAAGTGAGTAAAAAAGTTCATGTACACTGAAATATGTTAACTGACTTGAAGTACAATAACTGTTTTAATAACTTTTAATACATTTTCTTTAAAAATGATTATGTTAAGGTATTTTAATATAATGTACAACTTTCGTAATTTTATCCAGTTAGGTTTTCAATTGTGTACTATGGATGTTGCATGATGGGCGATGTGTTAGGTATTACATGGACCCTGTATTCATTATTTAGTCAGAAATCACTTTAGGTATTATTTATATCAAAAATAATGTTTATACGGATTAAAATATTGTTTATACGGATTTTTATATCATGAAATCCGTAAAATAGTTTTAAATTATAAATAAACTGAAATCAATTTAAGGATTTTAATTTAAAAATTAGCGAGATCTGCTATCATTAATTAAATGTATTAATAAGGGTTTTAAAGTAATCAAATCTTTAAAATAGTTTAAAATGTGTGATCACAATTAATTGTAAAGCTTTATGTCGCTTTTTAGGTATCGCGATGCTGGCAAAGACGTAGCGAAAGTCCTGCAAAGGTTTACACCACTATTAGAAAGAGCTTCTATTGATGAAGCATACTTGGACATAACAATACCTGTAAGAACTAATATTTAATATCTCCTCACAATACTACCCGATAGCTGACTAGCTATCGACCAGAATAAGACTTTAGACTAGAATTGTAATTTTAAGTGCCAAAATTGTCAATTTTAACTGCTTATTTATCACATCCTCATTGGAAAACAAAAATATCATTATAACCTGAATGTTTTCGAGAAAATAAATAAAATATTTAGGACACATTCTTTTTACACAACATTCTCTAATCCCAAACTAAGCAATGCTTGTACTATGGGTACTAGAAAACTGATAGACATACTTAAACATAATTTTCTTTTGTAAATAAATACACATTATACATACAGCATGTCATTACCATCGCGACAATAAATGAACACACATATAGGGGATAACTTTTTAAAGTTGAATTAAACATTTAAATTCTTTAAACATCAATATTTACAGAGTTATTAAATTTTCCAAAACAAAGAATTTTAGAACACCCTTACCTATAAAAGCGTAACGTAAAGTTCATTTGTAAAGGTCACAAAGCATATGAATGGATTGAATGAATTTAAAAGAGACAAAAAATACTGTTAGAAGGAGAGGCTTGTAATGCGACGCTATGGCGCGAGTTGTATAGGATGTTACAAATTTTGTTTCTTTTTTAATTAATTAGTTTGTTTGAAAAATATTTTTTTTAATTATGGATTTTGTTTAACGTTAATATTTTTTTATGATTATTGGCAAGTAGCGTTAGACGTGTGTTCATTTATTGTCGCGATGGTAAAGACACGCTGTATATAAACACCGAGACACTGGAAAAACGCTATGCTCATCACACAATATTTTTCCAGTAGTGGGGATCGAACCCACACCCTCTGGCGCAGAAGGCAGGTACACTACCGACTACGCCATTCGGGTCGTCAATACACAAGACAACAAAATAAAGAAATATAAAAGTAAAGTAACAAGTTTACTTTTCAATAAAACAATAACACTTCAGGTGCAACAGAAACTAAACAACCTAAACGTGAACACAGTAACAAAGGACACATTACCCAATACATTTGCGCTGGGTTATAACAGTATAGAAGAGTTTTTGCAAGACATCCAAAACGGCGGCAGCGACAGCATAGAGTTTGACTTAGAGCACGCGAAACAGCTGCTCGTTGGGGCGGTCATCGTCAGCGAGATCAGAGCCGCCGTTTTCAACGAAACCGGTCAGTAACTATTCTGGTTCTCATTCAAAAGAAATAATAATTCGTATCTCTTGAGTGATGAAAATTGTCGATAAATCTTGCATTGTCTAATTGTATTTAGACAAATTAAAGTAATGTTCATATGACGTTCAACAGTGGATAGGCTTTTACTGAGCTCGTTCGCTTACCATCAACGGCGGCTGCTTCGCCGCTTACCATCAGGTGGGATGGCAGTCAAGAGCTGGTCAGTTCCATATAAAGAAAAAGCAGACTATTATTAATATTTATTTTCGAACGAAATTTGTGGAATCTGTCGTCGCCAGCGGTTTTTCCGGGCCGATACTTAGGGACCTTCAATAAGAGATCCATTTTCTACCCCAAAGGTCGGCAATGAAATTGTGACTCTACCGTTGTGACTGCAAATAGCGACTGTAAACAGTCACCATCAGGTGGAGCGGCTGCTCGTTTGCCTGACTTTCCATAAATAAAATAAGAAAAGCAGTGGCAGAAAAGCAGTAGATCCGTCTGGGTCGCCCTAGGCATATTAAATGTTGCCGGCCCCCTACTCAAAAAAAATAATATGTAAAATAAAATTAAAATGAAAAAACAACGAAAGTTATTGATATCATTCAATGGTCACGAAGCCGGAGAACGGTACCTACTGATCAGGCGCGCTTATAATTTCTACGGAATATTGCTTACGCGAAGGAGCGAGACGCGAAAGGCGCGACTACTAAAAAATCCTACTAAATTGCGGCCCTAGGACGAGGCCTACGAGGCCTATAGGGAAATCCGCCGATGAACAAAAGATTTGATATACGACATAGAGCTGAAGCGGACTGTGGTAGGGCCACGCAACAGGTTTCGCTGTTGCACGAATGGGCAGGTCACCGCGACCTAGCAGATGGCCGGCGTAAAGTAAAATTGTTACACTTCTGCGTTTCGTCTGGTGAGTGAGGTGGCCGGGGCCCAGTTTATTTAAATATGGCAAATGTGTTGCAAATGTCCGGGGCGGCGGTCATAACTTAACATCAGGTGAACCGCCAGCTCGTTTGCCACTTTTTCACATAAAATTGTGTCCAGGCTACCAGTGCTCCGCCGGGGTGGCGCACAACAAAATCCTGGCGAAGCTCGTTTGCGGCATGAACAAGCCGAACAAGCAGACTCTCCTGCCCAAGCACTGCGTCGACATGCTGTATCAGTAAGTTCGCGGAAATGCATTAACATTTACGTACATTTATTGGCTTAGTATCTATATGCAATTCCTTGTCAGCTAATATTTTTTTTTTATATTACTGTTCAAGTACCTAGGTTTTACCTAGTTACAAATTTTGTACCAAGTACAAAATTTGAAACTATATTTTCGCCAATGCAACACGAAGTCAGGCTTATTTTAAGAGCAATTACGAGAGAAAAGAAAGAAACTTTAATAAAAAGCAGAAGTCAACAGAAAACTTGGAACATGCTTTTAAAAAATCGATACAACTTTTCACTTTTTGCCCAGGAGCTCACTATTATACTTTTATAATCAAGTTTAATATTTTTATCACCTTATGTTTTCCTTTATGTCTCTTAGTTGTGTATTTAAATATATTGTATTTTTTTTGGCAATAAACTATTATTGGTATTATTAAATACATTCTACGGAACCCATTTTAAAAATTACACAAAATTATGAACCTGGGGCTCGGTAGTCCCGTACTTTGACGATAAGTGATTACCGCCGCCAGTCGTGGGCGGCGGTAATCATTTAACATCAGGTGAAACGTCTGCTCGCTTGGCAACTTTTCACATTTAAATCTGTAAGTGTAATTTGTTGTTTTTGTAATTTGTTTTTTTAGTACGTACAATGCTACCGTGTTGTTTACAGAACGCTGCCCGTCAAGAAAGTGAAGCATCTGGGTGGGAAGTTCGGCGACAACGTGTGCGAATCTCTCAGGATAGCCAAGATGGGTGAGCTGCAGCGGTTTACCGAGAAGGAGCTGCAGGCCAAGTTCGACGAGAAGAACGGGTGTGTTCTTAATCTATATGCGTGTAGAATCGATATAGACTTCAAAACAGTTTTGAAGAAATTTTTATTTTAACCCAATGAGTGGCCCTATGTAGTTTCGCTGGATGGGATTTTAATAACAGAGATGATGTATTTGATTTTTTTAAAGTGTACAGAAAAATAGACAAAAGAAGTTACCTAACAATTAAATATAAATTAATAAGTCATGAAAAATAACACAGTTATCGGCATCAATCATGTAACTAGTGAGACAATGTATTACAAAACTATGACTATAAAAGCATAAAAATATAATAGTGTTTATTTGCAAAAAACACTGTTATATTTGAACCACAGGTGGCAGCTTTAAGCATATGCCACTTTCTAGACTAAATAAGTGGTTCTAGAACAAACCTGTATATATATTCTCTGTATTATTTTATAACATTTCAATTATTTTTATATACAATGTTGTCCTCACTTTAGGATAATATTTTCCTGTATTGTAAGAGCGTTGTACAATCATAAATATCACGTTTACAAACACCCAGATCCGAAAAAAATTCTGTGAGTCACACAGATACTTGTCTCGTATGAGAATTGAACCCACGACCCCCGACGCCGAAGGCAATACCTTGACAACTGCGCCACAGAGTAATCTAATATTGGCTATAATTTTATACCTATTCTATCTCTTTTCCACCTAAGGACGTGGCTGTACAACATAGCGCGCGGCGTGGACCTGGAGCCGGTTCAGGCGCGCTTCAAGCCGAAGAGCATCGGCTGCTGCAAGCAGTTCCGCGGCAGGTCGGCGCTCTGCGACCTGGACGGCCTGCGCAAGTGGCTGGGCGACTTGGGGAAAGAGATAGAAGAGCGGCTAGAGGGAGACGCGGCGGAGGGCGAGCGCGTTCCACGCCAGATGGTGGTGAGCTTCGCGCAGCAGGTCAGCGGCCGCGACGTTGCCAGCTCGCGCTCCTACAACTTTTCGCTGGAAGACCGCCTTGTCGCCGAGCTGTTCTCGCGGAAGGCGCTGGAGTTGGTGCTGGACGGCGCTGAAGGCGCGAAGCCGAAGGGTCCGTCTTGACTGTGTACAGTTACTCCATATATCATAAGTATATCATCAACTGTTGCCGAGGGTTTTCGTCTAATTCAGGCATTAGCTTCCAACATTTCATTGTTCATAGAATTTTATGAATTTTTATGATTTTTTCCAATTCAAAATGATATGCTCATACATACAATACAATAAGAATACGCCAAGGTACGTAATGCAATAAGGATCATGCATTAAGAAACTTAGCGACGATTATTTCAATAGAACAATTAACCTTACTTTAATTATACTCTTATGTATTACAGAAGGGGAGCCTAACAGGCAGCTTAAAGCTCCCATCAAATTCCTGGGTATTAGCGTTGGAAAGTTCGAAGAACTCTCGGATAATAAGAGCACAAAGAAAATCAAGGATTACTTCTCATGTGCCGCTTCAACGAAGGTGGATCCAAGTGAAAATGTTCAAGAAAAAGCAAAGAAGAATATTCTGGAGGATAAAAATGTTAATACGGACGAGGGCAAAGCTCACGTGTTTCGGAAATTCTTTCAAAACGAAAGCGCATCTGATAAAATAGATACAAGCAAAGCGATAGATCAAACGGAAACGAAAAAGAACGATGAAAATGTATTAGAATCGAGCGTCAAAAAACGGAGCGACGAGAACGTCCTTGAATCACCCTTGGAAAAACAGGAGTCTTTCTTCGCGAGGTTTCTCAAAAATGAGAATGGCAAAACCGCTTCGGAAGAAGTGGTTGACGCTGAGAAATCGGTAGAAGTTAGTCGTCCACCAACAACTGCATGCATTATTGACTCCAATTGTGGTGAAGCCAGCAACGACAGCGCGAACTCTGGCTCGACTATTGAGATGGAAATAAATAAAAGCATTTCCCTTTTCGACGAGGATCAAGCTGACATAGAACGCGTCAGCGGTATGCGACAGCTGCTCAATAAATCGAAACTCATCGAGGAAACGTGCGATGAGACGGAGCGAATCAGATTAAAGCAACCGCGCGTATTAACCAATCCGAGCATCAAACACAACCCGCGGGCGGAAATAGAAACGTTCAAATGCTCAGAATGCGGTAAGGCAGTCGAAATGAGTCAAATCGACACTCACGCAGACTACCACCTCGCCTTAAAACTGAGAGAGGAGGAGAGGGAGATAAGACGGAGGGAGACAGCAAACAAGGGGAAGGAGAAAGAGAATCAACGCAAATCTGAGCTGGTTAAGGTGAAACCCGCTCAGGAGGAGCCATTGGGTAAAAGCGAAGCTATACCGTCTATATCCAATTATTTTATGAAGATAGACGAGTCTGTACCAACAGAGACATGCTCCGAATGTGGGAAGAGAATACCCCTAGCGAAATTCACGGAACATTTGGACTTTCACGAAGCTCAGAAACTGAGCAGGGAGTTGAATAACAAGTCTGTTCAAAATAATTACTCGGCTACTAGTGTGAAGAGAAAAAGGAAGTCAGCTTCTCCTGTAAAGAAGCCAAAGGTGCCGTGTAAATCTATAGATCTTTTCTTTAGGTAACATAGCGATCTTATTATATGTATTTTGTAAATAGAATATATTTAGATTTTTGATATGCCTTTATATATTTTTTTTAATTTGGTATGAATTCTCCAGTAAGAAATCTGGCGTCTGATTTAGCCGTTCGTTTTGTTGAGTCAGGGGCGTAAACTGGCTTGCAGTGTCCTTTGCGGCGCTTTGTATAATTTAATGATAAGCTTTTGGTTTTATGATTTTATTTGAGCCCATTCCCTCCCCCTGCGTTTATCCCACCTAGGTGGGAACATGCGCAGTGGCGGATTTACAAATTTGCCGCCAATAGGCTGTTCAGTTTTTGTCCTCTGAAATTCTATACCCTAGTTCGCAATCATATTAATTATATTTATTCTGTCAATAAACAACTTTACGCAACTTTGCGATTTGTGCTCTATCGTCTTCAATACGTCAGTTTTTTTTTAGGTTTCGTTGTCTTTTTCTATATTATATTTACCTACAACTCACTATTCAGTGAAGATTAAACGAAAAATAGTTTTAGATAGTTATATTTCTTAGATTAAAACTAGCTCAATCATGTTCTTATTATAAGACAGGAGAGGGTATACCTTAAAAATACAGATGAAAATACTTAAAACGTTTCTATTTGACAAAAATTTTGGGCCAAATTTGCTGCCCTTAGGCTGTAGCCGACCTGCTGGTAAATCCGCCACTGAACATGCGAATAGTGCTGTTAGCGGCTTTGGCTATTTTTTGTGACCAGATCTTGGAATACTAACACCCAAATCCGAAACAATAATATATCGTTCACACAGACTTGTCTGTGTGGGAATCGAATCCACGATCCCTGGCTCCCAAGCCAATAGCTAGTCGCGATAACCACGATTTTTGCCCAATACCATGTTTTGAAAACATTGTTTTCTAATAGTTTCTCAGATAGAATCTAAGACTTAGCAGAGGCTTAGTCAAAAAATAGACAATGTGTTACGTACAATCAACAGGCCTGCGAATAACGTTTATCTTGTTCATAAACACAATATGTTGAAAGGAAATAGGCTAGCTAGACGTCTTGTTTACCGATAGTAAAGTTTCCAATTTTTTTAACCCAAAGATATTGGCAATGAAATTAATCCTATTCATGTTTCTTTCTCATTGAATAGCTTTTTGTAGCCATTTTAATCATATCTTTCATTTAAAAATTTTCAATATAACATATCCATTACACAGCAATATATATGTGGAACTTATGACATCTGCACTTTTGCACATTTCACATAATTGGAATAAAAAGAAACAAAGTTTTAAAAATTACAATTTATTTGCTGTCAATGTGCAATCAAACTGAATAGAGCTCAGTTTGCACTTTCCTCCAGGAGTCAAGTGGTCCATGCTCAGGACGGTACTTGACGTTGCAACCGTCATTGGCCAAGCGGTTATCGTCGCGCAGCTTCTCGAACTCCTCACGCTCGTACTTGGTGAATCCCCATTTTTTGGAAACGTAGATCTGGAATACCAGAATAATTTACATTAATAAACAATGAAACCTACAACACATTGTTATTTCTACTTTTTGTATTCACATAAATAAGAGGAATTGTTATAGAAGTATTTAAATGTAATAAAATTTAAATACTTCCTCAATTTTATATCGATGGTACTTGCATAATAAAACTTATGGTATAAATATTGACCTTGTTTAAAAGGAGAGATGGAATTACATACTAACTTAAAGAGAAATAAATCTATAATATAGTACCTTTTGGCGACCAGGGAACTTGAACTTGGCACGACGGAGAGCCTCAATGACTTGTGCCTTCCAACGGTCACTTGAGCGCACAGACATGATTGGCTGACCAATGCGAACACGCGCTACGGTACCTTGAGGCTTTCCAAAGGCACCACGCATCCCAGTCTGGAGCCTGAAAAATAGCCATTACCTATGACGCAACACAAAAATATAAAACAATGGTAAAAACGGTATTTTAATTTGTGGTAGAACTTTTACAATCAATAAATGTAATGCTGCTAAATATTTATTATAGATAAAAAATTGATTATAGATATTTGAATTTGAACCATTATCTTTTAAATCACTTTGATATTCTGAAGTTAAAATCATATACATATGATAAAATACGTAAAAGTCCATTAAAAATTGAGTTATATTTGTTCATTTAACAACCAGCATTCAGATATCAAAACTAAAATAAAAATTCACAAAACAATGTTAAGAAAATATGAAACACAGTTATCAATAAAACTAAGTTACTGCCTTTATTTTAAATTCATAGTGGTGAAAAATACCTCAGGGTATAATTCAGCAACAGAACTTAGGAAGTTACTATATGAAATTAAATAAATTGCACAATCATACTAAAAATTGCGCTGATGATGTATTGAAAAAACAATATCTTATCAATGTTAATAATATATAACAATATCCAAAATCAATATTTTTTGTGAATATTAAAAAATATTTGACAACATACCTATCAGCTCCAGCGCACGATAACATTTTATTGATGCGGATAACGTGGAATGGATGCAGTCTCATGCGGATGTGGAACTGATCTTTACCACAATTCTTTACAAGGTACTTGTTGCAACAAATACGACCCGCTTCCAGCGCTTCGGAGCTAAGCTGCTCGTATTCATCAGACACCAAATGCACACATAGCGGGAAGTCATCTACAGCAGCCTTCTTTTTGCCCAGGTCGAAGATACGGATCTTAGGGTCTGGCACACCACGACAGAATCGTGATTTTGGATACGGCTTGTTTTTACAGTATCGATAGCTGAAATTTAAAAATACCCTGTTAATTACCAAAGTATGCGTATTGCATAGAAATATATATATTGAAAAGATAAATCGAAAATAACCATCTCGCTGGTCGGCGCCCCATTGTGATCTGAAATATATCAAAAACTATATTCAGTAATAGCTAATAACGGCCGGCTTAGGTATTCACATTAAAATATAAGATTATTTCTAAGATTACTTTGGATATTTAAGAAATATAAAATGTACCTTCACAAAGTGACACCGTAACCTTGCAAAAGGAAGATGACAAGAATGACAGTCTGAAATAGGGATGCTTTGTTAAATACGTAGAATCATAAGATTCGGTTATTGATAACCGTAATTCAGTATTGTTAACTTTAATATATTTTGCATACTTTCCAACGTGCCAATCTTTTTTTAAAATAATAAGTTTATAATTATTATAGTGAGTTACTTTGATTTAAAACTGTAAATAGTTTTTTATTAATTAATAAAGTTATTTACTTATAACCTCCCTTTTTTATAGAGGAAGAAAAGATTACCAAAAATACAAAAATAGTAATATTGTTTACTATAAATGCAACAAAGTAAATTTCACGATGACTATTTTATTTTGAAACGAAAGACTTTTTCATTACGTGCAGTAAATCAGTAAATGAACTTGACCGATATGTACAGAAAGACCCGACACCCGTACGATGACATACACGACTTTTTGTTCGTGCATATTCCCGCCAAACACTTAAAACTGCTTGAGTTGTTCCAAAACGATTTTGAAACACTTTATGCGAAGCTCCGAACTGCGTCACGGACTTATCGGTATGTATGCCGCAGCCCGGACAGACTGTGCGCCTAAGACGATAAACGTTTTTAAAGATCCTGTCAAGTCATTGCCGACTGCATTAAATAGTTTCGCAGTGCTATTCAACAACAGGAACGGTCGATATAAAACTTACACACGCATGGATCTCACAAGATACATAATATTACCAACCACACATGGCTCAGCGCGTTCACTGACAAACGCAAAATCCCCAATTCGCAGTCAATTCACTCGTCTGCAAGACATATTTCTTATCACTTATATCATATCATATCATATGTTTATTTAATTGCAAGTCTGTATTCGATGCTGGTCGTTGTGTTAATTTCTAAACTTTTTGCTAAATTCTAAACTTGATACGTCATTCGTGGCTGCCAACTTATGTGTTTACTTCCCAAAAGGGGGTAAACAAAGTCGTTGGTATTTTTAGGGGATTTTTTGACTTCTTATACTTTTTCCTGCGTTTTATTTCTTGTTATTTTCTTTGATTAAGAAAAATAAAGGTATAATAATAAAGGGCCCTGAGTAACGGAAAATCTACCCAATCATATTTACTTACCTAGCGATATCGAGTATGGTTTTTCATTACTTAGAATGCGGATTTGAACTATAGAGAGTAGAAATAAAAAATGTCCGCCAAAACGCATTCAATAGCCCAGGATGAATTTAAAGCCACACCAAACACTGGTCAAGTGTTTGGTAAAGTAGACAAGTACAGTGAGTAAGTAGTAGTAGTAGTAGTAGTAGTGAGTCGACTTTGCTTGTAAGCTGCCTTACGACTGGACCCAAATAAAATTGCTTTCTATTTTTTGGTGCAAGTGCACCCCTCGCACGCCGGCTTAACCACAGTGCACTTGACTCGTCACTTACAGTAGTGTGAACAGTCAAATTAGTACAATGGCCGGCAACGGGCAACAAAATTGAAAGTATTGCTGGTCCATTTCGAAGTGAAATGCCATTGTAGTTGCTGTAGTCTAATCTTGTCAGGTGTCCGCCACTGGCCACTGTTGATTGGTAATCTCAGATTATACATACTCTTTTGATATCAACTCTGACCTATTTGATTTATGTATTATGTTTGAATTACTTTAAATTTGGAATGTTAGTTTGATTTGTTCAGACTGAATTTTGTCATATTTGATAAATTCCGCAAAAATCGTTTGAAGATGTAACATGTATAGCTATCTGATATAACTCCTGTATTTTATATAAATTTCATAATCATTACGTTTGGTCTAAAATAAGTTCAAAATGTTTAAGTTCAAACAAATAGTTTTCTTATCACTCCTTAAGTGTCTTTTCGGTTTAAAAATGTTCCCATTAGCCACATCCACTATTCAAGAGCCACTGTACGTGTACTCGCTATTCGCCACTGTCCTTCCCCAATGTAAATAGGGCTTTAATGAAAGCGCCAAAAGTAATTCTTTTATCTTTCATTATGAATCACATTTTTGGAATAATGGTAAATATAATTGCCATCTAGTGAGTGGTAGTAGTCATACGAGACAATCTCTATATATAAAAATGAATCGCTGAATGTGTTGCCAAGCGTAAATCTCGAGAACTGCTGAACCGATTTCGCTAATTCTTCTTTTATAATATTCCTTGACGTACGAGGATGGTTCTTATGGAGAGAAAAATTTAAAAAATTGCCTGAAAATGTCTAAAAACAACACTTTTCTATATTCCCGTACAAAAGATTCGTAATAATACTTAAAGGTCAATTTGAACTTTAATACCATACCATAAAGTTTAAGTGTTAGTTCCGGGAAGGCAAAACAAGTGCACTCACTAGTTTTGCCTTCCCGGTAACCTTCCCGGTTCCCTTCACAGTCACTACTGTGGTAAAATGTCACTTGAAATGTAAACGTCTCTTTGCTTTGCATCACTACATAGTATAAAACAAAGTCGTCCCGCTGTCTGTCTGTCCCTATGTATGCTTAGATCTTTAAAACGGATCTTGATGCGATTTTTTTTACTAGATAGAATGATTAAATTTTTTATAAAATTAAATTCCAAACAATTTTTGTTTAAATTTTTTTATAAGACCATCATTGTCATTGCAATAAGCTTCACTGTATTTTTTCATTCATTTGGAAATTAAGACAATAATCTTTGCTCTATTAATCATAATTTTTTTTTTAATAATAAAATTTTATTAGGAGTATTTCGGGTTTTTGACTAAAGCTTTAAGGACAAATACTTTCGAGAGTTGGTAACTCTTATGGTAATGACATTAGAATCAATTTATGTTTTTGATTGTTATTTACATGATACGTTGTAAAAATTTCTTCAATATATTTTTTTCGAAGTAAAAAAATTATGGGTGCCCTAGCAAGCAGACAAAATGCTGGGGTGGAAGAAGCGGATGTAGTGTCAAATCATGCATATAAATATCCTCCGCGATCCGGTTCGTTTGACCTCTATTTAATATACTTTTGATCAATCCAATTGCTTCGAAATATATCACACCTATAATATGTAGATATATATTTTAAAGTAGTTGGGTTGAAGCTGTATATAACTTTATAGAAGTTCTATGAGTTGAAATTAAATCTACATTGATTACTATATGTCTACTATGTATAATATACTTAATATCAATCCATTCTGCGCAAATATGATAAATTCTGTTCTGTAAAAATTAACATGATAGAGTACTTAACAAATAAGATTAACTGATTTTAAATTAATATTTAAAAATATTGGATTACACATATTATAAATTTAGATTAATCATTATTTTAAATAGGTAATTATTTTGGAAGTCACTTTATCATGGGTGGAGAAAGATTTGACACGCCACAACCTGAGGCTTATTTATTTGGAGAGAATGCAGATCTAAACTTCCTTGGAAGTAGACCAACTCCTGTAAGTGAATAAGATAAAATAATTAATTGAAGCAAATGTCATAATTATTATTTAAAAATGCAGATATGTGTTGATCATTTTGTTTAGTTAATAATTTTAAGCATATAAAAATGTTGAATCCTTTTCTTTGCTTTAATCTTATTAATGTCTCTAAAGGAAGCAATCTTAGTTGTTAGCCTTTTTCTTTTAACAATTTTGTTGTTTATAAAAAATAGTTATTTATGAAATGTGTTCTGATTAAATTACTTCTATTCTGTTTCAGTTTCCATACCCTCCACCCCAATCGAATGAGCCGACAAAAACATTGAAAAGTTTAGTTAACATAAGAAAAGAATCTCTAAGATTTGTACGATGTCCAGAACCAGTTGGAAAATTGGCTGAGACCAATAAGATTTGTGATGGAATGATCAAAACCGTTGACTGCAATGTAAAAGGAACATATTACAACATTGAGTTCACTTTTGACTGTGATGCAAGATGTGCCATTACAATTTTTTATTTCTGCACTGAAGAAGTGACTCCAGCAGGTGTAGTGTGAGTAGATACATTTCTTATGGTTCTCACAGAATAAGTAACTGTTTGTCAGATTGACAAAAATTGGACTGTTTTTATTTTGTATTTTGATTTATTAAGATGAATCAGTTATACAGTTGCTAAGCTATTGGTTTTGGTGTCTAGAGTCGTGGGTTTGATTCCCACATGGGACAAATACCTGTATGACCCACTGGTAAAATCATCTGGATATTTGTTGCCTCGGAGGGTTGATGTCAGACAGTGAAAAATTAACCCAATACCATTAACAAAATGACATATATTGGGCCCATATGGACGTTAAAGAAGTATACTTTGATTTTAACTTAACCAACTCCAAAAAATTCTTAAAATAACCTATAATTACATGCAATATTTATTTCATGATTTTCAATATGCTGCTATTGTATGGGTGAAATTTGTCTTGTAGTTACTATCCAAGGGACCCAACAATGAGTTCACAAACATACCATTACAAGAAAGGTGCCAATCAACAATTCTGCCAAATCTCCCATGTTTTCGATCCATCCAAATATCCAGAGGAAGATTTAGTGTATAATGCTGATCGGGAAATAATTCCAATTGCCATCTACTGTGTTGTGGACGAGGGGCAGGAAGGTAATTTATTTTTATTATAATTAAGTTTCAGGAGACTACTCTCATCTTTTCTCCCTATTTTATTATTTATTTTACTTGCATATTACTTGTGCTTGTGCGTTTTAAACTTACGTTAGTCATAAATTACAAGCCTTTTGTTATCACTATTTTTATTATCAAGATACTATATTACAATGACATATAAAAAAAGGTTGTCCATTTGAGTATTATGAACATAAAAATTATGTAAAGTTTGGTTATTCAATTTTGCAAGATGTGTTACTTATAAAAACACTTTTAGAAATAAGACAATCCCACACTACAATAGCTGTGATAGAGAAGCATTCAGATGGAACATATGTCCTGAAAGCACTCAAGCAAAAATTGTTTGTGGATGGCTTATGTTACTTGTTGCAAGAGATATATGGCATTGAGAACAAGAATCTGGATACAAAGGTAAGTTAATTAAAGTAAGTGAAAACTTATCACAGATATAGTTTTTTTGTTTTTCTCGAATGCCATGGTTAGAATCTTCGTTTTCCGGTTAAAAAGTCCAGATGACGCAGGTTCAAATTATCATGGCGATGAAAATAAAATTGCACTAGCTGTATCTACACAATTTTAAGGTTCATCTTCAGTGCAAAGACATATTAATTTAAGTTGAAGTTCCTATTGGGTTGAATGCCGCAACTTGTAGGTACTTTCCAAAGCTTATACTAATTGTAATTTTTTCTAATAAAATCAATGTGTACTATTTTTAGTTGAAAAATGTATAATTATCTATCATTCCGGAGCTCTCTCCCTCCTGCAAAAGTTAAAATGCAGTTTTGTAAATGCAAAAGTGTGACTACTGCCATCCATGGGTATCTAAAATACATGAAGGATTACAAATCTACTGTCAGACTGCCTGTCTTAACTGTTAAAAGTATACGTCCACTTCACTCTGGTCTTCAATGACGCCGTACTATTTTCCCTGGACTACCATTTGTGCAATAGCATATGCCGCTGCGGGTGAAGACGCATAGTAGAACATTAAAGGTGTGTGTACAACTGTGGTAGGGCCACGCTACAGTTTTCACAGTTGCACGAATGGGCAGGTCCCTCCGGGAAAGTATCACGACCTAACAGAACACCGGCGTGAAGTAGACCGTAGCCGTAGCTCTTCTGCGTTCCGTCTGGTGAGTGAGGTAGCCGGGTCCCACTTTATTAAAATGCATATTAAAATGGTGTTGCAAATGTCCATGGGCGGCTGTCATTACGTAACATCAGGTGAACCGCCAGCTGGTACATAAAAAAAATATCGTCCGCTTGACCGCGCGCAGCCGAGCTCCGACGAGGAGACGGAAGACGGTGGCTCCGAGTGCGTGATCTGCATGTGCGACGTGCGCGACACGCTCATACTGCCGTGCCGCCACCTCTGCCTGTGCAACTCGTGCGCCGACTCGCTCCGCTACCAGGCGAACAACTGCCCCATCTGCCGCGCGCCCTTCCGCGCCCTGCTGCAGATCAGGGCGCTGCAGCGGCTCACCGCGCCCGCGCTCGCCCCGCCGCCCGCCAACGCGCCCGACGTGAGCCGCCATTTTTTCTTTCTTTTCCCGCCTTTTTTTTTGTTTTTTTTTTTTTCAATTTATCATTTTTTTTAAGTGGACTTATTAACCGTTTTCAAAAGGAGGAGGTTGTCAATTCGACTGTATTTTTTTTATGTTACCTCTGAAATTTCGATCGAGTAAACCGATTTTTATGATTCTTTTATTATTTGAAAACTGGTGCTTCCCATGTGGTCCCATGTTAATTTCATTGGTATTGGATTGGATAGGGCTCCGAGATACTTAGGGAACTCCTGAAAATCAATTATAAAATGAATACAGTGCGAGATATTTGAAGTGGGTTTTGTTTTTCGTTTATAAAAATAGACTTGTTATAGTTTCACGTCTTGGGCATTTCCCAATACAGACAATTATAATTATAATATTAATCAACACAAAATAACCACAGAATACTTTTTTATGTAAAAACTTGTTGCTCTTACATCGTTCTCAGTTATCTTTTAGCCATGTATATAAGTGACCTCCACCAGGGGAGCATGGAGAACATCCCAGCTGGCTACGAGCCCGTGTCACTTCTGGAGGCCCTGAACGGGCCGGCAGCCAGGGCGCGCCCCCCGCCCGCCCCCGCCCCCGCCATCGCCAGCCCCGACACCGACACCGCCTCACAAGTACCTACCTTATCAATGTCTGTTACTCTATCCTGCGTGGCCGATGACTGTGGCGAGGGAGCCAAGGTATTGCCATCGGGTTGGATCGTGGGTTTCGATTCCCACACAAAACAAATATTTTTGTGACATACAGATGAATTCAATGAATATTTTTACATACATGAATTTCGTGTATGTAAAAACGTCCATAATGTTATCGTACAGTGAGTGGGCAATATTTTCGAATGGAATACTACAACTGTTTTTTGTTGGTCACAGACGTCATTAAGACTTACAACCCAATCCCTTTCACAGCAAACAAGAATGCAAATCCTTTGTAACTTTCAAGGTCAGGACTAAGTAATGCTATAACGGTCAAAAGACCGTTATGCTGAGGCTTCTGATGCTTGATTCGAATCACAGCCCCAACTGCCGTGCATCGTGCTTTCGTATCGAGGATCCCAAAGCATGGTATACTCTGTGTGGTACATCTTAGCCTTAGCCGGACTACAGGATGTTTCATTCCACCGTCAGTAAGTTCGATGTTGTGGATTGCCCGGCCTAGTATCCTAACGGGTCTGGTGAGTCCAGCTAATTTTGGTGCGCGTTTAGGCCGCCGAGATCCTGAACCGGTGCAATGTGGAGCGCAGCTCGTCCACCAGCCTGGGCAGCGGCGGCAGCCGGAAGGCGAGGCGCGGCTCCAAGGAGGCTAGGCCCCACCAGCCCCTCACGCCGGAGGTGAGCTCGCCAATGCGAATATATGATTCGTTCACGGTACACATCACTTTATAGACAATTCATCATCATCATTTCAGCCTGTTTGAGTGCACTGCTGTGTAATTGGCGAATAGATTCACAAGAATACAATTCATTTGAAATATATATTTTGTGAAAATGATATTTTATGAATAGAATATACAATGATTACGTTTACGGTCTTCCTCAGTTCCGCATGTCGGTGCTGCTGGCGCGCGAAGAGGAGGCGAAGAGGGCTGAAGAGAAGGCGGTCGCAAGCAGTCCACTGCTCTACAACCACAACGGCCTCAGCGCCGAAAAGCTCTCCAAGGTACTTCTTTACTAATTAGGCTAACGTTCCTCTAGTGTGACGTACATCTGTTTTTGTGTGTGTGTTTGCCACATTGGCTGTTGTTTTACTGTACTTTTAGTATGATTAATAGCGTTACTATCATAATTAGTAATAAATATAATCAAAGACTCATTGATAGGTTTAGAGTATCAATTTAGAGTAATGAGTATGTGTTGATTGCGCGGTGAAGGCGACCCATTCAGTCACCAGCAGATGCCTCCTCGATCGCAGGGCTCGCTGAACTCTCTGGCGTCGGAGAGCGCTCCGAGGGCGGAGTCCCGCGCGGGCTCGGCCGCCTCGGGCTGCGCGTCCGACGACGAGGCGCAGCCCCCGCCCGGCGCGGAGCCCGACAGCGACGCCGAGCGCCGCTCGCCGCTCCTCGCGCAGCCCCCGTACTCGCCTCTGCCGCACAACGGGGTGAGCACGCACGCACGCACGCACACGCACACACACGCACGCACTAACACGTCCGCGCACGCACGCAACGCGGTGCACGGTTAAGGTTATAATTACACAAGAGTTACTTTCAATGAAACACGCGATATGTCTAACTTTTCGAACGAAAAGCTAAACATATAGGGATTTGCACTAATGGGCCAGGCTCGCCCGCGCAGCACTCCGCCCGATTGAAGACCGTCTGGCGAATGAAGTAACCGGGGCCGGATGTTTGTAAGGCTGGCACGCCTGCGACACCTTGGCGTCCATTGGCGGCGGTGACCGCTCAACAACGGGTGAACCCGATTGCCCCCTTAACAACCTTTGACACGAAACAAAACCCATCAGATGCCGAAGAACGTTGGGGCGGCGCTGCGGCTGTCGACGCCAGCGCTCGCCCACATCGACGACACCGACACCGAGGAGCCGGAGCCCGCGCAGAACTGTCAGTAGCCCCCCAATGTATAATCATATGTATGTAATATGATGTCTTTCGAGCACAACACGGAAATGGCTCTATCCGCGTTTAGAACGCGAGATGGAGATTTTGCCACGGGATTCGAACCTTCGAACTTGGCACGCGAACCCGTCGTGCCGTCATTGCTTGTAATAGTACGAGTTGTTTAGTTATCGCAATAGGAAGTAATATTTATTGAATGTAAAATTAGACGAATCACAGTCTACTAAATTCGAAATAACAGCTATCGGTTCTGTGTTGACTATAACAGTCTTCCAGAAATAGTTTATTAATATGAAGCAATAGTAAATATTTTAGATACGGGCTGCCTTATTTATTTATTTGTTACTGGTGGATAATCATTGGCTACCCCATCGGCGGTGGATCCCATATGGCCAAATTGACCATAACGCAACTTACTCCTAAAGCTTATTCTATTTCTTTGAATAGTTCCAGACGATTAATTTGTCATATTGTGCATCTCCCGCCGCCATTGCTAATGTCGCGTTGCATGACGCCTCGAATCTCTCGGCTTCCGCGTTATAACAGCAAAACCATTTTAGCTGAAAGCTGTAAGTCATATCGGCCGCAAACCATATATCAGAGCCGCTTTTTCTTACCTTATTTCGACATTCGATTATTTTACAACACGGGCAAAATGTATGAATACCATCAAAATAATGTTTCTTGAGTAACTCAAATGGTCAATAGAAAATTGCTTACAATTGTCTTCTACTCGACTTTTTCGGTGAATCAGAAAATTTACATAAAATATCACTAAACTCTTGGTGGAAGGATAGTGCAAATAAAGCTTTAGAGATGTGCCTACTCGTTTGAACGCGGTAAAAACTCTTCAATGTGGTAGTAATCATTGGAGAACTACATCCTATTTTAATGAAAATGTTTGTTGAACTTATACGCCACAAGTGGATGCATGGTGCACACGATAAATTTGGGGCACTGAACGCTAGCATTCGTGCCTATTGGGTGTAGCTTCAGAAATATTTCTACGCGTTTGAATAACACAAAAACTTTTAAAACTTTTGAGCTCTTGAATGTGGCGGGAATCATTGGCGAACTATATCCAATTTAACGAAAATTTTTGTTGAACTTTTACACCACATGTATTGGTGCACGGTGTTTTTTTTATGTAAAGCGAACGCGGTGTATTTAGCGTGTTCTTATCGACAACGCCTAGGTCCTTAAAGGAAAAAAAAGTTTTGTTTGGGGCTCGATGGTAGTAGGTGGACATTGCAGTTGTAGCCGGCCATGACCGTGTTGGGACTCGTCGCAACACGGATGCATTACCAGCGTCAACGGGGTTGTTAGTGCAAGCGCTTGTGGGCTATCGGAGACGAGGGGGGCTTGGTAGTCCGGTGATTGTGTTTGATTTGCGTTTGGGGGGGAGCACTTACAATGCACCCGGGCGTTTAGTGGGGGTCCAGTGATTGTATGATTTGGGGGGGAAAGCACTCGTAACGCGTCACAAGCAATCTTCGGGGAGACGAGAGGGGACTTGAGGGTCCGGTAATAATTAGATTTCTGTTTGGGGGGGAACGCTCACAACGCGTCAGGGAGATGAGAGGGGTCTTGGGGGTCCGGTAATAATTTGATTTCTGTTTGGAGGAGAGTACTCACAACGCGTCGGGGAGATGAGGGGGGCTCGGGGTCGGGTGATTGTTGATATGGGGGAGAGAGCACTCGCACCGCGGCACAATCAATCTTCGGGGAGATGAGAGGGGTCTTGGGGGTCCGGCATTTATTTGATATTTGTTTGTGGGGGGGCGCTCACAACGTGTCAGGGCGGTGAGGTGATTGTTCGTTTGGGGGAGGGGCGTTTGCACTCGCAACGCGTCGGGTAGCTATGGTAACGTTTGGTGTCCTGTCCGCTGCGGCGCAGCGCCGCGCCGGGCGGCGGGCGGCGGCTCGCCCGCGGCCGAGGACTCGGACTATTTCACGCCGGAGGAGCCCGCCACCACCATCCTCAGCGGCCCGCGCCCCGCCAGGCCCGTAAGTCACAACTCAGCCCGAGGTCGCCACGCTTCGTATACCGCCCCTATCACGCCGTTTGTTTTGGGTTCCCGTTTCTATGCGTTGCGTTGCGTCCATTTTGCCTTTTTTTTTCTGTTCGTTTCGCCCGCGTCTCATCGCTAGTTGTGTAGTAGTTTCATTTCGATCACTATTGCGATTTTTGTTATTGTTTTGCATTAGATTTGTGCCTGTGTGTTGTAGCGGTAACATATAGTGGTGTTTCGCAATGGGCCGGGCGGTGAACTCGTTGCGCTCTGTCAAACGTAGCCAATTTGTGGACTGTGACGGTCTGTCCTGTGCTGGTTTATACCGCTTCGGTTTGCTTGCAGGAGGCCGCCAGCGCGGTGGACAGTGCCCCCCAACGTTGGGCCCTGCCCCATCACGTCACTTCCCTGCCAGGTACCGCCTCCGTTGTTGAACTTACCCAAAAACTTCACGCAAATTACATGGTCCTTTCGCCGGATGTGCATAACTGAATTGTATACTATTGTACCGTAAGCACAAACCTTCCATAGATACAATAATTATTCTGAGTAAATTGAGTTGATACCGTTCACCAATCTCCTAGTTTAAAACGAAAGTTTTGCTTGTACATAATAGATATCCTTATGTGAGAGCAATATCTTAACATTACCTCGATTCGAATGCATATCCCATGCACCTGGATCCACGAGTGCTTTACCAACCACTACACCACGTTCGAAAACTAAACTTACCTAAGTAACCGACACAGTCGAAATCGAGGGAGGACAAACGAAATGAGCCCGATAAGAGTAGCGAACTTGGCGCAGGCACGCCGCTGAGCCAGTGGAGCGCGCGCTCTTCCGGCGAGTCGTACAGTTCGACGTCGTCGTCGCGCCAGCTGCTCGCGGCGGCGGCGCTGCCGGCCGACGCCACCTGCTAGCGGCGCGCCCCCGCGCGGGCGCCCCGAACTCCCCCCGCGCCCCTCGCTCCGCTCGCCCGACTTGCGCTCCGCTCGCTCCCCGCGCCCCTCGCCCTCCCCGCGCGCCCCAATCTCCACTCAATCCGCTGCAACGGCTCCGTCGCTCCGCTACCCCCCTTTTAAAGCGTCCCTCTCCCTCCCCCACTCCCTCACCCTCCCCGCACGGCCCAATCTCCACTCCCTCCGATGCAACGGCTCCGTCGCTTCGCTAACCCCTTTTTAAAAACTCTTTCCAAACGAAATATGTTACTCCTCTATAATCTTAATCATGTTGTTTTAAGTAGATCGTAAGCGTTTATCTGACCTATATAGGGTGTATGTATATGTTTTAAAATAGATAGTTAGATTTTACTGTGCTTGTGTATATACTTCATAATGAGCCTTCATGTTATGTTTTATCTATAAACTTTTTATGCATTAGATCTCCATGTGTAAAATTTTATTTGTATTTAAATATTGCTGTTTAGAAATATCTGTAATTTAGAATATGCTTAAGATTTTATATAGATGGTAGAAATTACAATTTTTGAAGAACACTTGAGATTTGAGAACCATTAGCTGAAACCTCCATTAGTGCAACAACAAATTATTTTGAATAATAAATAGAGACCTGTATGAGTATATCATATTTTTGAATATTAATTTTCTATTTAAACTACATTGGAAAAATTTAAAGTAAATTGAAGTTGTTTCAAATACATAAACAATTATATTTGTATATCTTAATAATAACATAATATAAGTATGTTACATGTAGATATTCTTGCATACTTTTTTATATTATAAAATTTTATAATAATTACCTACTATTAATAATTTAATTACTTGCTTGTATTTAAGTCGGATTTAATAGTTACTCATAATAACAAAGATTGATATATTTCCCTATTTCCAAAACGTTAGTGACAAGTTATATAGTGATATGTTAAAAAACGGATGGAAATGTATTTGTTTTTCAGTATTCGATTATAAGTGTACTATTGTTTCATTATATATAATATTTCTTTAGTGTTTCCATGAGACTTGAATTTGTACATTGAAAACGTACATATTTACAAAGGCGCTAAACGCGCTTACGCAATACATTTATCTACGCATTATTCATTACCCATTATTCATATTAAGCTACAGCTTAATATGAATATTGCGTTCAGAATAGTTTTAGTATAAGGAAAAGTGGATTGACCCCTTGAATTTGATTTTTAAATGCAGAATTCATTGTAATCGACAAGTGATTGTCAGAATTTAGAATAATCTGAGAACCCAAATAGTTAGATTTAATTAGCATGAAGCTTGTGAAACAATAATTCCATACAACTAATATGAGACAATATTTTTTTTTGTACAATTGATTTTTTATAATTGTATAACTTATTATTAATGTCCAGTTGTGAAATTGAGATTCTATGCTAACAGACGTATGTCACAACTATTGACTAGTATATACTCATAAAAATATTACAGAATTTACATGTAAATACCCACTCACATATAAACATACCACTAAACACAACACTACATTTATTTACATCTACCTTACGTTCCTTTGGAAACCTTTTTATCATTCACGGTAACATTATTTACCATAAGGTCAACGAAGTCGCCAACCAGCCTATCCTCTGAAATGCAATGTTTTTATCAATTATATAACAGTAACTTATTTTTAAGTCTTTGAATTTCGATTAATTAGAAAGAAAATTACACACAAGACATATTTTTATTATTTTTTTATACATTGCCCTTACTTTAGGATAACTAATTAATTATATGTGCTAAAGTTTTAATGATAGTGAAATTATTATGCGGTTTCTAGACTTATATTAAGTTTTTTTATGTTGAATATTATATGAATTAACATTTTTATTTGTACAGAGTAAATTACTAATTATATTTAAACAAAGTCGTAATCCAAAAAGTACTGAACAGACTTTAATACGGTTTTCACTATTGGACTCATTAATGATGTAAACTGGATGAAATATGGCGTTACTAATCGAAACCCCTGCTAATTTTAATGATACGCTTTAGATTTCATAACTACATTCCGATAAAGATAGACATAAATTGATTCTCATTCCAATGAACCTAATTTAGTAAACTGATAAATATTAATGAAAATTTCAATCTATTTCTAGTTATTAACAATTGTAACATTTTTTCTTCTATTTGTTCTTTTGTGCTTCGGTTAAGGTAAGTAAGTATTATAAAGTAAGCAATAATAATAAAAATATATCTTTTGAAAGTGTAAAGTTTCTGTTATTTGTTTTTTGTGTTACCTTCTACAAAAAGCTGGAGTTAATTAATAACATAATTTTAGTAACATAACATAACTATATTATACAGGGTGGCTTTTCTAAAGGTGGGCAAATTCACACAGGAGGTTCAGACTCGGCTCTGTAGTATAATCGTTTATTGAAATAAAAACAAACTTTTATTTCAAAAAGATTGCAAAACTTTTCCCTAAAAAACAGAACTTGTTGACAATGCGGTAGTCATTCATAAATGCGTCGTATACTTTTGAAAAGAACCTGTGTGCGTGTTAGTTATGAATGATGGCGCGTAAAATAAATGCCCATAAATCACGCATTTTTAGAGATAAGTTAAAATGAGTATAATTAATTAATTACGAGTAATTTTAAATATTTATCATTTTTTATATAACATCATTGATGTCTAGAATTTCATAAAAAAAAGGATATACTTAGAAAAGCCTCCCTGTATTTGCACATAATTCCTTAAAAGTATGTTGTTATCTTGTATTAACTGATGTTTTTGCTTTCAGTCCCGAGACTATTAAAGCTTCATCTGACGCAGAACCGGTGGGCTAGCCAGAACCCACGGGTTTGGGCCCTCCGCTGTCGGTAGGGCCACGCATGTGCTCATGCGTGCGTTTAAATATGGTGTGTCATCTAAGGGCCATCGAGGTCGCAGTTCGGACCGAAACCCCGATGGCCGTCGACTGTGCAATTAGCTAATCGCTGGCTGGGAGCGGTGAGAACCGCCCCGGAACGCGGGTGTACCTTGTGTACGCGTTGTGTGGGTCTCGCCGTGCTCGGAGGCGAGGGCGAACTAGTGTGTTTGTTGTTGCACTAACTGTGGGTGTAGTGTTATCTAGCGGGACCACCAGCGGTGGGTCCGGCGTATCTAAGTCCCCTTCGTCGGCGGGTCGATAAGGAAGTTTCTCGGGCGACGCTTGTTGACGTTCGCGTTTGTGTCGGGTTGATAATTTGCTGCGCTTACCACCAGAGGGTTGGGATGATGTTCGACTCTATCGAAGAACCGTTTGGTCAGGTCTTTAAAATATTCGTCGGGAGTCTGCAATCGTTGTGCAGGTCGACGTTGCGTTGATACCACTGCGCACCGGTTGCGCGGCGGATGAACTTATTTTGTACTATTTGCAACTTATACAAGCGAGTAGGGTGCGTGTGGGCGAAGGTCATGCATGCGTAGGACATAATAGGTCGTACGCAGGAATTATATAATAATAATTTGTGCCTTAAGGGCATTTTACTTTTAGCGTTACTTAAATTGTGTAGCCGGCCGGAGACGAATGCGGCTCTATTGCGAACGTTATTAATGTGCGTAGTAAATGATATACGCGAGTCGAAAGTGACTCCTAGGTATTTGACCTTTTTCTCCCAGGAGAGCGGTTGCCCATAAAGGTCTGAATAAAAGTGCGCCGTGTCATCCATGAAAAGCGCGAGATTGGCGTGGGGGTCTTTAGGTATATGGCTCGTGTAGAGCGTATAGAGCAAAGGTGAGAGGCAGGAGCCTTGTGGTACGCCGGCCGTGAGGCGGCGGTTTGTGGAGAGAGTGCCTTCAACTCGATATCGACAAGAGTTGTTCGACTGGAAGGCCAGGATGATGTGTACGAGTCTATCTGGCACTTTGAGTGTGTACAGCTTGTAAAGCAAGCCGTAGTGCCAGACCTTGTCGAATGCTTTTGCGACATGCTAAGAAATGCGTCCGTGTACTAATATGTTTAGGGTGATTTAGGCCTATTAGGATATGTTCCGTTAAGCGGAATAGTTGGTCGGGATATGTTGGTATGTGTCGCATCAGAAGAATGATGGTCATAGGCGTAGGCAAAGCAGGGGGGCCGGGTGGGCCGTCCCCACCCCAGTATCGTCTAGTGTTGGAGTTTCGTTTACCCATTCGAAATTCAAAAATACCCCCGGTCTGCTGCACATCACGAAAGTAAGAAAATGTATTATACACATTTACATCAAGATCAAATTTCCATGAATAAATCGTCAGCCAACATGAAAAGGAAGTTGAGCAAAATAAAAAAAAATAAGGGAAACTTTTTAATCATCAACTTTTCGCTAAATACAATGAAAAATTTTCCAGGCGTTTAGAAAAAAATGTAACTTATTGCAGTGCTGGTATATAAAACGATTTAATCAACATAATCTGATTCATTATCACAATAGAATGCATCGTAAATAAAATTATGCAAGGCAGATGAATCAAGATGTTATAAAGAAGAAAAAATATCGATTAGTTTTGAGACGTAGCAGGATTAGAAATTGAAGAGTCGTTCATGGGATTTATGGATTGCTTGCTCTAATGGCAGAGATGCAAAGATAATTTTAGATTCTTTAAACAAATGTAATTTGTATAATGTGCCCATTATAGCACAATTATATGATGGCGCAAGTGTAATGTAGGGTAAATCACAAGGTTTGCAAGCGATTATCAAGGAGAAATATAGTACCCATGTCATTTACATGGATTGGCGCATAAGCTTAATTTAGCTCTTGTGAACTCATGCGCTAATGTATCATCAATAAGCAAGTTTTTTAATAATCAGGAAGATTTTAAAGCAATGGCGACTCGTTCGAATTATCGTTGTAAAACGATATTCGAAATTGTTTGTATGCTGGAAAGAATATAACATATATGCGCCAAGCATTGCTTCAAATGCTAAATAACAAATAGAAAGAAGGCGTTATGATTTTCGTCGCTGTGGTTATCAGCCGTTTAGCTCAGTGGCTAGAGCGTCAGGCCGCGAGTGCCGAAGACGTGGGTTCGATTCCCACAGCGGCGACAATCTTTTCGTACTTTTTCTACATGTTTTAATCTGGAAGATATCCATTTTTAACTATTTGTACCTATACAACTACAACTGACTAGATTCATACATTCAGAGACTTTTTCATTCGTTGCCACAGCGTCGCATTACAATCCTCTCCTTCGAACAGTATGT